TTTTCGCCAGACTCGCTGTCGTCGGTTTCATTCGGCCGTATGTGTGTGTATCTCTGAGTATCTGTGTGGGCCGCCTGATAAGCCAAGCGGTAGCCATAGCCAACCAACCTCAACAGCGATCTTCAGTTTTATTTTCGTGCTGCCAACAAAAGTTGATTGCTCGCGCGCAGTTCGCTTTTCTGCTTTTCCACCTTTATTTTGTATTTTATTTGGTCTTTTCTTTTCGGTTGGAATCTCCCGAATCTCGTGCTGTTTGCCGACGTACTTGTGTCATCCTCTGTTTATCCAAGAGTTAACCAAAACGAGCTGCAAACGAGCCAAGTGCGCGGCCAATTGCCTTTCGGCAGACCTATTGCCAAGATCTATTGCGAAACAAATCGCGAAAAGACGATACGGCCATTCGCCATTAATCTCAATAATATCAATTGGATATATATTCAGATCACTTGACTCTGAGCTGTGGGCCATGCCCTCCGCCTCCCGCGAAAATCGCCCTTCGGATGGAAGCCATAGAATCGCTGCAATGGCAGCAGTCACTGTGAGTGGGGAGGATGTAAAGTTTGGCTAAAAATTAAGGCAAAACATGATCAAATCGGATATATATCGATAATTTAATTAGTAATTAATTTTTGAAGAGAATGAAAAGTTTCCAGCCCTAGAAAATTCATATTATTTTACAAGCTAAAGTAATTTAATATTTTGCTCGTTAATAACATGAATTATTTCTTAAAGCAATAGAAAAAATAGATCTAAAAAGATCTGTAATATTTTGAATATTTTGCTTAACTTAGGTAGTTAATATTTCTGGTTACTTTTTTAACCTTAGTCAAATAACTAATATTGCAGGAACTTCTTTACATTTTTCATAATATTTGCTAAGCCAATGCATCATAGTGATATAAAAAAATTAAAATTCATGGAAAACCAAGAGTCCCGTCTTATCTTCACCGTAAAAACACCTCCTAACTGTCCGTATATATCTAAGCAAAATAAAATCCCAGTCATGTGATGCAAGTGAATATTTATTTGGATGATGTGCGAAATGTGTTAAGTGAGATCTCCAAAAGAGAGTTAATAGGAAGCAATTTCATTTTCTCCAGTGCATACTGGCTCTTGGTTTTTCCTGTTTGGCACACCACCCCACCCGAGATTTCATGAATAAATGAATATTAATCGAAAACACATATCATGCAAATTGGTCGCGATCCCGAGACTCCTGCATGTCCATCAAATTAACAGCAGCGTTTAGTGATCCGCGCAGGCGCAGCTACACAGTAAAACAGTCGTTGTGCCAGTTAAACATATATACCCATGGATATATATATAGTCTGTAGTCTGTAGTCGCTGGTACCAAGCAGTCTCGCCATGAATGTTTATATATGCTGCTCTGTTGTTGTTCTGCCGCCAGCAGTGGTGTTGTTTTTGCGTGTCTAAGCACTTTTTAGTTGCGCCGTAAAACAAGAAAAATAAAGCGAAGGGGGCCTGTGTTTTATGTTTTGGCTTTCGGCTTTTGCCATGCTTGCGTAGCCAAGCGTTAAGACATATAGTAGTATCGCAATCTGGCGGATCTGTTGTATCTGCCGTATCTGGCATATAGAATGCACAGTTTTGCAGTCGCTTCAGTGCCGCCTTTTAATCCACATAATTCCCTGTGATGTGCATTTATCTTGCGATAACATTTCCCACATACCGAGACGATTTAAAGGGGAACTGATAAGAAATCGCTGGACTTGAACCCACCGTGTTTTCTATTAATAGGTTTGTAAAGGGGGAATCGACCTTGAGATGCCCATTGATGGGTGTATTTTGAACTGAATATTTAAATATTTAATTCTTAAGATATCATTTATATCCCGTTTAAAATTCGAGTATACCCATCTCTTCACCCACCACAAATAATTATAAACTATTGCGCAAAAAAGAATTCACAATCCGTCTTTCTGTCATAATTGGCATAATTATTTTCGGCTCATGACTTCATTCAATGTCGCCTGGCAGCAGCGACATAAAATAAAATAAGCATCGAAAACGGCGAAAACAGCAATAAAATCAAAGTTGAATAGTGTACAATCAGACAGGCAATCGGGTAGAACAACAACAAGAACATTAGCAATTGAGAGGCGTGCGTGCGACTCGCTCCAATGATTCAGTATTATATATATAATACCTACGTATATAATGGCATATAGAGCATATGGATGGTATGGAATTCGAATAATGGGATGAGTTGTATGTGCGACACGCTTCCAAGCTGAATTGATATTGATACAAAGCGCCGGCCGACAAATAAAATCAATTGGCAGCTAATCAAAAGTAAAATGCAAACAAATTGCCAGCACATGTCATCGGATCGAAGATGCTATATAGGATGGTAAATGGTAAATGGTATATGGCATATCAAGATCGAAGATATCAGGCTCCTTTTTACGATGATGACGCCATTCGATCGATCGACCGATGGATCATTCATTCAACTTCATCTTCGTCTCCTTCAACTTTCCCTTCAACTTGCCCTGCTCGATATTAAAGTAAACCCCACTTCCCTGCCCCTATACCATCCCTTTACCATGTTACATTATCTTTGACGCGTTTCGCATATCAATTATGGCATTCATGCGGCCGGCAAAAGAGCGTTAAAAATAAAAATAGCCGCCTGCAGCGAGCGATGATGCCATAAATCGTGCAACTCGAAGCCAATTATCACCAGATGCCTAACTTGAAAAGCCAAAGCCGAATCCGAATCCCAAACCATCGGGGGAAATCGATTCGAACTCTCGTACGCAAGCTGTTGCACTTTGCACTGGGACTTGGCGTCGTCGGGAGATCTCTGACGAAACAAATACTATATACTATATACCATAAGTGTTATATGGCTTGGGTTCCCCATTCGGCCGCAACTTGCACTTTTCCATGCGGTGATAAAGTGTCGCCCACACACGTGTGGGAAATCCAGCTGCCAATAATACTATTTGCGTAAAAGAAAATCTTTTTTTTTGTGGGTAATGCAAATGACAGAAAGCTTGTCTTTATCATTTTTAATTTTACCTTTCAAGTCGTTTCACAAATGAAATATTTTTAAGTATTGACAGTTAATATCAATCAATTTTAATGCAGTGAGTAATTTTCCGACCTTCCAGTTGGGTAAAAAATACACTTAAGTTTTTTATTTACAAATTAAATTTATTAATAAAAAAGATTGAAAAAAAATCAGTTTTAGTCATATAAAATACAATATAAATTATATAATGAGTTAAATATAGAACTTAAGGGTTCTTGTGGTATTAAGTATGACGACAGATGGAGTTTTTATAAATTTTATAACTATGACGGAACATTAAAAATATTTATAATAAAAACTTAAGATTATACTTGGGGTTATTTACTATGATGAAAAAAAAATTTCGTCATTATAATAGTCATTGAATATATATTTTATTTTTAGCAACTAATGGTACGCTTAAAATAGTACATGGGGTAATTAACTATGACGACTGATGGAAATATGTTTTTGTGAATATGACGCAATTAGTTTTTATTTTTAAATTTTTTGCAAAAAAGTATTGTTAATTTTATTTGAAGAATTTGTTTCGTCATTGGAAATAAAATATTTCTGTGAAATGAATTAAACTTTAGTCATACAAAACATAAAAATATAGTAATATTTATTATGAGATTAAAATAGTAGAAAATTCTGTTTGTTAGTATTGGCGAAAGATGGCATTATGTTTTGATGTCACAATTATATTTAATTATTTAAATAAAGGTCTTGAAAAGATTAGATTTCCTTCTTGCCAAATCTTTGATGTTTCACTTTCAAATAAATTTAAATTAAATCGACTAAAAGCATACTTTTATAAATTCCCCTCCGATTTATTGGAATAAACATGTATATATTTCGGCTAGGCCATCGGCAAGCGACTGATGAACTTTCCCAGAATTCCCCAATGCCCCATTCCCCATTTCTCGACATTTTCCCAGCCATCGGCCATAAATCAGCGCAGAAATGTGCTCAACTTAATTGAAGACATCAGCAAGGCAGTAAAAAATCAATTTGCCAAAGATCTTAGAGCGCACAGATCGTCGAGATTCAACAGCCAAAAATCGTTAAAATAATACAAATATGTATGAAAATCATTATCGGCACAAGAGCGCAGAAATGCCTTTCAAATTCGCTTTCATGTTGTTGTTGATACTTTTGCTCTCAAAATAGTCGACGTCGTTGTGTCTGCTTTGGATTTCATTGAGCATTTTTAAATTTTTCACGGAGGCTGGGGGGTTTGAAAGAATTTCACACATGTCATGTGCAAACAAACAATTGGCACAATGCGCAATGGAAAAATTAGCACTTTTAATCAAATTATTCAATAGTTTGGAATGCCTTGCTATATATACATATATATGTCAGCGCTGTAATTCTCGGGCGAGCGCGCAAATTGATAAAATATGCAAAGTAAACAAATATTTTGCTCTTTTTTGGGGGCCCGTCCATCCGATCTGTCTGCCTGTAAATTGGCTCTCCTTTGAGTCGCCAAAGCGGCAAACTTACATCATAAATTAAGACCCCGCCGACAGATGGCAAATAATGCAATAAACATTGAAATCGCCGGTGCTATTTATAGAGCTTTCCGGCGATAAGATCGTCTGCGGCAAAAAAAAAGCGAGAGACGGCAACTGCAATTGCAATTGCACCTTTGGGTTGAGGATGTGGGGCCCTATTTTTAGCCAGTCGGTTCGGATCGGCAGACGGCTGTCTTATAGACGAGGAGTAGTCTATTTATAGGGTTTTGGCCAGCAGCAGCAGCTTGATTGCCACCTGGTTAACCTGCCCTTGCCCCTGTCCTTTCACGAACCGATCTTGACTTGGCCCATATCTGCTTACCCAGAAAGAGAGAACTAGTCTCTACTGAGAACCCAAGCCAGTTAATTTATCGATCCTATAAATAGCCACCTATTTTTAACACGCATTTCCGGTTTCCCATTCTTTTTCGCTTTTTTCGCAGATGTGTTCCCGCAACATTAAGATCTCGGTGGTGCTGTTTCTCGTCTTGATACCAATCTTCGCCGCCTTGCCACACAACCACCAACTGTCGAAGCGCAGCAATTTCTTCGATCTGGAGTGCAAGGGCATCTTCAACAAGACCATGTTCTTCCGACTGGACCGCATCTGCGAGGACTGCTATCAGTTGTTCCGCGAGACGAGTATACACCGATTATGCAAGTAAGTTTCTTTTTGGGGGATTTGCGACCTTTAAGTATTTCGTATAACTAACCCTTTCAGCGATCGAGGCAAGGTCATATGTGTAGAGATCTTAAGTGCTTGAGTGCCTGAAACCCTGACACAAAAATAAAGGCGGTCTCGGGAAATGATCTCGGGGGACCTTCGGTTATTTCTAAACTTTATGGGCTCTTTCCTCGCCCAGCCCGCTACTTTCTCCCTGACTTTCTCGCACAGAGAAAACATAAATTCTTTTTTTAAATCTTTCTTTAAACTATAATTATGTTGATAGTGAAAATTAATAAAGACACTTTTAAATGTTAGAAATCAAATATTTAATATTTTCAAGAAAATTTAGATTTTGCTTATTTAAGGGATCCTAAAAATAAAGCTTATTTATAAATTTTTTTTATAATTTGTTGAAAAAGCATACAAAATTAGTTTCCAGGTCTTAACTAAACCATCGCATTTGCAGGAGTTCTCTAATCTTTAAATATTTCATCTCTTACTATAATATCATATTAAAAACCTTTTAGGTTGGAAATTTTCGTCTTTATTTTTCTCTGTGCGTCCCTCTATATCTGAATTTCTGTCTATTCGATGCAGGGCCAATTGTTTCATCCACGAGACCTTCGGGAACTGCCTGAAGGTGCTGCTGATCGACGATGAAGAGAAATCGCAGCTCGAGCACTACTTAAAAGTGATCAATGGATCGCCCTATCCGTTTCACAAGCCCGTCTACCACTAGACACCTTTCCTTTCTGACACTTTCGTTTTCTACTTCCGCTTCCGTTTCGACTTTCGTTTCCGTTTGCGACTTCATTTTCCTGATTTCCTATTTTAATTACCATTACCAATTTTGAGTTACCTTTACCGTTGTGTTTGATTTTCATTTTTCGTTTTATTTTTATTTTAGGAAAGACTGCTTTGATTCAAAATGGTTTGGCTCATGCCTGAAAGTGCTGTTAATACCCGAAGAGGAAATTTCGAACTTACAGCACTTTCTGAGGGTAGTGAATGGCTCGCCCATATCCTTCAACATGGGACCGGAAACATAACTCTAAGTTCCCGCCCCCCACACACACACACGCCCCAACTCACCCACACACTGATGAAAATCACTGCAAAAAAATAATGGTGGATTGGAAGTATCCCATCCAACTACAACCACAAATGCAGAGCCAGAACAAAGAAATCTAAAATATTAAAACGCCCAAATTTAATTCGTACTTATTTATTACTGTATGCCTAACAGTTTTTAGTGTATGTGTTTTTTTAAAAACGAATTATTTTTATTAATTTATTGAGAACGTTATGCGTTTGTTGTAAGTGTAACATAATCTGGGCGATTGAGAGATGAGCGATGATAAGGATTCGCAGATCTCACAACTCCCCAAAAATATACATATACATACATAGAAGCCGAAGTATTTATTTTTAAGTATTCTTAGCTTGTTTTATTATTATTGCGTTATGCGTTATGTATATAAAATAAACAAAACGGAATCCATTGTTTTTAATATCTATGTAATGTAAAATGATTACTTTTATTTTTGTATTTGTATTCTATTGTAAAATCAGCATTTAAATTTACATTTTACACGATTTTCCGCAAGGGCAAACAGATAAATATTAAAGAAAAACCTACAATCACACACACACAACACACACACCGCACACGAGACCGAAAGTATTTTGCAAATGTATTACCCTTACAATTTTGTGCTATTTTGTAAAGATTAAACCCCTAATTAGCATAAATCTGTTGGCGAAAAGAGCAAATATATGCCTACAAATATACATAATTAAAGCTAAAGCCTAACATTTATCCGAATACGAGAGTACACTACACACATACTAAATATTAGAAAAAAAGAATACGCAAGAACGCAATTTGTGCAAGACACAAACAAAAACCCCTGGTAAAAACACGCGAAAGGACTGCATTACAAATGCGGCAAAAACGATTATAAAACCCATGTAAAATAATAAAAGATAATCATTCGCTGGCTATTTGAGAGCATCAAAATTGTGATAAATGAGAATTAGAATGCGAGTGCGAGACGCGAAACGGCCAGAGATCCAGAGATACGAGAAAGGGATCGCTATAGAGGCGGCGAAAGAGACAGACAGCCGCCGGAGAAAGAGACCGCTATAGAGGAAAAGCAGCTGGCGACTTGCGCGCGTTTCTGGCGCGACTAAAAACGCCTGCTTACCGTTTTTGTTTTGGTACGTTTTTTATTTTATATTATTTTGTATTTAAAATTTGTTTTTTGATCTAGCAAGCAAACTAGATATTTTTAAGAATTTTTAAGAATTGTTCCTTTTTGAAAAAATTACTTTTTGAACCTGTTTTTCAAGTGGGTGGCAAAGTTTTTTGATACAACTTCCTTGAAAAATGTATGTTTTTAATTTCATCTGATATCTGTTACTATTTTGAACAGATATTTCTTTTTTCCTTTTAAAGGTTTTATTTAATTTATATCATAATTTTTGGACATTTTGGCTTAAACTTTTTTGTTAATTTTTTTAAACATTTTTCCTAAATCTTTTTGGAAAAAGCAGATATTACTGCAATATTTTGATACAAACCCAAAGCTGTGCGCAATTTTTTTGCAAATCACAATGCTTTATGCAATTTTTTTAGATTTTTGGCTCCCGTTTTTGATTAAAAATGTTAATAAAAGCCAGATTCACTAATCCCCCATCGATTTATTCCAAAACAGGCAAGAATGCTTCGGATCGCCCTTCTTCAACGCCTGCATAGAGGCTCTTCAGCTGCACGAGGAGATGGACAAGTACAACGAATGGCGCGACACCCTGGGACGCAAGTAAATCGGCGACTATCTGGGATCCTCTGGCACCGTCACTGGCACGAGCAGCTACTTAATTCTATAAACTATTAACTAAAACTATTATTACTGATAACTACTGTGGCAGAACACGGCACGAAACAATGGCAACCAGGAAACGATCGACCCGCGGAATGTGTACCACTTAGAGAAATAACTAAATTAGATAACAAGAGAAAGCAGATCAAAAATATTGAAAAAAAATGATTATGACGAAAACAATTACTAAACTATTACACGTTACTTATCCGCACCGATATCGAAAAACGAAGAAAATTGGTTTATATTTATTTGTATTTCTATAATTCCCATGTCATGCACATCATCGATCCGTTGAACAGTCTCGTGGAGCTTTTAGTTGTAGTAAAATTACGAGAATTATGCTAACTTCTTTTATAAAAGAAAGCCGACAGGAAAGCAAAACAAACAAAACGAACGAACGAACAAGAATCAAAATGTCTGATGTAAATAAATTATTTTTGTCTTCTTTTAAAGATTTCTATACATACATATTTATAACGCCCCACTATTTTGTACATTTCTCTAATTTCGTAAGCTTAAGTTAACTTGTTACGGCAATCAAATTTACGTTCCACACATTTACACCACCCTGCAATAGAACACCCGAAAACGAGAAGCCCCCAACAAGATGGCATATGCCCTACAATTACATAACTATTAATTAATTTAAACTTGTTTGGATCTAGTCGTAAAATATAAATAAAGATTGTATATTTCAAGAGGAGTCGGCAGACAATTTGATTGCGGTGCAAAACTTTATTCAACACGTACTATATATTCCAATATCAATAATTCACAAGTGCAAGCGCGCCTTTCCGATTCGATTAGACTACGATAGGGATAAGATCGTGGATCTTGTGGTGGAATCATCATCCCAGGAGGCCATCATCTCACTTGAGGTGAATGAAATGCCAAGTGTCGACTGCAAAAACAAAGGACGTGGTTTTAGGGGGTTTATTGCAAGATTACACTTAGTAGGTATAAGAACATATGTACAAGCCAGCCAGATTACATGTATTTACAGCGTGGGTAGTTTCGTTTTTGGTTTGGTAACAGGACACAATTAAGTAGCTATTAGTAAGCATGCAGGTTGGGTTTTTGTGACCAATTTGTTTGCAAGATACTGGTTAAAGCGGGTGTTGAGTAGCGTGTGGTTTGTTTTGCTTGGGATCGGGTGAGGCAGCTATAAGCTCGATCTAACATAGTGAACCTTACCTGTGTCGGACACCTCCTCCACCTGTCCGCCCTCGGGGGCGTCGGAGAGCAGCTTCTCGGCCTCCTCCTTGGGAATAACGTGCTCCGAGTTGCGGTTGGTGATGTTGGTGCTGTAAAGGTAGGTAGTTACATTACTAATTTCATAAAGAACTGAAAGGGTGTTCAACCCACGTGGAGATGGAGCTGGAAGCGCCGCTCTGGTGCACCAAATTCTGCCAGAACTTGTGGGTCTCGGCAATGATGGTGGTGGCAAAGTCCGCGTTCTTGGCATCGCCGTTGAAGGCGAACTGATTCTCGGGCTTGCCATCGGGGATCTTGTAGATCTGCGGGTTAGAAACAGTTAAGAGTGTGCTTTTCAAGGCTAATAGGTTATTACCTTGAACCACTCGACGGTGGCGCGCAGCAGACCCGGGAAGTACTGGTCCACATCGGCGATATCGTTGACCTTGGAGGCCAGCGGATCGTTGACGTCGATGGCGATCACCTTCCAGTCGGTCTCGCCCTCGTCGATCAGGGCAATGGTGCCCAGCACCTTGACCTTGAGGACATCGCCCCGCTTGGCCACGCGGTAGCCAATCTCGATGACGTCGATGGGATCGTTGTCGCCCTTGCAGCCGGTGGAGGGCTCGATGTGGTCGGGGTTCTCCCAGGTCTGCGGCAGAGCGCCGTAGTTCCAGATGTAGCCCTTGTGCGGGAAGCAGTTGGCCACGAAGCGCAGCTTGCCCTTCTTGATGTCCTGCTTGATGGGGTTCAGCGGGGTCTTCAGGCTAATCTGGGGGTTCAGACATGCAATCGTTGGATTATAGTGGGCTATATATCATTGTGGGCTAGCCAGACTCACCTCCATCTTGGCGTTGGTCCAACGTGGCACCTCCACGACCATGTTGTAGACGGTCTTCTCCTCGTTGGCGTACAGTGGAATGTCGTGCATCGGCGAGATGACATTGCCGCACTTGTTTTCTGTGGAGAAAGGCCAGAAATTAGTAGTGCTTAGTTGATATTCAGATGACACCTGGACACGCGATTTGATTGATGGTCAAAGGTCACCAATTAAGTGAAATTTGACCAGCCAATTCGATATCTGCTATATAGTTTGCTATGTGGATAGAATAATATAGCCAAGAGATAAGGCTGAAATGGTAGAAACTCTAGGTGTTTCCGCCAGTTCCGCCGGATCGGCTGATAGTGCCCATAAAGATAAAGGCGCTGTGACGAGCTGAATAGCCAGAGTCCGGTTTGACTTGTTGCATAATCAGCCCGGCTGCGATTAACTAAGCTGTACTAGTTTGAGTGACTAGTTGGGGGACTTGCCAATGCATTTTGCATTTTCGGATGCGGAAGGGGTTATGCCGGGTCAAGTTACTCACTGAAATACAGGCTGTAGCTGGGCGAATTCTTGGCGCCCTTCTCAACGGTTTCGTACAGAGCCATCTCGACTGGTTTCGTGCGCTTCCGCTCCGTCTGAATGTATCTGAAATTACTAGCCAAAGGCGCTGATGACGCTGGAATCAAACCGGACAAGCGAGCGACGACCGCACGTGAAGCGAAAAATGAACTCCTTGTAATTTCTGCCAACATTTTTGCAGCAGCCCTGGTGCGAGGCAATCGATAGGAGATGGTTAGGTTTATCGAAGTGCGACACTGGCTGTTAACAGGGGTATTCCTCCAAACAGCTTGTTTCCATTGTAATTCTTTTGTGTGGTTATTAAACATATCTTATTTGTAAATTTTAGATTGGTGTCTCTTGATTGTCGTTGATTTTATTGTTAAAAACAAAAAATGATCAATTATTTTTGTTTCGTGGTTGAATTTTCAACTGTGTGAAGGTGCGATGTAGATCTACCTGTTTTAAAAGAGTCTGAGTGCTGAATAAAACAATTAGTAAGTCAGAAAATCTAAAAATATACTTAATAATTTTACCAAGGCTTTTTAAACTCTGGAAATTTAATTGCATGAAACAGCTGATAAAAATCTGATAGAAATTCAAACATTCAACAGTTTTGGGAACCCCCTAATATTTCATTTTCAACATGTAAACTTAACATACCTTATTTTATCGTTATCGATTCACTATCGCCAAAGGTCCATCTCCCATCAGGTTTCCCAATTTCAGAGTTTTCTTTTTCGTTCGTCGTGTGCGTGTTGCGTTGCCCTCGTGTTACACTGCAATTATTTCCCCCAATTCGACTGACTCCGCTGACGAAGTGAGCCAGTGCAGGCGAAGAAGCCCCGGGATCCGAGAACCCCCAACCGAGTCACCAGCGAGCAGCCTCTGCGCTCCGATTTCCAAGTGCCCTTGGCAACAAGTAATTCTGCCCCTCGCCCCCCGAATTCTCAGCGAAGTCTCTGGAGAAATGCAGAACGGAAAGCCGAGATCTGCGGCCAGGCCGTCCTACCACCGCCGTCCCAGATCGGGAGTGCCCAGTTCCACACCCGCGGAGCATCCTGCGACCAAGCAGGAGACCCCCGAGAACCAAACGGTGGGCATCGACGACAATGCCTGCGTGGTGTGCTTCAAGAATGTGGACATCTACTCCATCGGGGACTGCGACCACCCCGTCTGCTACGAGTGCTCCACGCGGATGCGGGTGCTGTGCCAGCAGAACGAGTGCCCCATCTGCCGGCATGTCCTTTCTAAGGTAAAGTCCCTCTTAATCTCTAAAGAGCACCCCTTTCTAATAGTATTCCCTGTAGGTTCTCTTCACCCTGGAGAAGCTGCCCTATCGCGAACTGGAGGCCAACAACCGCTCCGACTTCTACAGCAAGAAGTACCGCATCGGCTTCTGCAGCGCCGAGATTCAGCAGCAGTTCTTCAAGCTGCTCGACCATCCCTGTCCCAAGTTAGTAGCCCATTTAGCATTGCGATTCCTTCTCCTCACTTCTGCTTACATTCCAGATGCGACTCCCCTCCGTATAGAACCTTCCAGGGCCTTCGGAACCACGTGCGCAGCGAGCACAGCCTGCTGTACTGCGACCTCTGCGTGGAGACGCTCAAGATCTTCACCTTCGAGCGCCGCTGCTACACGCAGGCGGAGCTGCAGCTGCACAACACCAAGGGCGACCCGGACAACCGGTCGCACCGCGGCCACCCGCTGTGCGAGTACTGCAAGAAGCGCTACTTGGACCGCGACGAGCTGTTCCGGCATCTGCGGCGCGAGCACTACTTCTGCCACTTCTGCGACGCCGACGGCTGCAACGAGTTCTACAACGACTACGCGGACTTGGCCGACCACTTCCGGCAGGAGCACTTCCTCTGCGAGGAGGGCAAGTGCGCCACCGAGCAGTTCGTGGGCGCCTTTCGCAACGAGATCGAGTACAAGGCTCATGTGGCGAATGTGCATGGCAAGTCGCTCAACAAGCAGCAGGCCAAGCAGACGCGCACGTTGCAGCTGGAGATTACTTTGGGACCGCGCGGACGCAGCGGACAGACGGAGCAGGGCATAGCCAATATGAGAGCGAGGAACGAGGAGCACAACGACTACCTGGATGAGTTGCCCTCGAGCAGCCAGCGCCATGTGAGCATCGATGCCGGCAACGAGGAGCAGTTCCCCACTCTGCGGGGCGCTTCCACGGCGCCCAGCGTGTCGCTGGTTAGACCGCCGCCGCCCTCGATGCGCAATCTCAGCGGCACCTCGGGTCTGGCGCGGACCAAAGAGAATTTCCCGGCCCTGGGAGGGGGAAACGGAGGTGGCCCAGCTGGCGCACCCAGCAGCCTGGCCGCCAGAGCTGCCCAGTCGCAGCATCCCGTGGCAGCCGTTTTCAAGAAACCCACCACCGCCAGTCGCAGTGGAGCAGCCAGCAATGGAATGCTCCTGCATGTCTCCAATCGTCCAGCAGCAGCAGCTGCAGCTGCTCCGAAAAAAGCCAACGCACCGCAGCTCGACTTTCCCGCCTTGCCGGGCAAGGGAAACAAGAAGAACCTGCGCAACCTGGAGGAGGACATGCTGCCCAGCGGCTCTGCTGTGCCCATGACGAATATTTCCGCCAAGCACCGGTCGCTGGCCGACGACTACGTGTCGGTGGCCAATCCGAGCACCTTCCACAAGCTGCAAATGGTGCAGAAGGAGGAGGACGAGGCCAAGGCGCGCCAGGAGGCGCTGAAGAAGAGTGCGCCCAAGCTAACTGCTTCTGAATTTCCCAGCCTGGGCCCAAGTGCCAGTGGATCCAGCCGACCGAGTGCCTCCTTGAACTGGTCCAAGCCAACCAACGAGAAGAAGCAGCGGGAGCTGGAGAACCGCAAGGCCAAGGTGGCACCTGCACCGGTTCTGCCCACACCTACAGCTAGACCAGCTCCCAAGGCCACAAACAACAATGTCCAGGAGCAGCAGGCAAACAAGAAGGATAAGAAACCCAAGGATAAGAAGAATAATCAGGAGAATCAGCCCAATCAGCCGAAAACGGGCAAGCAGAAGGAGAAGAACAATAACAACGAACCGAAGGCGAATGGAGCTCCTCCCACGCCAATTCGTGCGCCTCCTGGCTTGGGATCTGGCGGACCGCTCAAGCCACCACCCGGATTCGTGTCCAATGTGACGGTCAACTCGGTGGCCAAGCTGCCCAACAATCTCACGTTCACCAGTTCGCTGGGCGAGTCCTATAACATTGTACCTAGCTCGTATAGCTACACCGATCCACCAGATACAGGATCTAGGAATCAGGTGAGGGATAAGCCTTTCTATATATCACTTTATTTAATAAGCTATTCTTTTCCCCTCTAGAAATTGGTGGACCAGGTCATGGAGCTACTCAAGACCCCAGAGGCATTGAACGAATTTCGCATGCTGTCGTCCAAGTTCCGGGACGGATCCTGTTCCGGACAGGCGTATTACGAGCACTGCCAGTGCGCCATGCTGAGTTCCTTCAACAACCTGTTTCCGGAGCTGCTGGCCATGCTGCCAGATATAAGCAAGCAACAGGTAGGAGGATTTTGGTTAATAAACCTTTTACTTACTAAATCTTACAATAATTATTTTCCCAGGAACTCTATCTAGTGCACAAGCAACACTTGAACAGCCTTTCGCCCGCCCAGCGCAAATCCGTGCCCACTCTGGAGGTTTGCAAGGTCTGCAAGCAGGTCCTCATCACCGCCGACTTGCAGGGCCACCAGCAGGCCCATGATTTAACCAAGAACTTTCCCGTGCTCGGAAGCTCGGCTTCCAATCGCAACTGAGGCGCACGGATCGTAGGACAACTAAAGCTTTATCCCCTGTATATTTTCTATGTATATACTACCGTTTTTCAATCAACCGGAAGCCCATGTCCCCAGGTCATGAATGTGAACTAGCCGAACTATAACGCCCCAAAAAACGCCATCCCCCCCACGAAGCAATCTGTTCCATGTGACTTAGTCCAGGCAGAAACCCGTTAATCCGGGATGCGTTTTCAATATTTACGAGTGAGCTTGTGTTTAGCAAATGCCCGCAGCCTAATAAAGTTCAAATCAATCACATTGCAATTTCGTAATTATCCGTAAGTGTTTAGCGTGCTCTTGAAAAAAACGGGAAGCCCCCTTATCGAATGGCAACATATGGTGGTCGGAGATTGGTTATCAACAAATTGAAATTGGCTGTAGGGGTCGCAGATTTATTATCTCACATATGGAGCGCTCGCCTGCTATCTGCTCTTATCTACATTGTTTGCCAAACAGTAGAAGCAACTTTGGAACTTGTGGGAAAGATTATGGAATACATTTATAGATCGACAGCCTGTAATGTTTACTAATTGTTGATTTTATAAAACTAAAGGACTTCAAATATAGGTGCTAAAAAGAATCATTTACCTTTAAAATGGTAGAAACAAATATACTAGATATGTACATCACATATTTAAAGATGTATCGACCTTAAAGATTTCTTGAATATTACTTATACACCATTTACAATTTTTTCCAAAAAAGTCGTTCTTTTCAATATTGTCAAATGTTTAATTTCAAAGAAATAATATTTTAAAAAAGGGAAATATGATTATGATCAATCATTGACAATCAATCAAAGGCAACAGAACGTTTCAGTTTTTTAATTCGTTAATTTTGAATATATAAGATAAGAAGAAAATATACGATATCGTATAAATTGACTTAAATTCATTCTCGACGTATTTTGCAATTGAATATTTTGCATTTGTCGTTCTTATTTGATGCCCACTGTAAGTAAATTCAAAACTTGGCGGTCTGGGCTCAACAATTAAGGAAATCACCTAAACCGAAAAAAGGTCATACTAAAAGCGAACAACAAAAAATGGACCGGCGCGAAGATGCCCTCCTACAGGTTTTAATAGTTATTACTATATTTAAGTAAACTTACTAAGGAATATCCCCGCACCATAGGCCCTCGATAAGAACGCCGGTGAAACGGAGCGCTGGCAGGCCTTCAAGAGGGACAATGAGAGCACCATCCGGAATTTAGACCTGTTCGCCCAGAAGCTCAGCGTGGAGGTTATGGTGCCCATCGGACGGAAGGCTCTGATGCCCGGCGAGCTGATCCACACCAACGAGCTGCTGGTGGGCCACTACGAGGGCTACTTCTCCGCCTGCTCGGCCCACAAGGCCAAGGAGATCTGCCGGCACCGCCTGCGATTGGCCGAGGAGCAGCTGAAGAAGCTGGAAGTCGAGTCGGATCTCTGGCAGTAAGTGGATGGGGTTACTTAAATCGAGGAAAAGTTATGTTTACACTTAACCACCCATAGAAACAAACTGAGTACTCCTCTGGCGGAGGGAGCGGTGCCCAGCGGGGATCAGGTGGAGATCGTGGAGGACTTCAACGAGGTGGCCCACAACCAGTGGATGACGGAGCACAGGGAGCGTGTGCGGCAGCAGAAGCAAAAGGAGCGCCTCAAACGGCAGGCAGAACCTCCAGGCGGCGATGACGAGGTGCTGAGGAAGCTGGAGGAGCGAGAGATGATGGAGGAACTGGGCCTAGATCCCGATAATATCAACGAGGAGCAGCTCCAAGGGCTGCTAAGTGTGGAATCAGCACCCCAAGAATCAAGCAACGAAAATGTAGCCAAGACTTTAAGCCAGGAACAGGAATCGGAGCTCTGGAAGAAGCTGGAGGCTGAGGAGCAGAATGAAGCGGAAGAACTCAACTCCGAAGCAGAAGAAAGCCTGAAAACCACGGATGACCTAGTGCGCCGCCTGATGTCCGGAGCAACAGAAGCTCCTTCGGCCAAGAAACGTATTGCAGGCACTAGAGACCCCGTGGAAATAGAGAAACCCACATCAGACGACTCTGACGAGGATGATGATGGTGACCAGGAAGAAGAGGTGCGAACCATTAGGGAGCAGATGTCCCTGCTGCCCAGCGAAGAGCGGGAGCCCTTCCTCAGAGCCCAACTGCAGGTGCTCAAGGCCAAGATGCGCAAGATACAAAAGGTGAACTTCATCAGCGACGAGCTAATTCACCTGATGAACGTGGTGGTCATGCTGGAGGACGACCTGCAGGACATGATATTCGAGCAGGAACTGGAGGCGGAGGCCAGCGAGGAGGAGCAGGAGGAGGTCGATGAAAACGAACCGCCGCCAGAGGAGCCCGAAATCGTACCTGAAGCCAGCACAAACAAACGCCGCATTTCCTTTGCCCTCGCCGACGAAAAGTTGGAGTTCAGAAGGGAGGAAACCGTGGCCGAAATGCTGCCCAATGCGAAAAAGAACTCCAGGGATGTTGTAAAGCTGGACGAACCAGTCAAATCGCCAGCGATTCCTCCGCCAACATCGAGTAAAAAAGTAACCAATATCCTGCAAAAAGTCGAGAGAAACATTGAGTATGTGAAGGAGAATCAGAGTGTCCAGGACTTTGATCTGCTCAATCGAATTCTGGAAGAGTCCACTGGACGTATTAACACCCTACACATTAGTTTCACACATTCCGATGCTGTGCCTTCTGCCAAAAGTGATCAAGATGATGCCATACCTGCAAGCCCAGGAGATTTCTACGAGAAGTATGAGAAGGACCTGGCTCAGCTCAACCCTTCGTTTCCCATCTATGTAAATGGCTTCGAGGGCGAGGAGCAGGTTAAAGTGCCCATAATGAGCGAAGCTTCCCGTGAATCCGCCTATGAAGATCCCAGAAGCCAGGTAAGATTATAGAAAAAAACCCAGGATGGAAACTAGAGCCCTGCGTGAATGCATTCAATGAATTATTTTGAAGTTTTTTTATATGAATGAATTAATTAGAATTTTGAGTTTAATAGAATTGAATGAATTTGAATTTTGAGTTTATTAGAATTAAATCAATTTGAATTTTGAGTTTAATAGAATTGAATGAATGAATGGCATGAATTCCGAATTAATTTAAACGAAAGGGCCATAATTTTGTGACTAAATCTGCCTGAATTTTATTTACTAAGCAGTTACCATTGATTTGTTAAATATTTTCCACCTTTCGTTCTCAAAAGAAAACACAAACAAAAATCTGGAAAATTCATAAAAATTATTAATTTATTCATTCAATTCGAAATGAATTAGAAAAACATTCAATTTATTTCACATAGAATTGAATTAAACAAATCAGAAAATTCATGGCATACTATGATAAAACAAAAATGGAAACTAATGGAGACTAACATGCTTCCTTTTGCAGTTCTCCAAGCCAACAGCCTCCGAGGAAGAATCAACCGACCCCGAATCAGTGACCAAGTCAATACTGCGCAATAAGGAGGCCGTGGAGCTGGAGCCCCACATCGTCAACCAGCAGCCAAAGAAAAGGAAGGGCAGGAAGCAAAAGAAAAAGGAGCGCACCCTGGACGACGACCTGCGCGACATGAGTGCCTACCAGAAGGTCATGCACGACCTCGTGGAGAAGGAGCCCAAGGAGCCGGAGCCCCTGCCGCAGGGCAAGTTCATCGACTCGCATGCCCCCAAGAAGCGGGTGAGCCGCTTCAAGGAGCAGCGGGCCCGCAACCGAACGTAGCGAAGGAGAAACACTTCTGCTTGTGGGAATTACTAGTATATTTGTTCAAGTTTAATGTGGATTTGTATTACAAACACAACGCAAACAATAAACAACTGCTACTGGTGTGTGTGTGGTGTACATTCGACTCTAAGTTAAACACTAGATGCTAGATCCGCTGAAACGGAATTTATTTTTAAAACATTTACAGTATAGGCTTCAATTTACATTAGATCAGAATGAGAGTTTTTGATTCAAAAATTCACTGCGCCTAAAGGAGCCCGGGCGGCCCGCCGATGTGCGATCGATCTCTCTTACAGGCTACTTTAAAAGTACATATTAACAGCTAATACATACAGTGCGGACCCTAAGCGTAAGTCTATCCAGCGCCGAAACCCTTGCAGTGAAACTAAAGTGTCTTGAGTGGCCGGGCAGCAGCAGGCCTCCAATGTGTCTGGTTGCGGAATTTCTATAGGTCAAAGTCTTCCAGGCCGAGGAACTCCCTCTCTAAGGCGGCGCCCATCATGTTCCATTCGCCGTCGTCCTCGTCCTCCGGGTCCTTCTCGCTGTTCGAATCGGATCCGATTTCTAGATCGGAAGGCAGATCTTCTCCTGAAACATTTAATTGTCAGTTAAGTGTAAAATTACTTAATGGATAACCACTAACCTCGTCGGAACTTGGCGCTGGGCATCTCATCGTCATCATCCTCCTTCTCATTATTGTCATCAGCATCGCCATCGCCCTCTTCATTCGAGCTGATATCAAACTCCATAACGTTTGGCGCTCCGATCATCACGTCCTCGCTCCGCGTAAAAAAGTCGTGGGCTCTATTTGAGTTATCATCCTCGCGCTTTCGCTTCAGCAGCTTCTTGTCCATCGGTGGATTTTCTGGAATTAATTTAAATATTTCAATTAAGTTAGTGCCACGTGGTTTAGTTATAACTTAAGCTCTCACCAAAGTTCACGGGTCCCTCGTCGCTGGACGAGTCGGACTCGAAGAATGTCTCGTAGTCCTTGTTCATCGACTCGATGTCCGCGTTGGTGAAGACCAGCAGCGGGTTTAGAGTTTCTCGGAAGTTGCCGCTCTGCTCCTCCTGCTGCTTGCTGCTCGACGGCGAGATCTCCGAGCGCTCGCTGTAGTTGACCACGTGCTCCGGGCTGTGGCAATGGGCGGGTGGCTGGCGGCCCTTGTTGCGCACCTTGCGGTCCAGCGGGAAGAGCTTCTCCTCCACGTGCTCCCAGCGCTCGGCGCAGGTCCACAACCAGTTGGCATTGACCACCTTGATGGCGGCCTCCTTCTTGGCGGCGTTGACCTTGTAGGTGCCCGCATTCACCGCCACCAGGTGCGTGATCTCCTTGCCTATGTTCGGCTGCACGTCGGCGCCCAGGCTCTTGGCGATGAAGTACGCCCGCGACTGCTCCAGCTTCATCTGCGTGGGCACCAGGCCGGAGAACACCAGGCTCTTGCCGCGCAGCACCTCGCAGCGGATCTTCGGCACGATGATCTTGAGGTCTGGTATCTCCGTGGTCTCGTCGTAGATGGCGTAGAATCGCTTGTGAATGTTGCGCAGTATGACCTCTAAATAAAGGAGATAGTCGTCGGGGTCCTCGATCTCTATCTGCTTCTGCCCCTCGATCGGTGGTCGAATGCTGGGCGTGATCTTCGACGTGGTGGCGACGTCCTCCTCTTCGGTGGTCGGGCTTTTCTCCTCCTCCTCTGGTGAAGTAGTGGATTCTACCAGTGGATTCTTCTCCGCCTTTGTGCTTGTGCTCTCCTTGGAATTCTCATCAATAACAACTACGTCTTCGCCATCGCTGGCCGCCTTCTCAGCATCTGGTGAGCCAGATGAACTATCGTCTATGACCATGACTTCCTCGGCGATGGTCTTGCCATTTAGTTTGTCACTCGGGTCTTTGGGTCCCTCTGCAGCAGAGTTGGAAATCTCGGGGTCCTCGAACACGTCCACCGATTCCTCGTTGCCCTCATCATCTTTGCTTGTGCTCGACACAGTATTGTCGCCCTTATCGGCGTCCTCTGGTTTCACTTCGCTGCTGGATTCCACCTTGTCCTTGTCCTCCTTCTTCTCGGTAATTTCTGGGGGAAATTAATTGATGTGTTATTGAAGATTGGTAGGGATTTCAAGCTCTAACCTTTGAAGTCAACGCCTTCGCCATCCAGCTCGTGCTTGGACAAGCCCGGCGGGGCATTAATGTCGCCCGTGTGCTGAAAGAAGTGGTAGGGCTTGACCTGGATCAGATTGGAGGCCATGTTCCACACATCCTCGCGATCATCGATGATGCAGACCATGGAATCGCCGTTCGGGAACAGAGCTCTGCAATAATAGTAATTTTAATAGTATAAATCAAGATTCCCTGACTCCAGTAACCCACTTTAAGTTATCCGTCTTGCTGGTGGCATTGAAGCACTCGTCGCGCGACAGAATGCGGTGCGAGAAGAACTTGCCATCGGGATCCAGAAGCTGGGCAATCATGTGCGCATAGTTACGCGCCCCAAAGGTGCAGATGTGGAGCTCGTAGAGCTGCGACATGCGCTCCAGGAACTCGGCGGTGCCGGGGCGCAGGCGCGTGTGGTACCACGGGGAATGCGGGCCGTACAGCTGGAAGTGGTAGATGCCCTTGATGTTCTCCGGCACCGTGTCGTTGGTGGTGTGGATCACCGTCTGGTCGAGATCCACCAGGAGCACCAGTTTCCTGTCGGCCAGCAGGCGGCGGGTGTCGTCGTGCCCGAGCTTCTGGGCCAGCTTCTGGGTGACCTTGAGATCGGGCATGGTGTGCACCATGGGCACCGAGGCCTCCGATGTTTGTCCCTGTTTGGGAGAGGGTGGTTTAATAATTCAGTAGGGTGGTTCGATATACTCACATTCTCGTTCTGACGCAAGTCGGCTCCGCAGTCCGCGCACATGTCCTTGATTACCGTGGTGTGTATGCACTCGGACAACTCCAGGATGGCATCCCTGAGGGGGAGGGGGAGGGGATCGGTTAGTGTGTATACGGCTGCATAATTGCATTCCCCCCGAAAACCACCCCCAAACTCACCCCTTCGAGAGCAGCTCCCCGTCCTTGCGGAGCCGCTTCTTCACCACTCCGGCGCGCTGCGACTTGTACTTCTGGATGGTGGATGAGGAGGCGGAGGAGGAGCCCTTTCCTGGCTTCCCATCCTCGCCCACCGGCTGGTAGAGAAACAGGATCTGGGCCGCCGACACGAATTGTCCCTCGCGAACCCGCCATTTATTGATTACCGCTCTCGTCTCGTTCTCTCCCAGCGCAGCTCTCAAAACAATGATGCCGCCGACGTTGTTGTTGTTGCCACCGCCGCTTCCACCGCTTCCTCCGCCGCCGCCATCGTCGCCGTCCGCCGGCCCGGCCTTGGCCACGCCCCCCGCCGCGCGGCTGGGCGTCGCGCCCTCCTCGTCCGCTGTGTTCTGCATCGCTGGGCTGGCGTTTTTATATACAATTAATTTGTTTAAATCTCCGTGCCTTGTTGTGTTTGCAATTTGTGTGAATGCGAAATTGCGCGAGGCATTCGCGGGGAAGCGCCGACAGACGTTCACCTGGCAAAAAACCAGCTGATTGGCGGCAAAAATCGATGGCGATTGCTAATAGTTATCGAAATTATGCATCTTGAAGAAGCTTCGCTTCTTTTTTTATTCGTGTTTTTCTCCTCTAATTGTTAATCCCACGGATGCTTTACTTTCACTTACACTTTGTAATCATAAAATGTTTTAAATATCTTCCTTAAAAAGTTCCCGCTCTTATTTAAATACATCGAACCAGTAGAAAGTTCAATGATCTGGTTCATATCACCAAAACTCACGTTTATATCGATTAACTTCTTGAACCACCTTAATAATAACAAAAAATTGAAAACAATATTATCCCAGAAATGAGCGATAAAGAGGATCTAAATCTAAAGCGCAGTGCGCCGGAGGAGGAGGATGCACCGCAGGCGGAGGAGGCCCCCGAGGAGGACGCCTGGATAGGACCAATGCCTTCCGAACAGAGCGCTCCTGTGCCGGCCAAGAAGAAGAAGGGTAACCACAAGTCCGCATCCTCCATTTACGCATTATAACTTATAAATAATTCCCTAAATAGTGCTGCCCTACGAGCACATCTACCTGGAGAACCTGCCCAATGCCGAGAGCTACGAGAGGAGCTACATGCACCGCGACGTGATCACCCATTTGGTGTCCACCAAGACGGACTTCGTGGTCACCGCCAGTCTGGACGGGCACATCAAGTTCTGGAAGAAGGGCGAGCTGGGCATTGAGTTCGTCAAGCATTTCCGCAGCCATCTGGTGCCCATTAAATCTTTAACCGCCAATGATAGCGGCACCTTGCTCTGCTCGGCGGCCACGGATCAGACGGCCAAGGTCTTCGATGTGGTCAACTTTGACATGATCAACATCATTCGCTTGGGCTTCACCCCGCAGTGCAGCGAGTGGATCAATGGGCCAGGAGATGCGGTGCAGGGATTGGCCATGTAAGAGGTTAATAAAAACCCAAGAGACTGGAGAGTAAAGTAGAATCCCCTTTCAGTTCGGACTCGGAGAGCAGCCGCATTCACATCTACGATGGCCAGGGAGGCGGAGAAGTCCTGCACACCTTGGAGAAGCTTCATTCCGCGCCAGTGGTGGCCATGTGCTTGAACGTCGCCATGGAGACAGTAATTTCCGTGGATCGCAATGGCATTCTGGAGTACTGGCAGAACTCCAAGCACGACTACAGCTTTCCCCAGCGACTGGTCAGCTTTGACTCCAAACTAGACACAAGTATGGTTCGCTGATATAGTTACCTCATCTCATATTCAACTAGAATCGTTTATCTAACAGGCCTCTTTGAGTTCGCCAAGCAAAAGACCCAAGTCACCGGCTTGGCGGCCACGCCGGATGGCAAGCGCTTTGCCGCCATTTCCACGGATCGCAAGGTGCGCGTTTTTCAGTTCAATACGGGCAAGTTGATCCGGGTGTTCGATGAAGCTCTCTCCACTTACACCCAAATGCAGCAGACGCAGCACGCTTTGCCCAACATGGAGTTTGGCAGAAGGTAAGGTACCTAGTTGTCTATTAGTTGGATATTAATTGTATGCCCCTTGCAGAATGGCAGCTGAGCGGGATCTGGAGAAGACGGCTCAAAACACCACCCTTAACATTCTGTTCGACAGCACTGGCAACTTTCTGCTCTACCCCACGATGCTGGGCATCAAGGTGATCAATGTGGTCACGAATCGCTGCGTCACCATTCTGGGGAAAACGGACAACATACGGCCCCTGCAGGTGGCCCTTTTCCAGGGGAGAATCAAGCGACAAAAGGCTGCCATAACCATGGAACAGGAGGCCAGTGAGAACCCAGCGCTGCAGAATATTTTGAACGATCCAACAGCCTTTTGCACGGCCTACAAGTTAGTTTACAGAACTGTTTAAGTTCGTAATTATTATTTCTTTTTTTTTTAGAAAAAACCGCTTCTACTTGTTCAGCCGAAGATTGCCCTCGGATCTGCAGGATGTGGATCGTGATATATTCAATGAGAAGCCTTCGAAGGAGGACATTATCGCAGTGCCCGAGGCCACAGGTACTTGGCTGTGACCTTTCTACTTCGTGTAGTCCCTTACTAACCACTAACCCATTTTTTATTGCACGCTAACCATATTTCAAGACGAAGGTTATCCTTATGTGATCTTTCAAGTTCAATTTAATACCAAATGTTTGATCTATTCTAGTCGTGCAACGTATTTACGAGAACGTGGTGCTGCACACCACAAAAGGTGACGTCCACATAAAGTTGTTCTTCAAGGAGGTTCCGAAAACAGTTGAGAATTTCTGTGTTCATGCGAAAAATGGGTATGATTTTTAACTAACAATTTGACTCAGATTTTAATCACACCTTCTTAATAGGTATTACAATGGCCACATTTTCCACCGCGTGATCAAGGGCTTCATGGTACAGACTGGCGATCCCACGGGAACGGGAACGGGCGGAAAATCCATTTGGGGAAGCGACTTCAAGGACGAATTCGTGGCAAGTTTGAAGCACGATCGTCCTTACACAGTTAGCATGGCGAATGCGGGTCCGAATACGAATGGCAGCCAGTTCTTCATAACAGTCCTGCCCACGGTAGGGATATATTCTTAAATTTTGGATGGTATAACTAATTAAACCCCATTTTTAGCCTTGGCTTGACAATAAGCACACGGTTTTCGGACGAGTCTACCGCGGTATGGAAGTGGTTCTCAACATTTGCAATTCAAAGGCTAATCCCAAAACCGATAAGCCCTATGATGACATTAAAATTATATCAATACACTTAAGTAATTAAAAAGAGATTGTAAATAAAGTTTTGAAGATTACCGAGTTTCAAATATCTTACGCGCGCGGTTGTGGTATTTTTTAGGCAATTGGTATTTCGGCGCTCTCTAAGTGCCACCCACTAAACAGCTGTTTTTGCATTCGGTGTTCCTTTTGTTCAGATAGTGTTATTAAAAAATGAAAAACTAGGACAAATATAACATTATTAGTAATATTTGAACCGGAAACAGCTGTGGTTTTCTTAGTATTAGGGGTTAATTTGTATCATGAAGTAGGAATTGCTAAATATAGGGAGTTGTTGCTTGCCAATTATGCGGGTTCTTGCAATTTGATATGATACGATTTGTTTATAGCCGAGAAAAAACAAAGAACCTAAGCTGACGAGTCACTTGTGCGTATCAATAATCTATAAGTGTCCGCAATCTATAACTAGAATAGCTTCTGCTCCAGATTCGAAACCTAGTTTTTGGGATCGCCAAGTCTATTTACGTTGGATGGGAAAAGGTATGTTGAGGTTTGTGATTTTTCCAATAGTTTATAACTTTTGTACTTCCGTTTTAAGCACTCAAGACATGAGCTAAATTATAAACTAACCAACCATGTCTCGAATGGATCCAAATGATGTCCGTAGTACCGCCCAGCTCATCCTGTCCAATGCTCGGCAGGGAAACAGCGCCTACAACATGCAGTACGATATGTGTGAGTACAAATCACTGGATAAATCTATAGTTCCATTCAAACCATAAAGATATTCAACCGATTTCAGCCCGATCACATTCCATCAACCTGATTACGGAGGAGTTCCTAGCCGGCTACATGTCCGATGGCAGGATGTCCGTGGTGCGGCGATTCTTCTGCCTCTTCGTCACTTTCGACTTGGTCTTCGTTTCCCTTCTGTGGCTCATTTGCATTGTGGTATGATATATGATCCCATGAATCACGGATATAAGGTTATTCATTCATTCACTTTGCCTTGCAGATCAACGGCGACAATATATTCACTGCCTTCCACAAACAGATCGTGGAGTACACCATCTACAAGTCGCTCTTCGATGTGGTGGCCATTGCCATCTGCCGATTCGTGGTGCTCATCTTCTTCTACGCCATATTGTACATCAATCACTGGTCCATCATAGCGGTGGGTTATAGAATTTCTTAAAAATATATATTAAATTTAACGGAATATTACTTAATCTTTGCAGCTCTCTACAAGTGGGTCTTGTTTGTTCCTGATTTCCAAGGTGTTTGTGTTCGATGTAAGATCAATAAACTTACCATCTCAATTTTAACTAACATCATATTATTTTTTCAGTGGCTGGACTCCAAGCAACAAGTATTCGAAGTCATCCTTATAATAACCTCGTTCATACTCGCTTGGGGAGAAGCCTGGTTCCTGGATTGCAGGGTGATTCCCCAAGAACGTCATGCGCAACACTATTTCCGAAGTAAGATCAGCCATCATCAGAAATCAGATTACCTATTGATTGTATTCCTTATTCAAGCGATGACCTCCAATGATCGCACCCCCATGGATCAGCCGGCGATTTTGATAGAGCACGAAAGGCCTCCGCAAAGTGTTACTGATTTCTACTCACCCCTGGACACAGCTCACCACTCCGATGAGGAGGAGGAGGAGGTAAGCTATTCATGAATGCGCATTTTAATGTCTGTATAGGCCTGGCGACTATATAAGATGCTGAGTGGATGGAACAGTAAAGTCTGTTCAGATGGCAACGGTAGATTTTGGAGTCTTTTCTGCTCTACTAATTGTTCTTACTCATTTGGATTTCAGGATGAGGAGTACAACCAAATGGGCTTGGATTGCCTGCGAAAGGCCTATGAGATCATCGAGTCCAGCGATTGGAAGGTGGAGAAGGTCAACCAAAAGGGCGACACCATACACAGCACTCAGCGGGAAAAGATTGGAAAGATTTACAAGTTGACGGTGGGTTGGGAGGAGTGCTTAAGCTATTAGACGTATATTAATAGATGTATTCTTCAGGCTCGTATAAAGTATCCTGCAAAGGCGCTGATGGAAGATCTATTCTATCGCATTGAAGACTGTCCCAAGTGGAATCCCGCTCTTCTAGAATCAAAAATAGTGCGAGTGAGTGGGCAGCTTAATAGATTCCTAAAGAACCCCTGTTAATATTTTGTATACGTTACAGAAAATCAACTCCTACACCGATATTACCTACCAGGTATCTGTTGGCGGCGGAGGAGGCATGGTGAAAAGCCGAGACTTCGTGAACCTGCGCTCCTGCCGTCTCTTCTACAACGGCAAGATTTGCGACGACGACGAGGCGGCTCAGCTGAGCAGTGATGATGGCGGCAGCAGCCTGAATCGCTCCTGCGAGGGCAGTGTTAGCACCATTTCGGACGGGGACTCGCACACCCCACTGCTGCCCAGCAGCGTGTCCAGCTGCAAGGCCACGTTTCCCAGTTCAACCAAGGCAGCAGCAGCCCCGACTCCCTTCGATACGCTGGGCAACAGCTTGGGCGCCAAGAGCTTGGGTCCCATTGTGAACTTTGAGGAGGAGCCGTCGCCACTGGAGCAGGACGAGTTCGAGGACGCCAAGGACAAGCTGGATGGCGAAGCAGATACCATGACAAAACCAAATCCACCCAGCGTGGGCAAGACCAAGGACAAGGTGTGGGTTACCTCGGCGATAAGTGTGCAATATGCTGGCGTTCCACCCTCGTCCAAGTACACAAGGGGTCAGAACATCGTCAGCGGGTTTGCCTTTCGCGAAATCGTTGGCAAGTCGGACAGCTGCATCGTGGAATGGGTGCTCTGCCTGGACCTAAAGGGCTACATACCTCGCTATGTCCTGGATGCAGTGAGTGCTGATAAATCTTCTTCTCTTCCAGTTTGATTGATGAATCATCCTTTTCAGGCCCTCACCTCCTCCATGACGGAATACATAACCAATCTGCGCAAGCATGTCAACGAACTGAGGCATCGGGGACGTGGCCGAGTGCCCAGGACCCACTAGAAGCGATCATCAAACTGTATTTTATCATTAATCCCATTGTATCTCAAGTGCAAGGGCTGCCGAATCGCAGCCAGGTATCTACTAGAATATTTTCAAGAAGATTTCAAGAGTTTTCGAAGCAGTGCTGTAAGTTTATTGAGTATTGTATATGTATACGTATGGCATAAGATCTATGTATCTATATGCACGGCTTACACTATAAATTTTATACATGACTTTTCTAATGTCCCCGGCATTTCCCCATTCAGCCGCAGGAATGCGACTGGTGCGTCAGTAGTCTCGATATCAGTTCTTGGAGGTGGAGTTGGAGGCGGAGCTGCAGGGCGTGGTCCTATTTGCTGTCGTTCTGGGGAAACCACATGGGACACGCCTCCATGGCCACCTCGCAAACGGCGCTCATCTTGGCGCTGTCGTAGTCTGGAAGGAATTATAGAAGTGATCTGATCTTCAGGAGGATCTGATCTTACCCAGGCTGCTGCGCTTGCCGAAGATGCTGCCGTTGAACGGAGGCTTCCTGTAGGCAGCCTCGCTGGAGCCCAGCAGAATGGCTGTGACGAGGATCGTGACCAGGAGCAGAGTGAGCGTGAATCGCAGAGCCATCTTGCAGTTTTCGTTGGGCGTCGTGGGCAGTGTGCAAAGGCTGGTCCAAGTGCTGCTGAATGCCGGAGGTTTCTGTGGCAATCCAAGCCGAATCCCCGGCTTTTATACCCGCCAACCGAGCAAAAGGATTCTAACTAATTGAGTTACCCACCCGGCTAATTGAAACGAGATTGCTTGGGGACTTGTATGTACGAGTGAGACCATAAAATGTGATTACATTCCACTTATTTACATTGCTGTGATGTGCTTAACTTAGATGCCCAGCCTACGTCTTGGCATTCCACTCGAGCACCTTGTTGAACTCTTTCTCGCCGAATCCTATGGCCGCCGACTGCTCCAGGCAGCTGGTCTGCCGCTTCAGGTTGTCGATCATGTAGAGCTGTTTCTTGTAGGCGTTTAGCAGGTCGCCCCGCTGGCGCTTCAGTGCCCGGATCCGGCTGTCCCGCTGCTTGAGTTCCTTGCGATGCACCTCCAGCTGGTCGCGCTGCTCCTCGCGTAGCTGCTTGACCTCCAGGCGAGCCGTGTCCGCATCTTCCTGGGCGCGGGACAGCCGGTTCTCCAGGTTCATGGTCGTCTGCCTCGAGACCTTGGCATCGCGCCTCAGCTGCTCCAGTTCCCGCTGCTGGATGGTAAAGTCCTGCTGCCGCTCCTTCTGCCGCCGGCTGGCATCCTCGCACTGCCGCTCGACGCGCATCAGCTGCTCGGAGAGGTGATTGTTGGAACTGATGGCCTGGTCGCGCTGGTTCTCCGACTTGCGCTGTGCCTCGAGGGCTAGCTCAAGCTGCTCCTTCTGGCGGGTCAACTCGCCGGCATGGTGGGCGTGGTCCTCCTCCAGGATGGCCACCTTGGCCTTCAGAAATCTACGAAATGTATTATGAATTTTACAATTTTCCAAATTTTGTAAACTTTTTGCAGATCATAGAAAAATATATACCTATATTGCCTTAATTCAATTGAATGTCTTCATTACTTTAAAAGATTAAAATACTAATATTTTTAAAGAACTTTTTAAGTGAGAGAAGAATAATTGGATTAAATCCGACTAAATCGAGAAATATAAAAGATTATATACATAGGTTGCCTTGATTCAAATGAAAGTTTTTTAGATTTAAAGATTATAATCCTAATATTTTTAAAGAACTTTTTTAAAGCAATTAAACAGTTTTAATTGGACTGAATAAAAAATGTGATGAATTGAATGTCTTCCATACTTTCAAAGATTATAATCCCTATATCTTAAAATAACTTTTTAAATGTAGAAGGAATAAGCGGGAATGCGCACGCACCTTTATAATACTTTCTAGGAAAGATCTTAATATAATAATTTTTGTAAATATTCCCATTTTGTAGCTTCCCCCACTCACTTGATAAAGTTGTCCTTGGTGACCTGCTTCTTCACCTGCCCATTGACGACGGTGGTGCTCTCCCGCTTCTGGGTGACCTCCACCTCGACGACTTCCTGCTTCCGGGATGCCTCCTCGGCGTCGCTGCGCAGCAGCTCGTCCAGCGAGGGACTCTCGCTGAAGTTGGGATTCCGGTACTTGACAAACGTGGCCGTCTTGCTGCTCACATCCCGCGTGAAGGTGCTGAACTTGGATACAGTGCGGGTGGTCGGAGAGGTGGGTGCGGCTGCGGATTTGGTTTGCTTCCAGTCGGCCGGCTTGGACTTGGTCAGCAGACTCGTCTCGGGCTGTGGCGAAGTGGTTGCTCTACCAGGTGGAGGAGGAAGAGGCTTCGTGGGCGTCGTGGTCACCCCCTTCTTCCGGAGCAGGCTGCTCGGACCTTTGTGCTTCTGGAAGGTGGCATATCGCGGCACCACCGCCGTGGATGCGGGTGATCCCTTGGCATCCCTTGGGTACATGGCTTCGGCGGCGGAACTGAGGGTCAGGAGATTGAGCTCCTGATTTATCTTGAAGAGTTCCTTTTCGCGGGACAGAAGTTCGGCCATTCCAGCAACTAAGTTTCCTGCAGCAACGATTCTGATTTGATAAAAGACCTGGACAGACTACACACATTGAATTTTTCTCAGATTTAATTTGCTGCTATCTCCACACACACGGCAATATCGAAGTTGATACGATAGATTCGCCTGAGGTAAATAAATTTGTTGGACACCAAACAGTGACAGTAACCCCTGGCTACCTAGTCCCCCGGAATCGCCGGCCGGGGAGTACTGGGAATTTCGCCGGCTCCCCTTGGAAGTCCATGTCCTGTTGCTATTTTGAGGGGTGGTTTTCAGTCGGTTTGTTCGATTGTCGTCCCCCCAGACGACTGTTGCTTGGCTTTGTCTGGTGTTAACCCCTCTGAAATTTTCTTGCGGATTGAGGAAGTCTATAAAGTATCGCAAGAGTGGGCGCTATAATTAACACAATAGATATTCGTTGGCGTGGGCTGACTATGCTAATGCTCTTCAGAATTTGTGTGATGTAACTGAGCTACAAATACGGTTTTTGGCATGATGAATCACAGGCCAACCTCTATGAGGTTGTAGTTAAATTCTTGAATGATCAACATTCTAATTTTTCTATTAATGTTCTTTAATATTTTTGTAATAAACATTATTACCAGATAATGAAGGAGGCTTTCTTTGGATAGGACCTTTCGCATATGAAGCGCCTAGGAACTTTACAGGGTCTGTCGTTTAAGACGTTATAATTGTAGGCATTTCCAAGGTACCCCAACTCGTCACAATGCTCATTTCCATTATTATTGTTCGGTTCCCCCGGACACCAAATATCTAAAGTCAATGGCTCACCAATTGCGAACCAATCATGCTTTCCGTGATGGGCCAAATCCGAACCAGAGGTCCAGTACACATTGTATATACGATTTTTCAACAGATACTGATTAACTAGATCCCATTCTTGAATGGTTTCGAAAGATATTAGCTGAGCGCCCAACCGATGACAAAATTCTGATGCATCAAACCAGTTCATTAGCGTGTTGGAAGCAATATAATAATACCCATGGCCGATCTTTACGAATGGGGCTGTTGTAAAATTCAGATGATCTGGTATTCCTATAAAGAATTAGAAATTACCGAACCAAATCTTATAATATGTGTTTAGTTGATTACCATCCTCAATAGTTGGTACTACTTCAAAGGCTCCAACGAGGCAAATGAGGCCTATTACAGAAATAAGCACGATGTATTTGATGACCATTTTTGTATTACTGAATGATACCCCACTGAATCGAGACGCTTTATAGAAAAACTATATTTACCTATTTATCGTTACGATCACAAAATAAGAAAAAGAGTTTTGTTTTCTATAAATATTTATTAACAAGCTGTGAAAATGGAAAGCTAGTTCTGTTTGTATATCTGAAAAAGTCATCGTTTACTTTTTATTAATTACTATAAGGTGTATTACATAAATATATGGCTACCTTTCCCACAAATATTGAGACTAGACCGATTTGTTAAATACAACACAATGTTGGCATTACTATAATCTAAATTGTAACTCAAATTGATTATCTCTTATGTATAATACCATATCGCAATGACTTTATTTTTCCCAAGCACCTTAGAACATGGTTTACTTATGCTAAATACCTAAAATGCTTAGAAGTGATAATTGAGGGAATCTGCTTATTTTTTAAGGAGCATTCTCTCACGTATCAAAAGAATAATTCCGTACACCCTTTAGGATCAAAGGGTCAAACAGAAGAGCACGCATAATAATCATAAATATTGGTATAACTATAAGTATAAACACAAACGCGTGACTTCAAGGGAAAGAGCTCCGAATATGGCAACAATTCGGGGTCTTCAAGGTGTCACAGCTACCTGTAGTCTTACCTGGATTTTCGAGGGTGCAAGGGTGCTGTGTTCACAGAATGTAAATGCAAGTTCAAGATTTATGTGCAACCGAAGTAAAACAAAGGAAGATAAAACATTTGTCGCACAGCCACGAGGCCTCGTTGAGCCAACCAATCAGCCTCAGCAGTAGTGGCTATATATGCCGTCACCAAGGTGTTCTGGTGACAACCCACACACTGGCCATAATTGCAGCGATCTGTTGCCAAGTTTGAGCCAGAGCACTGGCACAGCTGTGTTAAAACAGCATGACGCTGGTCTGGAGGGGCTTTTAAAGACACTTGGAAATTTTAGATATTTAGTATAGAATGAAAAGTCTTTGAGCCTTGATTTAAAAATGTTTTATTAAATTTAAAATGGTTTAAAGAGCCTTGATTTAAGCCTTTCCAAAGAACACTATAATTTCAATCAATTCTATCAATGTATAATTAAACTAAGATTAGATTTTTTAAAGACTCTTAGATGACAATGTCAATAAAAGTTCCAAAGAAACTAGCTTTAAAATGGTCTATAAATTAATGGTTTAAAAGTTATGATCATAGAAATAGAAGTTACAATTATTTAAATTACATTTTTGAAGACTATGGCTTTTTGTATATATTTTTTCTTTTTCCTAAATAACCCTTTCTTTCTCCTCAGTGTAGACTTGCGATATGGGATGACCACCGCCCGACCCTCTAATTATGCCGCACTCATTAGAAAGACAATCTGGACCCGTATCAGTAGGTGTATTAAAGGGAGCCAGCGGAGCGTGGCCGCCAGTCCCGCCGATCATCAAGTGCAGCCGAAGTAAACTGGACGACGTGTTACCAGTGAAAAAGTGGCAGCGACACCAAGCCGACCGCAAACAGCAGCAAAACCTGGGACACATTGTACTAACTACACTAAAACTCAGCGAAGAGCTCGTCCTAAGAGCGCGAGGCTACCTTGCCAATTGCTCCGAAACTACGATACTCCGAAAACCCCAGAGCGACGCTACTCCGAATCTTGGCAAGACCGGTTGTCTCGCCGTCTTGCGAGTGTCTCGCTTTCGGGCCGAGTCAGTCTTGGCCAGGTTGGTGAGCGAGACACATCCACAGCGCTCAACGAACCTCGATCCTAAGCGATCCGATACGATCCGATACCGATTCGATTCGTTTCGATCCCGAATCGTGCGTGAGTTTTTTACTGATAGAACTCCGTTTACCCGGTTCTCTAATTGGATCGTGCAAACGGATTGGAAACGGCTCTTCATAATTCAAGAAGATTTTCGATTCGAGATTTGAAATTGTTGCGGTGGTTGCTGTTGTGCTTTTGTGTGATATATTTTTGTCGTGATTTGATTTTCACTGATTGTTGTTGCCCTTGGGAAGCTATTAAGCTCGACGGGTGGTTGAACCGGGCCAGCAAATACGTGCTGAATGATTTGTGAATCTTTTGAATATTTCGCGTTGTTTTCTGGGGAAGTGTAAAAGTGTCGGAAAGTTTGTTGCCTCAGTCTTTTGTGTTGCTGAGACGGCGTAATAGCAGCGGCAGCAACAACAATTGGCCAAGGAGCCGCTCTTTTCGACTCTTTAAGCCGCTCTTGGCCAACTCTTAAATGTGCAATTCCCGCAGCGTTTGACATGTAAAACGAGTGTTGGCCACAAAACGAAATAATTATAGAGGAAGCCCGCAAAAAATAAAACACCACCAAGGAAGTATCGCAAAAATAAAACCATTAAACTAATGTGAAACCAAAATTCCGCTGAAATATTCAAAAATCATCATCGTTCCGGGCAACCAGTTTAAAGCATAGCAAAATCGCCAAACAACGGACACATAACAAATTGGATTACGCAAAAAGGGCGAAGTTGGATAGAGAGGTGAGTGTTTTGGAGTTTTATTTTTGAGTTTCGGTAACGAAAACCAGAAAACCGCAAAGAGAAACAGTTAAAATCAGGCAGAAAATCAAAGTTTGTGCCGTTTGCAAAAACAAAAGCGATGCCAAAGCAGCCTTAAAGATGACTTCATAAATCGCCAGACGCTGTGGATGTGCCAAAAATCCATCAGCCGAACCGGTTTGGCTTCAATTTGCCTCGCTCGAAATTCGAAATTCACGGAATACTTGACTCGTACTCTTGGGGGAATAAATTGAAGAAGCATTGCAATCGCTTTGCTGTGCAAATTAAATGGGCTTTATCTGCGAAAAAAGACTAAAAAACTGTCCCCATCTTTCTGGGGGATCTGGGGACCTGTTTGCCAAGGTTGCCGTTGCCTGTGGCCAAAATTGGCTGCCAAGTTCGCAGCCAGTTACATCACTTTTCGATCCGGGGACACCGATATGGTTGGGATGGGGTGAGCTATTTGAGTAGTCACATCACGGACATCCGCTTTTCCCAGTTACCATTTTCCCGGTTCCCGGTTTTCAATGCCCATTCCTGGATGTATGCGATACACCGAAAAAAACAACTATAATGGAAATCTAACTATTCGTGCGTTACTTCTAAAAATATCTTAATAAGATGAATATTAAGTTAGTACTTTTGGGAGTACTTAAGTTAGTAAGTTCGGTATATAAATGAAACTAGAAATTAACTTTATAATATTTAGTATATTGTTATTAATTCTAAATATAGTATATTTTCAATACAGCGAGTATTAGGAGTTATTCTCTGGTTTTTCTTTTTGTGTAAGTCATATGTCATCGGGGGTCTTGAAAACATAAAACCCCTAACCCATTTTCCCATTTTCCACACATTGTGTGAGGCCATTATAAGCCAGAATCTGTTGCTAATTGGCTCAGCCAACAAAAGTTCCTCTCCTTGTGGAACTTTTAGCACTTCCATGGATCATACAAGCCCATAATTATGTTCGTTTTTCCATTGTATGCCAGTTGGCGTCTAAAGAAGCAATTAGAAAAGTTGATTGATGGAGCGACGGAGGTTCGAGGTTCGAGACCATCCCGATCCGACACTTGCATCATCTGTGGGGTATGGGAATATGGGAACCTTTCCCTTTTGTCGGTGATGCATCGCCTATTAATTGGTTAATTTGTGGTTTGTTGGCCATCAAAATATTGTTGTCTGGCCAATGTAATGGTCTTCATCTGCGTTGAATGCAACGCCTTGTGTCTGGTGAATAATGGCCGTTCGGTTAAATTTAACTTCTGTGTTGGCTATATCCCAACTTATTCTCTCTGACATTCTCGGAAAGCTTTGAGGTTGGAAGTTTGAGGAACGCCAACGCAAGCGTAAAATTTGTATAATTAAAAGGCGAATCCGCGCTCGAGCTGCTCGAATACCAGTTTCCAGAGCCATCGTGTAGTTAACTTGTTTATATAACAGCCACACAACGGCTTGAAGTGACCTTGAGGCGCGTACAAAATAAAATAAAGACGGAAAATATGATTGTATGTATAAATGGTGTATTATTTTGATGTGACGCGATGTGCGCGAAGTGAGAGAAATAAAGGCAAATGGCGGACTTTCGGGGGTTCATGAACTAAGCCCGAGAAATGCGTGTGGGCTTGCCAAAAGGTGTGATGATTAATTTATAATCTCCCGCCGAAGAACTGACAAAGAAAGCGCCAAAAATGGTGAGTTCATTCAACCAAAAAAAGCCAAGATTTTCCGCTCATTCGCTGCTATTGATTTACAGTTCGAAACGAAAGACTTAGGCAGCGAACTTGCATTACTCATACGACGAGTTGGCGCTCGCCACTAATTATGCAAAAACCCAAAATGCTAGCGAAAGGCGTGCCCCAAAACCCAAAAAGCCGTGAGTCATAAACTGTTTTCTGCTCTCCGGCAAACGGACAATGTGCATTGGTTTTCTTGCTTGTTTTCGTATTTGTTTTTCTTATTTTTTGGCCAAAATGAAAAGTCGTCTGGCTAGTTGATTCGCTGTCCCCTGCCTCCCTCGCCACCTTTGCCGAATTAAATCAACATTGGCAAACTCAAGCGGACTTAAATGCAGGCTTTTACCTTAGACCAACCCCACGCAAAAAGCCCCGACTGCGACTGCAGTTGAATACGAGTTTGTTCGAATCACTCCGAAACGAAACACTTTCAAATCCGCAGCCTTAAATGGGGTGTGGCAGGCCAAGACTTTTGAACTGCCTTGAGTTGGCCTGCGATTAAAGGAAACGAACAGAGAATGGTGTCATATACTAAATGGTTTGGGTTCTCAAATATCGGATAGTGTGGAAAATAGGTTCCCAGGTTTTGCATCTAAAAATAGTAATGATTTTTGGGATCATTATTAGAGCTTAAAATTGGTCGATATATTCGATATGTTCACATTATCGTTTCGATAATTTAGATGTTTTCAATGGAAAAAGTATTTAAATATCAAAAAATATCGAAATGTCGATGTTTTTGCCAGATCTAATCTAATATTATTTTAATTGTTTTTTAAAAAGGCTTTCTAACTCCGAAAATTATATGCTCCTTTTCTTCAGCAAAGTTCTATGCTCGTTAAGCCAAAGTATGAGATCATTTGTTCCTTATACACATTTATTCTTCGGAGAAAATTATCTTTAAGCCCATACAATGAACCCAGGAAAATTTGGATAGAGTTATTATGGGAAACATGAGGTCAGCTCCGTCGGTTAGTAATTAGTAATGCCCGCTTCGCCGGCTCAACAGCAGATTCCCCCATCAAGACCAAGTATCCGCATTTAAAATAGCCCTCAATAAATGGGTTTTAATGACGAATTAGTCTCTTGCTTAGCTGGTTGACCAGCAGTAGCTGCCGCCAATGTCGCTGGGAGCCTCGATTTTAAGTACTTCTAGACGCGAAAAGCTCAAGCAAAAACGGAACTACAAAACTAGTTTTAGCTGTGCCTTCGGGCAAGAAAAAAAGATACAAAACAACAAAACAGCGGGTAACAATGGGCGCCAGTCAAAAGGCAAAAAAGCAAAAGGCGCAAAGTAAATGGCTAAAACTGAAATATTGTAGACCCGGCTGATAAAAATCAAACACATTCATGTCTACAGCTTAGCTCAAGTCACGTTCAATGCGAATTTCTTTGCCGTTTGTTTCGTGTTTATTATTTTTTTTGTTTGAGGCTAAAAAAAGAGGTAAAAAGCCTGTAAGCCACAAAAAATTAGGCGTCAAAATAAGAGAGAGAAATATATTTAGGCTGAGCCGCGGGCCGAGAGCAGTTGTGGGTGTCCAATCAGGGGTTTGCATATTTGAGCCAAATTGGACATCTTGACAAATGACAGAGAAATTACATAACATGGCCACAGCGAAAGATACGCAACGGATTGGCCAGTTTTTGGTCTTAAGACCCAAACTTGGTTCGCACAAAATGTGGCAAGAGACTGCGATGTGTCCACGCTCCAGTTTGAAGTCGAGATGCGTGTGGCAACAACCAGGTCAGCGCATTTTGGCCAAGAAGGTGGGGTTGCGTTGCGTTTTTCCACCCGTTTAAAGCCCCTAATGATGTGCGATTTTCCAGTTCTCACATTGTCTTAATGGCCAATTGTCCATTTAAAGCCGCCGCTGCTGTTGGCCCAAAGTGTACAAATCTATAAACGGAATCGGCGTTGGCGTTTATTGCAATTGACCAACCCAACGGCAAATTAAAACATTGTTGGCTCATTTGAGGCGAACAAAGGCGAGACAATTGCATTGACCTTGAGCCAATCGTCGGGTAGAAATAAAGTTCGTTCCGAGCCGTTGACTTTCGGAAGTCTGGCTAACAATCTATATAGCCCGGCTACCTGGCCATCAATCCCCCATCAAATGCCAGCTAATTGCTGGATCTGAGATCTCAAATTTATAATTTAAAATTCTAATTTCGAAAAACAAAAAATCGGAGCCTGCATACACAAGCAGGTGAAAGTCGATGCCTCAATTGCCATTGATCGGCGACGCTTGATTAGAGTTAGCCCGCTGGCCAACTAGAAGTTTTGAGCTTTGAGTCTTGACTCGGGTAAAAGTAAAAGCTAAGCCCCAAAGTCTGGCAATAAAGCCGGTCTGACCTCTTTTTTTTTGGTGGAATAGCTGCCCTTTTTGTTCGACTACTCGTTAATTGCCGTCATTAAGAACAATGCGGGAATATCGCACAATGCATCTTCGGAGCGGGTTTGGTCTTTGGTCTTCGAGTGTTTGAGTCTTTGGTCTTCAAGGCCCTAACCCTCCCCAACTTACTTTCTACGCCAGCGGAATTGCACCGAAATTAGCTCTACGCATGGGTATGCTACACAGAGAAAAATTAGATTGTTATGATATTTCAGCAAATATTTCTAGGGTCTATTTTATATACAAAAAAATAATAAATAAAAAATTATAAAAATATAATAAGTCTAAAATCTATATAGATAAGATATGCAGATTTATATTTCATGCTTTCTCATATCAATAGTTTTTTATCCCATATCAAAACTGTGATTTTGTTTAGACACCGGCTTAGGCTCGAAATATTAGTACACCCATCAAATTAATAACTCAAATCAGCAATTTAATCACCAGCATATGATATTATCATGTCATTTTTTCTCTGCGTGTGATTGATCACACTACACAGTCGTCGAGATGTACGTCGGAGATTTCCCATTTTAATGGCAAACCGCAACCGAAAGTTGGTAGAACCCCCCTGATCATCATGATAGTTCCAAATGGGTCAGCCACGTTAGTGAGTTGAGGCTTTAAGCCCGCATGTGATTGTGTGAGTTTGTGTGCTTAACACAGTTTTTGGTTTTGCTTGTGATTTTGCCATTGCCTTTGGCAATTCAGATTGGAACCAGATCTGCCAGTCAGCCGGCGATGGGAGTCGTCAGATATTCTAATTGACTGACTTCCCGAGATCTCGGAGATTTCTAAAGGTTCCCAGGTATGCGGCCTGATTAATGTGGTTCACCCAGATTGAGGTTCACGTTGATCTGCGATCTGTGATCTGCGGGAGGTCCGTTCCCTTTAATTATTCACTTCATTTGGGATTAGTTACGTCGGCCGTTAGCATTTAATTTTCAAATATTTAGCTGGGCTCAATTTTACGCACAGTTACGCGCCTTTTTCACGCTTTTCCTCTTTTCTCCCCGTTTTTCCAAGAGCCAACTATTTTCGCTCAAGCAGAAAGCCGTAAAGTTAAGTGTGCATTTCAAAACTATGTGCTTTTTGCATACCCTCGTTGGGTATTTAAAATTAAAAGCAAATAAATTGCGGGAAAATGGAAACACGCGAGGTCATTTAGCCGCCACATTAACAGAGCACACACACTTTAATGAAACTGCAATTGTTTAAACTTTAAACAGCAACAACGAAAAAGTAAAACACACAACTTTGTTGGCTTTTGGCTGGCACGCAAAACCCATTTAATTTATTCAGTTGCACGGCCCATTTTGTGGGTTTTTGTTTGTCATTTGGTGTTTGGATAGTTATTTCGGAGCTATTTGCTCTGTGAAATGTGTGTCAAATGAATTCAAATCGACACTTGGAGCTATCGGTTACAAGCGAATGCACACGATCGATTGGACAATGAATCATCATTGCATAATTTATATTCTACGCGAAGAGTTCTTGGATTCCATGGGGAGAATTACAAGTGGAGGAAATGCGATGCAGCTGCAGGAAATGCTGTCTTGCAGAGGGAGAAATGTATTCTCAGAAAATTTGGATACTAAAACATGGTATAATTTTTCAAATTTATTTTTATAAAATTTAACATTTTAATTTGATTAAAAAAACGATATTTCTATGAGAAGTTCTATACAAATAATCATAAAAATTCTAAGAAATACTTGCAATTTATTAGTAACACTTAAATATTTTTAAATATTTAAAAACGATATTTCTAGAATGTTTTAATGCTGATTTTACATTATTCATTGTTAGAAATATAAAAAAATCTTTAAGTATCCGATATGTTTATTTGTCCCTAATCTGTTTAAAATCTTTTCTTTTTTTGCTTTCTGTGTGATTTATATAAAACCGAAATATACACCAAATATCTGTAATTTGTGGCCCAATTCAATGCAATTTCCCTTATCACCGATGAACGTAATTGAAGGTCAGTGGTTTGCCATTTTCATTGGGCATTTGCCATTACGTTTTATTTTCCTTTTGCTGATTTTTCAGCTCGAACTGGGTAACGAGAGCAGATGCCAATCAAAAGTCATTATTCATAATGTTCATAATGTTGGCGTGCTTCGCCGCATTTTTCCAACTAATTTTTTGCCTGCATGAGGTGCGTTTTCAATTCCGAACTTTTTACCTGTCTGCCTCGCTTGCGTCACTTTGCTAATTTTAGCTAATTTATTGCAATGCCAGTGGAAGTACGAAGTACGTACGCTTGTTTGTGGGATGTTGTTGCTTTGAACTCAACTGGCGTCAGTTGGCAATTTGCATTCGACTCTAAGCCACGTTTGTCTACTTTACGGACTTCGTTTGGTGTTCAGGAAGTGTGGGGCCTCCAGCTTTTTGACAAATTGATGAATAGCGCCAAACAATCTATCAGTTTCAAGCGATATCCATTGACCCAATTCCGAAGCCGAGCTTCTCCCCGAACCAAAACTCGAACCAATTTCAATTACAACCAGACTCCCAACGAGAGATTACACCTCTTGGATAATAACCGGCCGTATCTGGGGGTCTGTATCTTGTATCTTGATACGGGGTGAGTGGATGTGGATGTGGATGGAAATGAGTGCTGTGCTGTCTTGTGACATCATCGCCGTGTGGCTGTGTGTATTTGTACTGAATGAAATGTGTTGGCAGCGTCAGCGGTAACAACAAATCATTATCGCCTCTCGGCCATCAGCGTAAGCCGCGTTTTGTTGTCTTACGACGCCCAAGAAAATGATCAATGTGCACGGGAAAAAATATGATCTCATTTCGGTTATCAACTGGGTGGTAGTTCGTATCTTAAAATGTCACGTTGGAGAAAAGAACAGTTTGGATTTGTAACAAAATGAAATATAAACTCTTAATGATTTTGTTACTATTTATTTACTGAGGTTAGTCAATAATATTTGCATTTGAACTACACTATATTATTTCTGGTTAATTTAAATATTTTTAAAAAATATAAAGAAATTAAAAGGCATAGTTAAACTCCAATTGCCGGGTTTTATTTTCCGTGCAGTGATCAGTTTGAAAATATCTTCCTGGCGTGACTCGCCTGCAAAGTTCTCACCGCTGCGGCAGGAAGTGGAAAAGCGTTTGTCACGGGCCATTGATATGCGCTTAATATCTCGTAATGCAGCGGCTACTGCAGCTGTCAAGAAAAGCGGGGGGAAAAGCGGAAACCCGAGTCATGATGCCATGAGTTGTTCGTTTGCTCTGCGCTCGAATGCTGGCATCTCCAAGATGATGTTGTACCACCTTCCTTGAGTTACGGCCACCACTTAATGCCGATGTTAACCCATTTGCAATAAGCCAGCACGCGAACTGAAAATTCGGCTCTGTTGACTTGACCCATTTGGCACAAACAGAAAGTTTGCCTTTGGGCCACGAAATTCATTACAGAATCGCTGTGTTCGAGTGATTTAGCATAATCCTCTATACATAAAAGTGTGTTGTGGGTGTGGAACCGGTTTTCTGAGGGTTTTTGAGCTTTAACTTTTGAGTTTTGACTATTTGCCAAGGTTTGCGATCCGCATTAATATCCGTCTTTCCGTCTCTTCTCACATTTGCAGCTCGCACTATGAAGACTGGCACTCCAATGGACATTTTCTACACGGCGCTGCACTTAATCGTAAGTATTACCTGGGTTCTCGGTCGGAAAATTGGCGAAGTCGGCCAGAACACATCAATCCAGGCAGCCCGCTGAATGACAATTGCATGCCAATGCGATTAACCTGAATGTGAGACTGGAGGCCAGTTGGTACTCCGCCTCCTCTTCAAACTCCTCAGTATGCTAAACGCGATTCCAAGTGGCCAAAAGTGGCACACCATGGCCCCAGCTCCATTCTAAGCCGCTTGGCCCCAAAGATTCGGGTTCAGAGGGTTAACTCCAAAGCCAGGCTGGCGAAAGTTTTTGCCAGGCTTTTCCCGGCTCTCGAGGAGCCTTAGAATCGTGAGAATCCAACTGCCGCAACCGCCGGCAACACGAAAACGAAATTTCCACTTTAATTAAAGAAGCTTACTGGCAATGGATTAGGCCAGGGACTTAATGTCGGCTTGCCGTGATTTATGTCAACGCTTTGTGGACCAAAGGGGTTCGGGGATCCATAGTCCGTACTATAGTATATGGTATTTGGTGTATGCTAATGAGTGACTTGTCTCCACTTTCTTTGCAGACAATCGCAGCTCTGACGACGCACGCGGCGCGGACTCCAACGGCAGTCAGTGAGTACATAAATCTGTCTATTAAGAAGCTAAACCACATTCTATGGATTGGGGGCCCCGTAGAAGAATTGCTAACAAATTGGTGGCGAAGACGCGGGAAAGATTAAACTCAGTTGGGGGCTTTTGTTAACCGAATGAAAACTAAGATTCAAATGAGACCTTTCAACTTGTTCAACCACTCAAAGTAGTTAAAACAAATATGCAAATACGATAATTAATATATTTTCTAAAATGAATTGGTGAAATAGTTGTGGCTGGTAAACTTTACTGGATTTTTTTGTTTGTACAGAATTGTCTCATAATATTGTTTTTAAAGATTAACAAATACCCATTTAATCAATCATGTTATTTATTATTACATAAAAACCACTAGTAAATTTATAAAAAAAAGGATAAAAATTCCGCAGACAGAGTTGAGATTGAAAGTAACAGAAATAGCATTACAATGATGAATTGGTACCCCTTCAAACTGCAAACTCCGAACCCGCGACTATTACCTAATTAGTTACAAAGACACTCCACTTTAATCCGCCAGCTTAAATCCGTTTGCCATTGTTAAGTAAACCCGCTAAGCTGGCTGTTGTCTTTCTGGTTGCCAAATCTCAGTTGACTCTGTTGGCAAAAAAGCGAAGCCAAAAGCAGGCATTATAATCGCATGGCAAACAAAAGTCTTTGGCGACTGGCCAAACATTGCGGCACACTTCCTTCTGGCTTTCACATTGCGTTTTTGGGATTTAAGGGGGCCTTTGGATTTGGCTAAGACCCCGATGACCTAGGATGATCGGGCAGCGATTCGTGGAGCGACTCGAGGTAGTTGAGGAACTGCTGGTAGGTGAAGAACTGCCCCTGGTTGCCGCCTGGCTTGCGATGGTAGGGGCACCGCTTGTTGAAGATCCACTTGCGCTGCTCGGGGGGATCGAACTCCTTGACCAGGCTGAAGATGCGTTGCGTCATTTCGCAGAGTTCGGAGGAGGTGTACCTAGGGATTGTATATAGCCGGGAACATAAGAAAATAACTCGTCTTTAAAGCTTACACGAAGGCCTTGTTGACTTTTTCCCTGACTTTGGGACTCTGGCAAATGCTGTTCAGCACCAAAGTCTTGTGTTCTGCCTGCAGAAATCGCAGAAAGAGCGCAGGAAGCAGGCAGAAACGCACAGAGCCCATCAGCTTCTCCATGTGCGTCTTCCTATTGGACCAGTCATAACTCAGCCAGCGAACGGCACTCATAAAGATCTGGGGGTTATAATGCCTATAATAATATGCCTAACCTCTGCCAGCACACCTCTATACCTCTATCTCACTGTTTACGCCCACACTGTGAATGCTGAGGAGTTCGCGGACCCAGTAAAAGTCCAGTTGCACAAACTCCTTGGAGGCCACCAGGGGCAGGAAGAACTCCTCGACGCGGGACAGCATCAGGAACTGGAACATGCGGATCTCGAACCTCTGGGCCTCCAGGAACAAGCCAAAAGCCAGGCTCCCGGACACAGAGCTCTCATTGAAGCAACCGAAGGCGAACTCCAGCAGCTCATCGATCTTCATGAACGTGGCTGCACTGTAGATTTCCACCAGGGAGCAGCCGCCCTTGGGTCGCTTGGTGATGTCCAGCATCCAGTTGTAGATGACGTGGAAGGCCGTCGGGGTCACCATGTCGGTGGGCAGGTGGGCACACAGGGTGCCCGCATCCTCGTAGTTCTGGAAGTACTTGGAGTAGGCCTGCAGGACTTGCAGGTGGCAGCGGAACTTGTATTTGCCCACATAGATCTTAAAGGAGCACAATTCGGGGTCATTCAGGAGGAGGAGCAGCTGTTCGTCAATGGGCTCCTTTGGCGTTTGCCTACAGTTCAAAGTGTCATTGCTAGGACTTTGCTTGGGTAGGACACTAAATTTAACATTTAGCGGTTCCAGCTCCAAAGCCAAGGATTTTTCGGAGCTGTAGAGATAAATTTACTATTTACTACTAATAAAATTGCACACTTTTTAAAGGGAAGTTGAAGAGATAGGAAATACAGTTTGACATAGAAATGTAAAACCAAAAACCGAAATTCGGAAATAATTCTAACATAGAATTGGTGCCATAGACTACCCCAAAGATACTTAAATTAAGAGTTACTTGCCTTATTTTTTCCGAATTAAAACTCTCTTTAGGAATATTAGTCCTAACGTTTTCACCAATTATGAGCTGTAGATCAGTTATTATTTTGCGTTCTATAGAAACTGAGAGGCTCTCCACTTACATCTTGATTCGAGAGCGAGGACTCTATAGATAGGCTTCTTAAGTTCTTAGTCTCTGGCTTCTTAAGTTGCGATTCCCCTCCCATTTTCTTCATATATGTACCAGTTATTGCTGCTGCCAGATCTGCGGCCAGAGCATCGATCTTGGCCTGGTCAACCTTTGGTCCTCCGTTTCCTGGCTTTTTCAACTCAATTCCCGTCACAAACTCATCCATCTTTGCACTTAAAATTTAGCTGATTCCATAAACCTGGTGAAAGCGATCGATAATCTGCTCGAATTAGATGTAAACCAGGAAATATCACATAAATCGGAGAGTAATAAACTGAAAAGCTGATTTATTTCGCCAGGCAAACACGACAGCGATTTGTAGGGTGTCTTGCATTATTTCTTTGTTCGCCGAGAGGCGGAGAGAAGAGTAATTTATGCGAACCCATTGTTGCCTTAGTCTAGTTTGTTCTATTTGAGGAGTGCAGTTCAGTTCGGTTCGCCTGCGGAGACCATAAAATTATACATAATAGAAAGCCATTAAATGTTTTATGTGCCAACGAAGTGGATGCCATTCCAGTAGACTGGAGTGTGGTAAGAAAAGAAAAGAAAAACCGGCTCTGCGCTGGCCGTGTTGCATGCAATTACTTTGCCCAGAACCGCAGTAAGTGATGCGAAATGCTGGCAGGTTCGTTGAACCACCTCGACCGAAGGCATCCCATCGCATCCCATATACCAAGTATATATACCATGTATACACACCGCCAACTGCCAGGGCGAACGTGCCTGGGCAGCTTTTCTCTTGGTCTTAAACTTGGTCTCGGTCTCTTCTTGCTCTTGGCAGCCAATTGTGTACCTTCGCAGGGGAACAGCAGGGAGTTCTTCTTCTGCTGAAAGCAGGAAATGCCACGAGCACCTCCAAATCCGAGTCCGAATCCCAGTTGGTTCGCCAAAGTTCAAGGAACTTGCAGCGTGGCGTCTTTCTAATGGCCACGAGCGCTTCTGTGGCGTGTCTTCACCCCATGTTGCTATTGCTATTGCTATTGCTATTGCTATTGCTTTGGCTGCTTCTGCTGATTTTCGAAGTTGCCGCTTCAATGGCTTCTCAATGTCATGAGCAAACACTGAGAAAAAATACTCTCTGTAATGTAAGAAATTATTATAACATCACTGAGGGCTTGCATTTGCATCAAATAGCTCTTAAAGAGGAAAACAAGTAGATAACATTACAAATTACCTTATCTTGACTATGCATTTGTTGTATTATTAGCAAAACAGTTTCTCAAAAAATCAAAATCGTATTAAACCATTATAAAATATTGTTCAATATTGAGTTCTAAAATTTGTTGGGGATTTTATGATATGTAAGGCTATTGTATCCTTTAAGATTCATTAATATTTAAGATTTTTTTTTATTTTGGTAGTTTATTAAATACATTATCTATAAAATTGGAAAAAAATGTACATATCTTAAGTATAGATCCGTATAGATCACCAGCTTTTTTTTTTTTTTTTTTTTTATTTTTTATTTTTTTTTTTTTTTTTAATTTTTATAATCAAGTTGGTAAAACTTATAAATACTTATTTAAATGTAATTTTTTCTCAGTACATCATTGTTATTTGTTTAAGTCTTCCGCATGCCGTATGACTCCAACTTGGAGCTATGGTCCTAACTAAATACTGCTCCCATGGGCCATTGTATTCCGCTCATGATTTATGCTAACGGCTCTTGAGGTTGCCTCCTCGTCCAAGTGGATGCGGCATCCTCCTGGTCGTCTAACTGTGCTTTTTTCGGCATTTGGGAGTGGGCCTTTGCCTGTCGTGTGTTACTGTTTGCATTTCATAATTTCCGACTTTGCGTTTTGCAGAGGATGCCCAGAGCTCACTGAGCGAGGAGATTGCGGCGGCGGAGGCGGAGATGGCCTCCACATCGAAGCCTTCGGTGGAGCCGAGTGTGCGGATCAAGTGCCTGTCCGGTTCGATGCTGATCACCATCAAAGACGCCCCACCGAATCACGAAACGGGGCTGTTCAGCGGCATGATCTACCCGAAGGGTCTGTCCAAGAACTCCACTTGCCTGAGCGAATACAGGTGAGTTGCGCCATTTAGATAAACCGATCTTGAGTTTAATCCATTATCTCCTCCCCCCAGAGATCATGTGGGTTCCCTGCGCTACAAACTGCCGCTGAGATCTTGCAACACGATGCCGAAGGAAACGGTAAGTCCAGAATTTCATTAGAAACACCCACTCAGGCAGATGGCTTAAACATAGATGACGCCATATGTCAACTTGTTCTACCATTTTGGCATGCAAATAAAAAATAAAAAATTAAACATTAAGCTTAAGCACTTATAAGGCAGGCGGACCCGAGACTCATTGGTTACAAGGTAAAGTCCATATGCCACGATGATTAGTCCATTGAAAGGTTGAAACTCAAATGGCCAACTCACGCACCTTTTGCGGCTGAACTAATGATGCGATTGTGATTGTGAAGCTTCCAGCTAAAATAGCAATCATTAGATATGGTGGATGAAATAAAGAACCTAATGGATAGGCCTGGCATTAATAAAAGTCTGTCGTTTAATGAGAATGTGGTGAAATTGCTTAAAAGGAAATATGATTTATTATTTATTTACACAGAAGATTATGAGATGATAGAAAAACATATTCAAGAACCTATTAAATTTATATTTAATTTAATTTTAATATTCTATAACTTATTCTATTTGCTTTCACAGTAGTTTAAGGGCTTATAACTTCTAGAACCTATTAAAAATATATTTTTCAGTCAGCAAGTTTCGCTGAGAACCAGATTTCCCAAGATCTCTGAGCCAATCAAGCGTACTATTTTGATCTAAGCCGACCGATCAACCATGACGAGCTGTCTCCCATGTCCCTGTAAACGATATCGAATGCTCTAATCCAAAAGACGGCCAAGATGTGCCATATAAATTTCAGTCTCGCCTCGCCTTTATTCGGTTTGTCTAATACGTATATGGGGCGACTTATTTATTGGCTCATTCACTCGATCGATTCGGGCAAACAACGGGCTGCGTTTGTGCTGCTGGGATCTGATTTTGAAATCTCAATTAGCACTTAACCGGGCTAATGTGGCTGCAACTCACGCACCGGCAGGCATTTGTGTATTTTATAGCCACTGCCACAGAGTCCGATTGTGATACATATTAATGTAATTTTCTCGGCATTTATGGGGCCAGCAGTTTGTTTTGTAATTCACTGTTTGTAGCGGCTGCTGTTAGCTGCTCTTTCCTTTCGCTCGATTGGATTGACACAATTTTTGAAATTACCAATGTTAATTGCAGTTACGACAGTCGATGTTGCAATGTGGCAACCAAGTGCAGTGCGTTCGAGAACCGCAAGATGTGATGAGAAGTTATCTATTGGGGTTAGCCAGCTGCTTTACGATTGTTATGGGCAATTAAATATGGGAAGAAAACGGTCTTTAATATTTATCTAACGTACTTAAAAATCTTATTTTTTTCGTGTTTAAATAAGAATTAAAAAGCCATCATGTTTCTACAATTTATTCGAGGTCTAACGGCCCAAACATTAAAACATAAATGCCATGTTAAGCACAACTTAGTTTGTTGCCTAAGTCATTCGTTTGATATTGATTTTTGTGCAAAAAACGTGTCTCACATAAATGATATGGATCTTTTCCTTAAGTGTTGATAATTTATTATGAAAATAGCTAATAGTATTTGTCTTTCATATGGAATTCCTACTTGATAAGGGGGGTATACCTCAGTTCGTTTCCTAAGTCATTCGTTTTGCTTGATGTTTTGAGCGAAAAATCTTATTAAAAATAAGAGACACACACAACGAGAGTTTACTGCCTTATAGATACTACATATAGTATTCTTTAGTTTGCTTTTCATTCAGTTCGTTTCCTAAGTCTTTCGTTTTTCATACCTTTGTCCTTCGCCGCCCCGCTTTTTCGTGTTGATCCAAGCAATTGACGCCGAGTGTTCGATAAGTAAGAATCGGTAGATGTTATTTACCCCCCGTAAATACTGGAAAATCAACAGAGGCGTCCAAGGCCCGTCGGTAGATATCTTAAATGTTTGTCATTAAACACGATGAGCGGGTCTCATCCAGCGTGCAGTCGCCTAATGGCCACCATCCTGCCTTACGTCATCCCCGCCAAGATGAGCTCATTGCAGTGTAAAAAGTCGCGTGACAAGCCGCCACATCAGCTGTCATTGGTACTTGCTCCCCCGAGGAGTCGAGGGTCGGGTGCGCATGTCAAGCATAATTAAATCAGCCACGAACAGGTATGAGTAGTATGAGTAGTACTCACACAGGGTCGCCCGTGGCTTGGGTGGGGATAGAAATTTTAATTAAAATTTAATTGCTACCATCCCAGAACTCCGAACAATTTTCCATAGCCCAGCAAGTAAGCCATCTTGCTGCGAAATCAATTTGTTCTGTCCGCTTTTAGGCCAGGTAATGCGTTCATTGGCCACCAATGCCGCCGGATGACCATGAAAAGTCCAAAAAGTGTACAAAACATGTAAGCGTTTTATGGCCCCCGTATTGCCGTATTGATATTTAAAGGCAGCTACCGCCGTGTTTGGAGCGAAGGTCGTCGGTCCAGCGATCGACTCCCACGCATCCGTTTTGAACCTGTTTCTCGGTGAAATATCTTTGAGTCAGTTGATACATTTACACTCCGAAGATCTGAGGCAAGCACAGGTATTTACGCGCAGAAGTGTTATAATGACATAATAGGGTTTTCTACCGTTAGAAACTCAAATCTTAAATGTCACTTTATTATGGTTTTTATTGGCCCATTGTCTCCAGATGAAAATGATGATGATGCCCAGCTGCTGAGAAGCGACACTTGAACATAACTGTCAACGGTTCTTGGTTCTTAGTTCTTGGGGGACTTGGGCAACAAAGGAAGCCCCAGCCCGGCCCGTTCTTTCTTCTCCGTTTCTTCTGACCATCTCTTGTTTTGGCTTGTTTTAAGTTTTAAGTCTTAAGCCAGCCAAGCGACGGAAATCATGTTGGGCAATAAATCGCACTCTGGCCAGTAGTATCCGAAGTCGGCTTCTTCTGGCCCTCGATTAATGCCTGCTATAAGAAGAAAAACAAACACAAGAATACCCGCCCGAGGAGAGCCCACTTAAGCGAAGAACTTCCGTGCCCAAATCTGTAGAGACCCAATTACAAAACATCCGCGCTGGCGGTGTGTATACAGTACAGTATACACTGTATTCAGTACTTACCCCTGTCATTACCTCACCTTTCTTCTGCCGAGTTCGGTTGCCAAAGCCATCGAGTGTGTACTCGATTTGTTTCTGCTGCCCGTTGGAATTAGCACAATCACCGATGGGCGAATAACCCGTTACAGGTACACAGAGAGAAAAAGTAGTCAACTTGTGGGCGAGCTTTGAAAGCTTTAATTTTTAAGAAAATGTACATGATAGAAATTATGCGTTCTACAAAATTCTAAAAAAAATAATTAAATCCTTGTTAGCCTTTTGAAAATTATTTCGATGCAGTTATTAAAAATTTATTTCTCTTATGACACATTTCCCCTAAAGAACCAACATAAGCTCAAAGTTTGAAAAGTATGGTAAAATAATATTTAATTATAAACACCTGCTGGTGCTAATAACCAGGTGGCAGCCCAAAGAGAGTTTCTCACCAGCGGATGTCCAATTAAAGTTCCCTTCCTAAGGGAAATTGCATCATGATCACGGCAGCATTCTTGGATTTTCCAAGTTCCCTTCGGTAACAAGCCATTAAAATTCATCATGCAAACTTGGCTAATTTGCGAGGAGATAAGACCCGCAGATCAGCAGATCCCCCGAGCGACTAGACGTCACACCTGGCTGATCGGCTCTAGCAGCGTTCTGATGGCGACTTCAGGAAGTGCTCCATAGGCCCCACTTTAGTATTAGTAGTGCCTGTCTTGGATGGCACATTCAACTTCTGAGGGGCGATTTCTGGCTGCAGCCGAGCGTGAACCTGAATGCATAATGAGAAGGGGCTTCGCCGCCATTATACTTGGGTTCAGGTGGCTGATATGGCTTCTCGGCAGCCAGTACTCGCTATATGGCATATGGTTTTCAGCATTAGCATTAGCCGGTGGCCAGCCCTGCTCACCGGCTGAATTGGGGGCGAATGGGTTTGATGTCCGGCTCTTTTGTCAGTAGGTGGTAATTTGATGTATCATTCTCACTTTGATGGTAATAACTTGGTACGAAGAAAGTATGCATTTAACTGAAGAAACAAAACTCATTTAAAATTAGATGTGAAATTGTTTAGCTTTGTGTACTTGTGTTCTTGATTTGAGAATTTTTGTATCTTTTATATGAGAATAAACGTTCTTGAAATAAAGACAGGATTTCAGGATTTTGTTTTGAAAGGGTTTTATTAAAGACTTCTCCTAAGCTTCACTCAGAAAAATAAAGATCAAATGTTCTTGATTTGAGAATTGGTTTATCTTTTATTCGAGAAGAATCGTTCTTGAAATAAAGACAAAAGTACTAAAGATTTTTTTTTGAAAGGGTTTCTTTAAAGACTTCTTCGTTGGCCATTGCTAGTAAAATTATATTAATAAAGATCTACTACAAAAAATTGTGTTATTTCACTATTTGAGAAACAACCTTGAAAGATTAATGTTTTTTAGTAACAAGAATTTTTAAATCCTTTCCCCTTTTCAGGATGACGGTGGCATCGAGTTCTTCAACACCATAGTGCTGCAGCCCCATCTGAAGCTCATTACGGATCTGGGACGTGGATACCACGTGCGCTGTGCCTACAAGAGTCGCGATGCCGCCATGAAGCCCAAGAAGTATCTGCGCAAGCACGCCCAGAAACCGCAGGCCTTCCGCAGCGAAGATCGGCGGGACTATGGACGCTCGCTGGACAAACAGCAGGACGATGACCTCGACGAGGAGGATGTCTACGATGCGAATGCGCCGCAGGCGGAGGAGGAGGATGTGAGCAACAACGAGATTCCCATGCCCGGTTGCCACATGAAGATCTACAACGATGAGCACAAGATAGCGGATGACGTGAAGATTGGCGATCCTCTGACCATCGTGATCAGCATCGATAGACAGCAGGTCTATGGACTCCATGTGACGGATTGCATAGTTCGCGATGGTTTGGGCTGGGGAGAGCAGCGATTGGTGGGCGAAGATGGGTGAGTTGGACTTAAATCCCCATATAGGATATATAATAAATATCCCTTTTTATAGCTGCCCCATGGACAACGAGATCATGGGTCAGTTCAACTACACCCAGGATCGCCTGGCCGCCAACGTGACCTTCCCTGCGCACAAGTTCCCCTACACCACCTCCGTCTACTACCAGTGCAACGTGCGGCTGTGCGCCCTGGAGGATCCCACCTGCCAGGAGGCGCCTCTCTGCAGCGGCAAGCGGCCCAAGCGCCAGGCTTCTGCGGACAGCAAGGAGGAGGACGGCCTGCCCGCCACCATAGAGGTCTTCTCGGGTCTGTATGTCAACGAGAACGAGAATGCCAATGACAGCGACGAGGATGCGGTCTACAAGGAGAAGGTGGGTAAACCGGAATATACAAGATCAGATTGATATGTGCTGGTCAATTTTAGATTTTTTAAAGATAAAAAAAAGATTATGTTTATATTTTTGTACATGATTTTTTCTAACAATACTTTATTTGGTATTTTATATGATTTGCTAAGATATCATGTTGATATGTTTGAATCATAAATTGCACATAAACCATATCGGTTTTTTATTGATATGAAATAAGGTAGAATTTACCCTATTTCATATCGAATTTTTTCTGCGTGATAATATACGATTAACACACCTTTTTTACAGACCCTCGATGATGCCCTCTGCGTCTCGCAGCGCACCTTCGCCATTGCCATCGCCATCGCCGGCCTGATCCTCATGCTGGCCGTGGTCGCCGCCGTGCTCTGCATCATGGCAAGGAGGAGCACCAAGACGGTGTCCAACTCGGGCAGCTCCATCTACAGCGGACCCTACACGAACACCGCCTTCTCGCACAGCAGCTAAGCGAAGGGCTCGCGAGGTCCTCGAATCTCTCCGAGATTCAGTTCAAAATTCAACGTTTCCAAAATTCAAAACACTCAAAGTGTTGAAAAAAAATCAGAGAGTTACCATTACCAGGAGGAGATTGAGATTCGGTCGCGCAGGTGCCGCTGCGGTAGTCAACGATTGATAGGATTGGGAGCCACTTAGCTTGTAAGGATGCCGGAGCAGTCAGTCGATCAGTCGGCTGTCTCTTAGGATTAAGCCTAGTCTTAGTTGCAGAATGATAAAATGATAATGATGTGCAGAGATTACCGGGCAATGTCCACCCCAATTGCCCGCTAATGTCGCAGAGATCTCGGGAACTCCATATATTTGTAATATACCCGGGGATCCCAAGAGAACTCTGTTCCGCACAGTCGGTGTTGGACTCGCCCTTCCTTCAGAAACTCCACTGTAAGTGCAAGCGTGTTTCTACATCCCCTACTCTATTAACTTCCCCTAACTTAATCACTCGAACTTACAACGAATGCAGCAGCCGACGCTCAGGTGATATTTGTACTCGTATCTAACTACTACTCGTAATTTATTAATTTATCCGATCCTCGACGACGCCCTCTTAGTAGAATTTCCTCAATATTTTCTTGTCATCGATTTATGTACTTAAACCTTGAGTGGAAGGAGCCCTTATTATAAAGCAGCCGTCCCAATCAGCCACTTACTATACTATATCTGTTATGATAATAATAATATGATATGGGTGGCAAACAGTTCTCAAACTCAATGTAAGCTGGCTTTTTGCACCGCTTCAATCGAGCATTCCCACGCCCACTGACACTTTATGAGGGAATGCTCCTCTGGAGCCGTTCAATTCACGCGATTCAATTCATATTCTAAAGCTCAATTTTAGTGTACCTCTAAGTTAATATTAATCATTGAACAATAAACTCAAATTGACCTAAATCTCTGAGATTGATTGACACTACCGGTTGGGGTTAGAAAATATAATAAAGTGAAATACAAATGGAGTTTCAGTATCAATTCAATTTCGGTATTGAAAAGACTCATTCATTTTCATCCAATGGCTATAATCTCACTTTTAATTTATAATTTACTCATGGGTCTGACCATGGGCTCCCTGAATTGCCCCACTGGAAAATCGAATCCCCTGCAGTTTCACCTGGTTCGTCAGTGTCAAAGAGCAGCGGCTGATGAAGCACTGGCCCTGGAAAATACATCCTCTCTAGAGGATTGCGTTAGTCTGGCTCATGAAAAGCGGGGCCTGGCCTTGAACTACGCCCCAGGAGGAGCAAAAAGGAGGAAAAACATATACGATCAGAGGTTCTTTGGCAAGGAGAATCATAAGCAGCAGCATTTACGAAGTCGTTTGAGTGTGTTCGAGCAGCCAGGGGAGTTTTTTAACTGCCATGTGCTGCAGTGTCCTCAGAACAATACGTTTTCCGGGATGGTCAACGACAGTCGCTTCGATTACTACAGTCTATATGGCAGGCCAACAGGTTGGTGGAGGTCTAGAATGACTCTTAAGATCTGAAATATTATAATTCTCTATGCTAGCTATTCGGAACTACAGCTGCGTACCGGAGGTGGGTCTCTTTGTGGTGTATACCCAGCCCAGTGTCTACTTGAATGCCTCTTTGGCCTGCTCCAACTCCTCGGAGTTCACTGGCAGTCTGGCCCACATAGCCTCCGAGTACAGAACCACCTCCTTGGCCCAGTGGTTACTGGAGTTCAACCGAAAGTCGCAGCCTCGAGGAGAGTCGAATGTGTTCCTGGCCTATGTGGGATTGGTGTACAACAGCTCCACTTCCCTGAGTCGTTTGGATTTCAGGAACTCTCAGCGGGAAAGCCTGCAGTGCTTTCTCTACAGGGCCTGGGATGCAGGTCATCCTCGTTTCGGGTGGGTAGGCAGTACATGTCATACAGTTTGGTTAACTTTGTGTATCTATATCACCAGCCGGGAGCTGAGCAATGCCAGCTGCGTGGCCCTGACGCCGCAGGGAACCTGGCAAACGCTCAACTGCGACCGGGAGCTGCCCTACATCTGCGAAATCCACACGGCCAGGCCGACTGGCACCTGGGAGAACTCCGATTCCGAGCTGGACATTGGCCCAAATGCAGTCTTCGAGTGCAACGATTGATTCGATTCTAGGGCAGCATGGATATTCGCAGCCGTTTTATTCACTTAAGCAGTTTTCAAAACACAAAAGCCCAATATAGATAAGAGTTTATACGGTGTTTGCCCGCCGCCACTCGCCACTCGCACGCCGTGGAAAGTGTTTAGTACCTAGTGTAGATGCTGGACAGGATCACCGAGCAGAGCGCCGTTTAGTGGTACTTGTAGTTCCTGTGGTGCTTCAACTTGGTGTAGTTAATCAGGTAGAAGAACGTCATGCTGGCGACGGTCAGCTGGAAGAAGGGAGCGATCCCGGCGCGCTTGGGGAACACGTACTTGTGCTGCCAGCGCCACCAGGCGCGGCTCACGGCTCCGGCCACCGCGTTGGGGGTCTTGTTGCGGCGTCCCAGCCAGGCGCCGATCTCGCCCAGCTTCACCTGGCCGAAGGGCACGTCGGCTGCAAAGAATCCGGGGAATTATGTAAAGTGGTCGTCGTTTTTCGGGGCAGTGTAAGTGTGCGTTCGCCGCAAGTTACGTAACTCCTTGCGAGACTCACCTTTGCCGTAGAAGCGAGCGGGGTCGTAGGGCCCGTGCACCTTGGGGTTGTACTCAGCTGGATAGTCACCGAAAGCCATCTCGCTGGTGGGTGGAAATGTATTCTCAATTCGAAATTCTTATGAAACGGAAAATTACGCCTGCTACTTACTCGTTCGATACCAAGTATGACCAGAGCGAGCTGCAGCGCAGTATTTTATTTTCCTGCTGGAATATACTAAACAATATACCTATAAGTTAGTATCAGAGACACAAACCATGGGAATATGGTCACACTAAAATATACGCGGTTGTGACGAAATATACGTTTTAGGGCCGTTTTCTCAAGTAAAATTCAGCTAATCGAAGGATAAATTTATCCAGGCGGCAAATCGGCTTTCGTTTTCTCGACCGTCTTTTTAAAAGAAGGCGCACTAATTTGAGACTAGGTGGCAACATCAACAGAGTTAACTAACTGTCAAAAATTAGTCGAACAATTTTCGAAAAATACCATAAAACAGTCACACTAACAGCTAATGATATAAACAAAATTTCAAAATAATAAAAACAAACAATGTCGGCAGAAATAAAGTTTTGCGGTAAAAATTATACCGATGAAGAGGAGAAAATTATTGTAGAACCTGTGCCTTCGGAATCACCTCCCACCAAATAATTAAAAGAAAACCCAAAAAACAATGAGCTGAAGCAATATTTAATTTTTTCTCGCCATCGATTTGATTTCACAGTCAAGAGGAAGAATTCAGAGTTGCACCGAGAAAACATCGCCTAACTACCGCATAAAAGAGCCCGTCAAAGTTGGATGGCGGACTAACTGGGAAATTTTCGAAACGCAAAACCTTACGGACCATCCGTTCAACGGATGGTACATGGTGGATGCAGCTCTGTGGGAAGACCCTATAAGAGCTATTATAAGCCATGGCTGACTGTATCAGTTGGTTCCCGGCCCCGGACAATGGGCTCCCCAATTTCTGCGCACAGACGACCCTGGACATTTGGCAGCTGTTGCTGGTTGCCGATCCCGTTGAAAGCGGCATTGGAACTTAGCCTTACTTACTCTTTCTATCCTTCTTTTAAAAAACAAAATTGTCATTTACTTGGCTGTTAATTAATGCTTAAAACTACCTCCAATTTAAATGTTGTTTATAACGTTATTGTTACCATGGGTAACAATGCAAATAAAATGAACAGGGCCGCCCATGGCGATTTACCTGAGATTAAATATTAAAAAAAATGACTTGGAATCTTTGCTATTTTATAAAAGTCAACAACCTTTTCTTGAAGATCTTCAATACGCGGGTACTGCATAAATGGTTTTGAAAAGGACGCTATAGCAAAAGAAACAAATTCTATAAAACAAAACTGTAATGTTCGAAGTAATTTCTTTGGTCTTGATATCTGCGCCGATAGGTTTGCACTTCAGACAATTCGACCATATTCCACAGAGTTTAAAGATAAATCGCTCGGGAATTCATTTTAAAATAAATGGGATGACTTTAACAATTTTGATTTAAATTTAACTGTAAATTGAATCAGTTGTTTTCGAATGAAGAGTGGAACCAGATTGACAACGCTCGAATGTCTGGCAACTCTTGAGCACAAATCCAACCACACAAATTTGGCACGGTGGATAAAGTACCGAGACAAAATTTGTCGCTACCTGCGCTAACATAAGGACGAGTAATCCATTTCTTGCTTATCGCTTATCGTGGTTAAGGTTGTTTCTTACGATTTACGCAGTGTGTTGTGTATTGGGTTTCTAAAAATGAAAGCGGGTGGCAAAAAAAAAAAACTAAAACGCGGCTGACAAGAGAAATACCAAATTGAGCTCAAGCAGCCACACCAATCCAAATTAACGCCGGGCAAATACGTATATAGCCGAGCCGAATATTAAAACTTAAAAACCCGCGCTTAAAATCTTAAAACTAATCTCACCTCGGCTAAACTAAACTAAATACGTCTTACGAGCTACTATTCCAACAGAGAAGCGGAGTTCAACGATTATACTACTTGACCACGAACTCTGTCATTGCGCTGCCTCTGCCTGCGGCTTGTTCTACGTTGCCGCTGTTCCCTTTTCATTTCAAATAAAGTTGACCGAAGTCAAACTGCGAAAAAATGGATCTAAATTTGGATATTATTTCAGAAAATAATATAAAAAAATGGCTGAAGCCGGCCAGAAGTTAAATACATCAAGTAAACTAATTATTTTATCAAAAACCACAAAAGACCTACAAAGACAAAAGGAAGCCATTACACTTCAACTATACAACAAAAATTTGTAAATGAAAGAAAAAAATTTACATGTCGATTTTTCAAACATTAGCACAAGAGCTTTAGAAACTGAGATGGATTAATGGAACAAAGTCGTTGTTCCAGCATTGACTGACATTGTTAGGAAGAACAATAGTTTTACACACAATAACGACCAAATCCTGGAACTAATTGCAAAGGCGTTTACTTTGCGAATAGAAGATGAAGAAGGAGAATTATGATTTTTTTTTTCAAGATAAAAACAAAGAAACAATGAGCATTCGTATCGTCTCGTCTCGGCGGGATTCGGGTTAAGGGGTTAAGTTTGGTGTCAAATAATCATGAACACAACTAGGGCTGTTCTGACTATTTGATAGCAGAACAACTTGGTATTTATTTCAACCATCGCTTAGGTTATATATAAATATTACTATCGGCTATGGGCAGACGCCTACATAAAGGCTTTAGGAAATTTACATTAATAGATTATTTTAACAAACATATGGTTGGTACAAAATTAATTTTAACATTGATTGGAAATAATAAACATTTTAGACATCAAATACTAGGTATTCTCTATAAAAAATATTTAAGTATCTACCGAGTATTTTTATCAGATATCGCAACTGCAAGTATCGGTGCCCGATATTGCAGCCACGATAAATGATGGAAGGAACAGCTGTTTTTCAATGTTTACGTTTTAAAATTACAAATTTGCAAGTTAAACAGAACAGATTTTTTGTGGATTTTCCGAAATAAAGCGGCCGCCTGCCGAAATCAAAGGAGTAAAAATATGCTGCCGCAGCTAACAGGAACAGTCCAGAGATGCGCAAAGGTGCCTTCGTCCAGCAAAAGCGATGCGCAGCGCAGCAGCAATTTTACCCAGTCCGCTGGGGCGTAAGGATTTATCAAATTCGTGTGTGCATTTTTAACTCACATATCTTCTCTTCCGCAATTACAGGTGTGTGTTTTAGAGACCAGCAGTTCATCGCCGAAGCTACTGGATGTTCCGCAGATAGGCGCAACTCGTAGTTGCGGCAGCAACCCATTTTTTGAAACAGCGCAGCCAGTGTACAGGAAGATTGCAGATTTTTAGCCAACCAGTTTTTCGTCGAAACTCTCCAGTTTGTAGGCCCCAACGGAGTCCCCCCGCTATTGCCACAGGTAGCAGGGGGTCCGGAGGGGCCGCAGCATAGGAGGCGCCGCACAAGAGACATCAACAGGTTGGTTTAGAAATAGCAGACTTTTCCAAAAATACAATTTTCCGTCTTCCGAACAGGGAAGTAGCCAGCGTTCTCGGAGTCGTCGAATGCAGCTCGGACCGTCGTTTTTGGAGTTTTAAGAAGTAGATATCTTCTTTTCCGCAATTACAGGTGTGTGTTGTAGCGACCATCAGTTTTTACTCAGAGATTCTTGAAGTTCAGCGAGCCAGGAAGACACTCCATCGGCAGTTGCCAGTCTGCGGTAGAGTCCTTAAGGACGCCGAAAAGTGTCCTGGGGGCCAGAAGTCGGCTGCAGACTGCAGCGGTCGGCTTCTAGACGGTCCAAAGGAGTAGTAGCTGGAATCTCGTTGTAGTTGGTGGGTTGGCGAACGAATAGCATCGATTTCCATAATCCAGATTTTTTCCTTTTCACTCCAGGTTGTAAATGCACACAGCTGTATGCACATTTTTGCTGTTCGGTGGTGTTAAAAGCAAACGGGTTGGAGTGTCCGAAAAGTAGCGCTGCAAAACCCTTGGCAGCAACATGTATTTGTGGCACGCAGCCGGTATCGGAGAATTTCGCAGGCAGCCGTTAACCAGACTGCTGCGAAAAATCCCACACATAACGGATACTACGGCCAAGTTGCAGCGGTCGTTTGACGGAGGTTGCACTGTGGTAGCAGTCGCAGATGACGCTGTCCAGACAAGAGTAGTAGCCAGTGTTTGGGGATTTCCGATTTACTGTTAAGAACAAGGACCATACAATTTAGCTGTACCAGTTAATTGGCAATAATTTTGGAAATATCCGTAATAGCGACCAGGGAATTTTGACAGTAGTAATTACGATTTTTTTTTAAGATAAACAAAGAAACAATGAGCATTCTCGTCTCGGCGGGATTCGGGTTAAGGGGTAGGGATGTCGAAATATTTAAAAATATCGTATCGATGATATTTTTTATTTAAACAAAAAATCAAAATGATATTTGATATATCAGAAAAAAAATATCTATATATCAGATATTTTTGATATTTTTGTTTTATTATTATTTTTTTTAATTTTAAGCTGCATAAGCATTAACCACTAAACATTAACCCACATACGATCTTAAATTATATTTTTATAATTTTTAGTTTATATTTATTAATAAATGAAAGAAAACAATATTTATTTTGGCTTTCTTTTGCTTTTATTTATAATATTAAAATCTAGTATTTCCCGCGATTTTTTTTTCTTGAATTCTGAATGCTATGCTATGCATTTTCACTTGCCGAAAAATAAATTTTAGCGGCGCATTTATACATTAAAATGCATTTTTGTTTGGTATTCTCGAATTGAAACTATCTTTTAAAATACCAAAAAATAGCTAAATATATTTCTAGTATTTTTCCGTTATATTTTTAAATTCAAAATACGTGTTTATCGATACATTACCGATTCCCGCTATTTTTCAAAGCAGGTACATCGATACATCGATATGATACATACATACGATATAATTTTAGGACCTTTTGCCCTCGATTTTTCGTGAGGATTTTCGGTATTTATATACTGCCAAAAATATACCACATCCAATTTTAGGACCTTTTGCACTCGAAAAAGCATGGTCTCGCTAAAATGCACACAGGGTTATCCGAGACACAAACCATGTGAATATGGTCTCACTAAAATGTACGTAGGGTACGAAATTCGTACTACGAATTACGAATTCTCTATACTTTCCCAAAATTGTAATGCAAAATCATAGAGTAAGAAATAATAAGTAATATTTTTCCTTGTATTTTTTATGATTTTTTGAATGAAGACATCTCAGTAAAATTTTTCGAATTACAAAAGAAAATTATTGAAAGTCCGTTAGGAATTTAAAAGCCTTTGAAAATTACCCTGATGTGGACCATCTTCCAAAAGACCTTCAGTTTGTGGACTTATTCAGGGCCAGTGCATGGTGACCTTGATTTCAAGGCTAAAAACCAAAAACAAAACAATAACAAACCATATTGCCATCTTCCTTGCTCTTCCTCATTCTCCATAAGCTTCAATTGCCGCTCCAAAAACTCAATAAGAGAGAGCAGTGCAGTTGCAGAAACTCACCATGGGCCCAAAATGCAGGTTTGAATCGAACATATATTACGTAATCACAGTTTCGACGATTTTTGACCCCCCCCCCCAATGTAATCAATTCTTCATACAAAAAAAAAAAAATTTGCACTAGAGTAATCATTTGGTGGACCCCCCTCCCCCCCCCTAGATGATTACGTAATATATGGACAGCCCCATATGAAAAATTAGGGAAATTTTCGTTTTTCGAAATTCGAAACAATTCCATTTTGGTCTTGAAATTCTGGTACAGACACTTCTCCCACAGTTTTTTTTCCCTTACTTTAATTGCTCCACCTTTTTTTTTGATGCCGGCGATCATAAGCGTAAATCAGAACGTTAGCTGTGTTCAAAAAATACCCCTCCTTGTTAGGGTCGTTCATATGCGGATCGACGGGCGGTGAGGTGGATATATCCGCACACTGTGGTGAAAAATATAATTAATTTTGGTATTCAAAAAGTACGCAAAAAAATGTTCTGATATTTCTGCGGGATTGCGCATTATTCTAAGTATCCAAAAAGCTATATAACATTAATATTTTTAACAAAAAAGTTTGAAAACATTTAAAGTATTATTTTTTTTATTCCTAAAGATATAATACTTTAGCAAAATACAGAAAATCTTTTCCATTGGGCATTGCCACAAAGTCACGTTCAAAATGGATGTTCAGAAAGTACAGGCAGCACACATTTTGGACTAAGGAAAATGAAGGAAGGGAAGGCAAGGGCCGATAAAGAGACAAAGAGAGAGAGAGAGCAAGGCAAAACAACCACCAAATGTTGAAAGGCAGCGAAAACCGGTTCCGGTTATTTCCGCGTATAAATGCAATTTTGTTGTGTATATTTATACCTATCGAAATGTAGAAGACATTTTTCAAATCGGACCATTCATTAAAAAGTTATACGATTTATAAATTGTCAACATATATCTATCTCCCTCGCACTCCCTTTAGCTGAGTTATGATTATTAGTCGGGACACCAACCCGACTATAGCGTTCTCTCTTGTTTTCATTTCTTGTCGTTGTATGTTTACAAAACAGTTGAGTATGGTTTTCCTAAAGATCAAATAAATTTTGAAAACGTATACTCGAAACATCGATTCTTTGAAGTCGAATATGTTAATCTTGTAAAAAGGGTTCCAGTTGGCCGCTTTCAAAATTTGTTATTGAGCGGAAAGATATAAAATCCACCATAGAAGGTTTTAGAGAACAGTAATAAAAAATATTAAGGATTTTGTACTTACGAAAGGTGTTTTAATTTTATAAAGGGCTTAAATACCATTTCTATTATAGGAAATGATTAAGTTATAAAGCCAAATAGTTAGGGTATGCCCCAAAATGTTCATGTAACATTACTTTGAACTCTTTAATGAGGACTCTTATTTAGTTCGGCAATTCGTTTCATTTATTTGGCCTTTTGCCCGGTAGTAACTTATACATATGCCAACATACATACACACATATCTACATAAATTCCTGAATAATTACAAGTGTAAAAAACAAGCGAAAAATGCAGAGATATATCTTAAGAATTCTTTTTATTTCTACCTCTATAAATATAAATAATAAACTTAAATTACAAGTAAATGTGTTTGGATACTTATTTATTGTAATTTTATAAAGCATATTAAGTTATGTGGAATTCATTCTTTGTCTTAAAATCTTAATAACTGGTATATTTTATGATGGCAAATGTTAACTATTATTTATTTATTATATTTAAATTATTTTAGAAATTTTTGTTAAGCAAAAACATTATTTGAATAATTGTGAATAAAAAATACTTACAAAAATACCACAAGATATCCACCACAATTGAGCATAACATTTTTGTGGAGGACGTTTATAAACGATAACATTTTTGTGGAGGACGTTTATAAACGTTTTGATTGCACTTCACGTTGTTTCGTTACGTTTTGACTTTCTTGGTATTTTATTTGCCTGCTGGAATATACTAAACTCCATATCGAGAAGTTAGCATAGACACGAACCATGGGAGTATGGTCACCCTAAAATGTACGCAGGGTGCGGTTCATGTCTCCGCAAAGCCTGCGTAGTGAGACCATGCCAACTTATCGATATTCGGAAGACGTCGCCATCGATAGTTGGCCATCTCTGCAGCTACGGTATATACAGAAATCAAATTTTTTGCAATTTGAATTGGATCCCAATTGGAACGAGCTTGTAAGCGAAAGATAACAATGAAACTGGAGGATTTGCTGACCAAGGGGTCCTCCTCGCCGCCGGAGGACGACGACGAGGACGAGAAGGTGGAGCTGAAGCCCCAGAAGTCGCAGGGCAGCGCCACCCCGGACGAGGGGGCGGAGAACGCGGAGGATGCGGCCGAGGATGCTGGCGAAAAGGAAGGCGCCGGGGGCAAGAAGAAGGGCACGCGCAAGAAGCGCTCCCTCAACTGGGAGGAGGCCGAGCGGGGCCTGCTGCTCGAGGTCATCAAGTCCAAGGTGGCCTTCGTGGAGAACCGCAGCGTGGACGCCAAGAGCATAAAGGCGAAGCGCCTGGCCTGGTCGCAGATCACCAAGCAGTGAGTTGCGCAATCGGTGGAGGAGGAGCAGACCTGTTCTAACGATTCCCCTTCCCCCACACACAGGTTCAATGCCCTCAACTTCCGCCACCGCCTGCTGGAGCAGATCCAGGTGCAGTGGCGCAGCATGAAGAACTCCGCGAAGCGTGAGCACCAGCAGAAGCACCCGAAGACGGAGCCGCTGGAGGGCATGCGCATGATCGAGTTCCTGGAGGAGATGCAGAAGGATCCGGTCACCTCGCGCAGCCAGACGCGCAGCGCCAACACGAACGGGGCCCTGAAGAAGGAGCTGCTCGACATCGACGAGGACGAGGACATGCCGCTCGCCGCTCTGCCCAACTCCACGAACGCCAGCGAGGACACGCTGCAGACCTCCACCATGGCCATCCCCTCGCCGCCGCCCTCCACCGCCGGCGGGGACGGGGACTCGCAGCAGGAAGGCACTCCCGCCCAGCCGCCGGTCCAGCGACGCAAGCGGGCCAAGGCCAAGCAGTCGCCCTCGGGCGCCAAGACAGAAGCCTCCGCCGAAACGGGGGAGGAGAACGAAAAGGCGGCAGCTTCACCGAGAAAGCGGCGGCAGAGGAATGTGAGTTTTTCATCTAGGAATCTTGCTTATCAAATGCCCATATACCAAAAATCTTAAACGTTTCATTAAGCTAATGGTTTTCTATAACTAACTACTTAGGTTTAATTTATTAAAATTTAAAGTGCAAGTGATTAGACCGCTGGGCTACCGAATTTCACACTTTTGGAGTGATTTTTAAGGCAAATCGCCCTTGTATATAGAAAAAATTTTAGAAAAAATATGGCAATTCGCCGTTGGATTTAGAAAAGGTCAAAACGTAGCAAATCGAAATAAAATCGCACTAAATATTAGAAAAATTAACCTTAACCTGCCTTGAACTTATGGCAATGCTACATGGCCTATGCTACATATGAAATTTTAAAGATTTCGAGAAGAAAGAAGATTTATTCTAAGATCTTCAATATTAATAATCCTATTTTCATAACTGATAGAATATAAAATCTAAAACTCCCACTATAATAATATTTCCTCTTTCGCCAGCTCTCACAGGCCCAGTCGCTGTTGTCCGATGAGAACGAGGCCTCCAACAGCGTGGCTCCGAGCAGCTCGCACCCACAGTTCTCGCTGGGCGCCACACCGGCGGCGGACGCGAGTAGCCAGCCACTGGAGCTCGCCTCCGCCTCCTTCGAGGCGGAGCAGAAGTACAAGCAGGACCTGTTCCGGCTGCTGAAGCAGGCCCGCCTGGCCGAGATCGACTACGCCCGGCGGGAGCACGAGCAGAAGCTGCGCTTCGAGCAGATGGAGCAGGAGGTCAAGATGGCCTACTACCGGCAGGAGCAGGACCTCAAGCTGCGGCACATGCGCGAGGAGCACGACGTCCGGCTGCGGCAGCAGCGGCGGGAGCACGAGGCCCGCCTGGGGATCTACTCGCTGAAGGGGAGCGGCCTGAACGGCAGCATACAGGAGCAGAGCTCGGCCAAGTGCCATGCCAAGGCGGACTACAACAACGTGCACGAGGGGCCCGGGCCGTCGACCAGTGCGGAGGGGGCGCTGGCGCTCAACGCCGCCTGCAATTAGGGATCGGATTGGGTTGGCCCACATATGCATATACAATACGAATTGCCAGCAATTAGCAATTAGCGTGTAAGGGCATTTAGAGGAAACATCAACAGTACTTTAAAATTTAGCTTGAAATACGTTTAGCGAAATGTAGCTCAACTGGGGAATCCATATATTCCGGTTACGAATACGAAAGGGAATACTCATCGACACACTCAAGTTGCCACTCGGACGAAGGGACTGTTGTTTTTTGTGCATTTCGCACCGAACGAACTCACAGACATTGCATTTTCAAGAAATTAGTATTATATAATTGTATATCGGTATCAGTTAAGAAACTCCGGGCGAAGAGATCAATTCAAAACGCGGTTGTGTCGTCGAGAAACAAACTCAAACTCGAGCAAAATACTCAAGCACAGACTTTCGAATAAGTTCCCCTTGCAGAACGCAATTTACTCATCAGTCAGTATTCTCCATGGCCACTGTATTATTTTTATATATTCGATTTTTTAGTTCTAAGCTTTTTATTACACTTAACTACCATCTATACATAGGGTGCAACCATGCCGTAAATGTAAATCAGTGTATGTTTGTCCATACATTAACGAGAACTTTTATAATTCGTGTAATCATAAGTTACTGTACGTCGTGTTGTATAGCGCTGTAATATCCTGTCACTTGCTTCAGCTTAATAAATACCGTATATCGGGCGAGAGCGAGGTAAATTAAACCATTAGATAAATACAAATACATAGTGTGTAAACAGTTGGGCAGTGCGTTTTAATGGACTATATAATTGGAAAATCTCGAAAAATATTGGTTTGCTAAAAATATCAAAGTGTGCTAGTCTGATTTTTTACAATTTCAAATTCGAATTGTTATTTCTAACAGAGATTGCAATAAAATTGTATTCCTTAAGGATTAGTGCAAAATGAAGGACCTGGACGGTTCTCTGGATACCCTGGAAAATGCCCGCTTCAATTATCTCTATGTAAAGACTATTGCCAAGTTGGAAAAGGACTCCATCTTCTCACACAACGAGCTAGTCAGCATTGTGATGCTCTATCATAAATTCGTCCTGGTTAATGGACCCAGAGCTAAATATATGACCATCGCTCAACTGTCGATGCTAATGGAGCTTTTGTTTGAGATCGATGATCGTGATCTTAGTGCCACTATTGTGTATAGAATAGCCCATACTCGCGGATCCAGATCTCCGGATTTCTTTCCGGATAGACATGTGCATTTGGAGTCATTTGTGAGACTATTCACCATCTATTTTACCAGGGATCTGCAGATGAAGATGGAGTTTGCCTTTTCGGTGAGGAATTTATTCTTTATTATTTTTAGATAGATATTTTAAACCTTTATTGTAGATCTACGATAAGACGGATTCCCAGCAGTTGAATGGCGAGCAAGTGGGTTTTTTCGTAAGGAAATTTTTTGATTGCGAGGACGAAGACGAGGCCGCTGAACTGCGATTGGTTTGAAGAGTCTCCTATATATATTCAGTGATAAATATATTTCTCCTCCCCTTACAGGACATGAAGGAAATGCTCTTCCTTAAATTCGACCTGGACAAGGATACCAATATCGGGGCGGAGGAATATTACGAGGTGGTTCGTCGACAGCCGGAGTTACTAGAGTGCTTTGGCCGCGTCTTTCCCCCGAATCCCCAAATGGAGGTCCTTGCACTATGCGCCAATGTAATGTCCTGGTTTGACGACTCTCCCAATCCCAGACTTATGACAAATCCAGAAACCGAAAGGGCAGTTAGTTAACAGGATGGTGATATATGAATCCTAAGTTATATCCGATTTTAAAATTGTCCAACGTGTTGAAAAAGAATAATATCCTGTTTACTAGAGAAAACCTTTTAAAATGTACTAAAAATGTATTAAAGTAATATAAAAAATAAAGTAATAACGGTTAGGTTTATTATTTGGTCCGTTACTTTTTTTAAATTCGGGTCTGTAGCTATAGCTATAATCGATTCCGATTACCTATGTCTTGATAGCAATACCAGTGCTGTCATTTTGTCCTTTTTCCGGATAGAATCAAAATATGTTCTATTTTAAACGCCTTTTATATAAAAAATATTTACGGACAGGGTCCGGAAATAAGTGCTTGTTTCGTAAACAAGTTTTTAAGCTTTAATATTATGTCCCCTATACATTTAAAAATGGTTGTAATGCACTTCCCATTTTAATAATACTATAATATTACGTATACGCATAAATATAATATTAGCTATTAAATAATCAGGCGAGGAAGGCAGTGAGTCGGACACAAATTATAATTACATAATTGAATTAGATATTTAATCCATTTAAATTAAGTACTACTTTGAACGCGTAGGTTAAGGAATGAAATGGTTGAAATGTTAGATATTACGTATACGCATATAAAATTAAATTTCCAGCTTTTTTATGGCTTATCTGGCGTGTTTTTTTGGCAGCACTGATACCCACTGATACTGAACCCACGCACGCGAGACCTCCGTTGTAAACAATCCGAACGAGTCCCCTTAAACGCTTGCGGAATGGCCACCGAAGAGCACCAGCGCCTGGCCGGCATCGTGAAGAGCTGCCACGAGAGCCTGCGGCAGCTGACGAAGGAGCTGGGCGCCCGGGCGGCCTGGCAGGAGCACACGAGTCCGCGGAACGCCAAGCGGCTGGCGGAGTACGCCAAGGCCATGCGCCAACTGGCGTCCATATGGGAGACCAACGAGGGCAATGTGGAGCTGCAGGCGCGCAGCCGCATCAAGTGGGCCATCGACTACATCACCAAGTACTTCTTCACCGAGGGCATCTACCTGCAGAAGCGCCAGCGGGAGCAGCGCCTGCTGGAGTCCTACAGAGCGGAGGGCAAGCTGGGCGAGGTGGAGTGCCGGCTGATGGAGGAGCCGCCGGACAGGCTGCACGTGCTGGACGTGGGCAGCTGCTTCAATCCCTTCTCCAGTGCCCCCCACCTCGAGGTAACCGCCCTGGATCTGTGCCCCGCCACCGAAGACGTTCTGCAGGCGGACTTCCTCAAGGTGGAGGTGGTGCCGGAAATAGACGGGCCCCAGCTGGAGGCGGGCAGCGTAAGGAGGCTTCCGGCGAACCACTACGAGTGCGTCATCTTCAGCCTGCTGCTGGAGTACATGCCCAGCGCGGAGCAGCGGCTGCAGTGCTGCCTGAAGGCCTACGATCTGCTGCTGCCCGAGGGCATCCTCGTGCTCATCACACCCGACTCGCAGCACGTGGGCAAGAACGCGCACCTGATGAAGAACTGGCGCTACTCGCTGGCCAGGATCGGCCTGCTGCGGGTGCGCTTCGAGAAGCTGCCGCACATCTCGTGCATGGTCTTCCGCAAGGCCATCAGCCGGGAGCTCTCCCGCCACTGGGCGAGCGTCCACCGGGAGGAGGGGATGTGCGAGGAGATCCGGATACCGCAGGATGATAACTAGATAGCCAGATAAGAGGCCCCATAAATTACATTGTCCATGTCTACTTGTTTATGGCCTAACTTATCTGTGTGCTAAGTGCGAGTTAATAATAATGGTTGGCGATTTATCTACTATCTATAAATGCTACTGCTTCTGTTCCTGCGACTGGGGGAACAGGGCGGCGCCCGTCGTCTGGCGCTTCTTCATCGCCGAGGTGGCGCCCTGCGAAATCTTCATGATGTTCGGCGGCAGCGGCTTCTTCCTGTCCGCCTCCCACTCGGCGCGGTGGAGTCGCTGGCGGTGCTTGTACATGTTGGCGTTGGAGAAGAACGTCATGGGGCAGTTGGGGCAGGTGTAGAGCACCTCGCCGGTGTGGGTGGAAGTGTGTTCCTGTTGGATTAGATGGGTTTATGAATCTTATCTCTCTGTTCTCTCAAGACCTTAAACTCACCCGCAGATCCTGCGGTCTTTTAAAGGCCTTCTCGCACATCCCGCACTTGAACTTGCGCTCGCACAAATGGTTGTGGTAAATGTGCCGCTTGAGGGCCCTGGAATTGGTGGACGTCTTGTTGCAGATGTGGCAGCGGTGCTCCCCGCCCGGCGGCTCGTGCACCGTGTTCATGTGCTGCTTCAGTCCGGACAAGTGGCGCAGCCAGGTGCCGCAGATCTCGCACTGCACGGGATCGGGCTTGGGACGCGGCTCCTCGGAATGCTCCAGCTCGTGGTGCTTCTTGAGATTCGTTTGCGAGCGCAGCGTCTTGCCGCACTTGTCGCAGATGATGGCCGTTTCGGGGTCGTGCATGTACTTCAAGTGCTCCTTCAGCTTGCGCTCCGTGGGGATTCTGAAGGCATTGGGAGATTAGTTAGGGAATAAGCTACAAAGAATCAATAAAACCCACTTCTTGTTGCACTCCGGACAGGAGTACTTGAACTCCGACTTGGGCACGTGCTTGGACACGTAGTGGTACTCTATGGCCGCCTTGGTGATGAAGCTCTTGGGGCACTTCTCGCACTGGTAGACGGGCTTCTCCTTGGGCTCCGCCTTGACCTCCGGATTCGCGTGCGTCTGCTCGTGAACCTCGAGGCTGCGCGAGTCCTGGAACACGCGGCCGCACTGGGAGCACATGAAGTGCTCCGGGTTCTTGTGCACCAGCACGTGCTCCGCCAGCGCCTTGCGGATGTGGAACTTGCGCCCGCAGCACTGCATCCAGCCAGACTCGATGTTGTGCGAGAGGCGCTGGTGGCGGCGCATGTCGGCAAAGTTCTGCACCAGCAGGTTGCAGATGGCGCAGGGGAACTTCTTGAAGAACTGCAGGATGATCTCGTCGTACTCGCTCTGCTGCAGCTTCCGGCGCTCGATCTCCTCGCGGCTGAGGCGCACGGGCGGCACCAGCGGCTTCTCGCGCTTGCGGTACTTCTTGGGCTTCACCACCACCCGCTTGGGAATCTCGGCGTACCGCTCCTCGGGCTCAATGTCCGGCAAACTATGGTCTGAGTCCTCGCCACTGCTGTCGCTAGACGAGCTGCCGCTGTCGTCGGTGCCCAGGACGGCCTCGGGAGCCACAAACTCCATGTCATTGTCCTTGGCATCGTCTACGTCGTCGTCTTCTTCGTCGGAGTCCAGTTCCTTCTTGGGCGAAGCAGGCGGCTCCGGCTTGGCCTTGGGCGGACGACCACGCCGCGTGCTCCTGCGCAGCGGGAGGCCCTTCGCTGGTCCATTGGAGCTGCTTTTGACTTCGGATGACAGGAAATCCGCTAGCGGAGCATCCGAGTCGCTGTCCACTGGCCGTTCGTTCTTGATGCGCCGCTTTGGGTGCGGAGAACCGTCGTTGGGGGAGCCCCGCCGCTTGGTGGCAGGCCTGGTTTCCGTGTCAACCGGGTCCTCCAGGAGTTCCAGCTTGGGCAGCGGCTCCAGCTCGTTCACCTCCACCTTGACCTCGCTGGGGGCGAAGAAGCCCTCGGCCAGGGCGTCCAGTTCGGCGGAGAAGAGCGGGTTGGTGGCCACCTCCACCTCCACCTCCGTCTGGCCGCAGAACTCGATCTGCACGCTCTTGGAGTCGCTGCTCCTGGTGGCCACCTGGTGCAGGCCGGAGACCCGCTGGTGGAACTCCTCGAAGCTCCTGACGCAGGCCCAGCACTCCCGGCAGACCGACGCATCCTTGCCCGCCGTCAGGACCTGTGGAATACCGAAATGTTGATCCTAGATCACCTGAACTTTCGATTATGGCGCACAGCTTACCTCGGAGAACGAAAAGTGTTTAATGATGGTCGCCCTGATGTTCTGGCGGACGCCCTCCGGCGACTGCAGCAGGTGGCCGGCATAGGAGGTGGACAGGCAAAGCACGCAGGCCGTCATGATGTAACCGGTTCTAGTTGCAAGCTCCTAATTCAGCTCCATTTCCACTCACAAAGTTTTGTTTACGAATTTGCGAAAAATTGTTGTCCAAAGCCAAGCAGGGTTGTCAGGTGCGTGCAACTAGAGGTGGCCTAAGAACTAACCGATAGGTGGTTGTACGTGCTATATGACAAACGGTCCCTCTTAGCGGTGTCCCCCACCTATTATAGTATTTTTCTTGGAATAAATACCAAAACATAGCACGCACATTGCGAAATCAGCTGTTGCGTCGCGTCTGCAGAGAATCTCTTAAAGATCGTGGAGTTTTAATATTTTTACATCGTTTTAAGAACGTTTTGCTAGCAAAATGGGAAAGCCAAGGAGCAAAAAGGATCGCCATAAGGCCAGGAAGGAGAAACAACGTTGGCACAAGCGCGGTCTGGCCTCCACAAAGGCCTTTAACATCCTGCTCAAGCTATCCGACGAGGATCCCCAAAGGGAAGCGGATCCTGGCCCCTCATCCTCGGTAAGTTTCTTTATAAAACTATCCATTTTTGCGACATTTCCGAGTTCGCGTCGGTGGCACGCGCATCTTTCCGTTTTCCCGCGAGTGGCAACCAACCAGTGCGCAACCGCCGGCGCCCAACTCCCCACATTCCCAGCGAATAGTGAAAAGTTCCAGAAAGCCAAGCTCCAGCCAACCTGAATCATCGCTGTCTGGGCCAGTAAATCCAAATCCAAGAGGCCAAAAACCGAGAAACCCACCAAAACCAAGAACCCGAAGCCATGGAGAAGATCTGGAAGAAAGTGTGCGAGCACCACGACGTCCCGGAGCAGGTGGCCAACGAGTGGTTCGCCCGCATCCAGCAGCACCTGAGCTCCGAGGATCCCGCTCGCGCCTACCACAACTGGCAGGAGATGATGCAGCGCAAGGAGCCGCACCTGGCGGGCGTGGCCAATCCCAACATCGTGCTGGCCGCCTTCTTCCAGTACTACCACTTCGACGGCAACCGCAGCTGCGCCGAGCAGAACTGCGAGGTCTTCGAGGAGTTCTGCCAGGACGCCGTCATCGAGGATGACCACGCCAAGAGCCTGGTGTGCAATCTGCTGGGCCGCAAGACCCCCGAGAACCAGTTGACCTGGTGCCACGACGACGAGGCCAACTTGCTGCAGGACGTGGACCTCGTGGTGCTGGCGTGAGTATATCTACCCCTATATCATTATTCCCCCATCTTATCTGTATTTTCACCCACTCCAGGGCCTCCCCCGAGGAGTACAAGCACTACACCACCCTGCTCCGCTCGGAGTACGCCAATCTGGACGACGCCACCTACAAGGCCATGCGCATCAAGGTGCTGGAGACCCTGCTGATGATACCATCCATCTATGCCACCGGGGACTACCACGACAAGTACGAGGAGCTGGCCCGCGCCAACATACGCAACGAGATCGGCGAGCTGAAGAAACAGTAGAGTTGGACTACAAGATCGAAGGAATGCGACGGGGCTGCTGCTTTGTTTACTGCTATTGAGTTGTGTACTTACCGGCCGTTTTACCTCGTTTCGACTGCAAGGCATCTACCTAATTTTACTCCTAAGTCAAGTTTGTAATCAAAATCACTTTCCTAGTTAGTGTGTACGCCTAGATATATACGTAAGCCCTGTAGACTCTCCAGCTCACAATAAACTTGATGTAAATGATGTACCAAAAGCTGTAGTTTCACTCAAAGCACTTAAAGAACCAAAAGAAATATAAGAAACGCAGTAAGTAGGAAAAGTAACACTAGAATTACTTTTCTACAAATACGATAGAGTCACATATGTATGAAATTAAACGGACTATCTTTCCCCCGAATAGGTTGAAACACAAGAAACAGCGGTGTCCAGTTCAACTCCCGATATGCCGAATGCAGCGGCTCAGCCAAAGGGTTTCAGGAAGTTCAGAGATCCCCAGCCCAAGGTAACTCATCGAATTCTATAGATATTCCAATTATGGCATGCGATCTTCTGCAGAACTCTCCCAAAAGACTGAAGCGAAAGGCGATTCAAAAGAAGAAACTTGATCGCGAGTTGGTAACCAAACTACTCAGCTCTATCAAAAAGAAGTACAAGGTCCAGAATAACCATCAAATCAAGCGCAGGCTAGACTTTCGCAATAAAGAATCGCCGATTAAAAATGTTGTGCTGCCCAAACCAAAGTTCTACAGACCGCAGAAGGTAAAACTATTATTTAATATTAAAAACCACAGTTTTATACAGTTAAAATCATATTCAGGCTGCTGTAATTTCTGCGGAAAACCAAAATGACACCATTGAAGACGGAGAAATTGTCGAGGAGCTGGTGAGCAGCGACGACGACGACTGCGTGCTACTGGAAACCCCCAATGTCTCCATAAACATTGAAGATGATGAGGAAGATGATCAGCCCAGCACAAGTGGGAAACTCCTTAAGGATATAGTTGAAGATTCCAATGGCGAGGTTGCTTTGCGGGTAAAACCGAAGACGGAAAATCCAGTGTTGTACTCTACAATACTCAAAACGGAACCACCGCCACCCATCATCAACTTGGATGAAGTACCTGAAGCAGAGCCAACTGCAGCGGTAGACAACAACGATTCAGTAATATTCATTGAAGACACTATTGGCGGAGAAGATTTCATCCCCATCCCATCGTATTCGCCGCCTTTAAGGAAGGGAAAGAAGAAAAGGAGAAGTGAAAGGCTAAAGGCGGAATCGCCCAAAAAGAAGACCGCGCGGATGAATGACAGCCTTTTCACCACTGCCGAAAAGAAGAAGCTTGGCGATTACAATAGCAACACATTTAATCCCTCGGAGGAGGCGGGAGAGACTGCTGATAAGCCAAAAACGAATAAGCGATCTGTTATCATCGATGGCAGCAATGTGGCCTTTGCGTGAGTTTCCCATAGTTACCTACTTCTATTGAGATTTAACTATCCCATCTTCAACCCACAGCCATGGAAACTCGAACATCTTCTCCTCAGAGGGAATAAAGTATTGCTTGCAGTACTTTGAAAAGATAGGCCACGAAGTGAAGGCTGTGATTCCGATGTTCCGGAAGAACACCCACAAGTCCTCGAATCCCGAGCTCCTTGACAAGCTGCACAAGGAGGGCAAGATAGTGTTTACGCCGTGCAAAAACATTCCCGGCCAAATGTCATCCAGTTACGATGATCGGTGAGCTTCTTAGATGTTTTCCTGTGAATATAATAATAAGACCAATCTATTTCAGCTTCATATTGCAGCTGGCATACGAAAAGAACGCTGCCGTCGTTTCCAACGACAACTACAGAGACCTCATTGACGAGAATCCGGCCTTCAAAAAGATCGTGGAGAATCGCGTCCTTGGCTACTCGTGGTGCGACAACATATTCATTCTCCCCAAAGATCCCTACGGTCGCTGGGGACCCACACTCGATGAAATTTTAAGATGCTAGGACAGTTGGTTGATTTGTTAGCAATCCTTATCTTATCTATGTGAAATTTGTTTAGTTTCGTGTTGATATTCGCGGTCCATTCAACTTTATTTTCCTATATATTTTTCAAGTAGCGTTTAGTTTGTCAAAAATTATTTACTCACTTTGCATTGAATAATTTTCAGTTAGAAAAAATTCTTTTCTAATGCATCACCGAGTATTCTTCTGATATTATAATTCAAATAGCATTTAGTTGGTTAGAACTCATAAATTATTAATCTGCATTTAATCACCTCGTTTCCATTTAATAGTTTTCAGCCAAAAAAGTTTATTTTCTTTTAACTCTGTAAATATGTGGCGTGTTTTTGTGCGAATCCACCCGAAATTAAGCAATTCTCGAGGAGCAAAGTTTATATACATTAGCAAAACTGTACAGGTGTCTCGTATGGTGTATAAATAAGAATAAATGTGTAAGATTCCTCCGAATCGCAATGCTGAGTTACACCACCGGTGGCTGTCCGTTGACCAAAAACACGGTGGTTGTGGTGGAGGACGTGGTCGTGGTGGCCACATTCGCCTCGTAGACCGGCGGTGGTTCGTTGATTCCAGCAGCCAGATTGGGATTGCTCGCCTCCAAGCTGGTGGCTATGGTCAGGGTGCTGTCCTGCTTTCGCTCGCTGAAAGCGGCCTCGTCGTAGCTGGGCGGCAGATCCAAGGTCTTGGGCAGCACACTGACCTCATCCTGGGTATTCATGCACACGTTGCTGACTCCGCCGGAGCCGCCGTTGCAATTGTTCGTCACATTAATCTCCATTTGGCGACGGGCTGCGGGGAAACAAGGAGAGTTAAAAAAGCCTTTCACTTCATAATGGGTTCTATATCAATTACTACTTTGAACATTTTCTCATAAATAACTAAAGTTAATAATTAAATTATATTAAATTTAAATCTGCCCTGTAAAGTATAAGTAATAGTTTACGAATAGGTTGATATTAAGTAGAATATAATGATATTAAAAGATATGGCCATTTCAGTTGCCTAAAATATAAACAATAATTGCATTTAAAAACGTTAGAAAAGTTTTAAAATGGAATATTAATTTAAGTGCAAATTACCTGTTCAATTTAAGAAAATGAAAAAATAAACTTAACATTGGATTTAAATAGGCGGTAACCGCTTTGCTCTGTTAACCGCTAACTGTTAACTGTTAACCGCTGACTGGAAGAGGCGTAGGTAGCTAGCCGTAGAGGGGTTTATTTCTAAAATGTAGTAATATTGTTTCTCTAAATATAGTTCGAACCTCACTTATTAATATCTGTTTCATATATTGCTATTAATATTTTCAGACAAATTGAAACCCCCTCGATAAGACCCTGGCTACGCCCTTGAACCCCGCTGCTGGGTCAGCTGCTCTGACGTCAGCCGATCAGCTGTTGCCGCCAACCGAGGCCCACGAAACTTGGAGCGCTGCGATTTAATCACAGACTTTGCTATTTCAACACCTACGCGCCGTCGAAGAAGCGGCGCCACCTGAAGCGCACAGAATCGAGTAAGTGAAACCATCGGCAGGCATTCCAAGCGAGCGTTGGCTCACCTTCGGCCAGGTGTGTTTACATAATGACGCTGGCCAAATCGCCGAGGTGAAAGTTTAGCTGCATGTGAGCCCCGGGCAAATGAAATGGGAAAATGTAAATGAAAATGTTTGTGGAGATGCAACAGGTTTGGAGGTCTCGAACTGGCCAAAATCAGTTGGCGGAGGCCAAGGTTCAAAGTGCACTGAGTGATTCATTTAGCGATTAATCGGAGGTGAAAGCCCTGAGGTTAATCGCCGTTGACACCTGTTGATTTCGCACACTAGACTGAGCAATTTCCCTGTTTTCCCTTCAGAGATGCTGCTGCGTCGCGTTCTGGGCTACGGAGTCGTGGGCGCCGGACTGGCCTCCGCCGGCTGGAGCCTGCACACCAACGACTACGACCCCAACTCGCTGGGCATCGTCCGGCTGTCCCGATCCGCGGCCGCCGTCGTGGACGTGGCACTCACCTACAAGCGGGAGCTCTACTACAGGGAGTGGGACAAGGAGACGCCCGAGTACAAGGCGGAGAAGAGCCGCGTCCACAAGATTGCGGCCGAGAAGCTGCTCCAGCTGATCTGCACGAACAGGGGCGTCTACATCAAGGTGGGCCAGCACATCGGGGCCCTGGAGTACCTGCTGCCCAAGGAGTTTGTGCAGACCATGAAGGTGCTGCACTCGGACGCGCCGCAGAACCCCATCGAGGACCTGTACAAGGTGATCCGGCAGGACCTGCGCTGCAATCCCGAGGACATATTCGACAGCTTCGAGCGGGAGCCGCTGGGAACCGCCTCGCTGGCCCAGGTGCACAAGGCGCGGCTCAAGAGCGGCGAGGTGGTGGCCGTCAAGGTGCAGCACCCCTACGTCAAGGGCAACTCCCGCGTGGACATGAAGACCATGGAACTGGCGGTCAGCGTGCTGGCGCGCATTTTCCCCGACTTCAAGATCCACTGGCTGGTGGAGGAGTCCAAGAAGAACCTGCCCATCGAACTGGACTTCTTGAATGAGGGACGCAACGCCGAGAAGGTGGCCAAGCAGTTCGAGAAGTACTCCTGGCTGCGGGTGCCCAAGATCTACTGGGAGTTCAGCTCCTCCCGCGTCCTGGTCATGGAGTACCTGGAAGGCGGCCACGTCACGGACCTGGACTACATCCGGCGGAACAAAATCGACTCCTTTGCGGTGGCCAATCGCATCGGGCAGCTGTACTCCGAGATGATCTTCCGCACCGGCTTCGTGCACAGCGATCCGCATCCGGGCAACATCCTGGTGAGACGCACTCCGAAGGACAGCCTGGAAATCGTTCTGCTGGACCACGGGCTCTATGCCAATCTGACGGACAAGTTCCGCTACGATTACTCCAATCTCTGGCTGAGCATTCTCAACGTGGACCGCAAGGCGATGAGGCAGCACAGCGAGCAGCTGGGCATTAAGGTATTTAGCAGGGCCAAGTTATCCGTTGGAATCTTTCTAACTTATCTTTGTTCCAGGGTGATCTTTATGGCCTGTTTGCCTGCATGGTGACGGGACGACCCTGGGAGACGGTGATGCAGGGCCTCACCAAAGTCAAATATTCCAAAGAAGAGGTGCGTTTGTTTAGGACTAACAATTTACCAGTTACTCATGGTATTCCCTTCCTAATCCCGCAGAAGAACACGCTACAGAACAACACGTCGCTGGTGCTGCCGCATATCTCCGATGTCCTCGAGCAGGTGGACCGCCAGATGCTGCTTATCCTGAAGACCAACGACCTGATTCGCGGCATCGAGTCCACGCTGCGCACCCAGAACCGGATGACCGCCTTCTGGGTGATGTCCAAGTGCTGCGTGCAGAGCTCCTACGCCGAGCAGCGAACCCAGCAGTCCATCTCCTCGTCGCGGATCCTCTGGCTGCGGGTGCGCGAGCGATGGGAGCTGCTGAAGCTCAACTGTTACTACCTCTACCTGGGACTGATTAACTTCGGTTTCTTCGAAGCACTCAAGCAGGTTATTTAGGCTAAGGAATGTGGACCTGGACCCCCTATTAAAAGTACAAAACTCGTGAGGAGCCTGGAAAGGGAAATTACCTCGTTGTCTCTGCTGGGCGAGATTCCGGGCAGTTAGCTCCCGCTTGCGTTTGGCGCTCTTCGTGGGGAGAGAGTGGATCATGAGTGGATCGTTGGCAGGAGCTGGAGGATTCGCTTACCATAATCATGGCCAGCGGAAAGGCGATGACAAACAGAAAGACCAGCACGATGTAAATGACGTAGCTGGGATAGAAGAACATGTAGGGACCGCCGTAGCCGCCATCGGTGATCCAAATGGTGACGGGCGTGGTGTAATTGTAGTCCACCTCCCCGGTCGAAATCGTACTTTCCGTGGTTAGGAATGTAGTGTTTCCCACCGAAGTTGTATTACTCAGCAGAGTGCTAACCGTTGTGTTTATGGCAGGAGCCATGTTTAAATTGGGGATTAATTACGCGCTGATTTATGTGATTTTTCGTTGTCTAAACAAGAAACTCTTTCCCTGACGAACCGAGGTAGCCGACTGAACCACTGGCCACCGAAATTGATAGGACATCCGGGCATTGGTCAGACATACCAGACCAAAAACCGAAGAACACACATATTTGCTTTGTAATCATTAGCTGATAAGGTGACAAAACCAGTGTCGAGCCAGGGCTTTGTTTTTTGTTCGTCGTTCGCAATTTATCTAATGAGGCGATATGATAAATGTGCGCAAATAGATATATATGTCTGAGCACACGCATAAATATATATTAATGTCGTCCATGATTTATAGCGGCCCAAGAACGTTCTCTCACCCATCATCTCAAGAACGAGTTCAGTGGCCCAACTGGGGCAAATATTTATGTTTGCTCTTCGGGAATGCCCCACTAACCACTCACCTTGCTCCTCCTTCAGGCGCAACGACATCGAATACGAGCGGGAGGCAATCAGAAGCACCTGGAAGGCGACACTTGGATTGGAATGGGAGGGAACTTAGGTAGACACTCACTCGCAGCAGGAAGAGCAGGAAACTCAAGACGCACAGGACCAGGAGAACGGCCCCCAGATCATCCATTTCGGGCTAAATGACCCACAGGCTGACCCACCGAATGAGTTGTTTTGGCCAATAACGTAAACCGTGATTCACTGCAAAGGCCTAAGCACATGTCAAAGTGATAAGATATAAGATATACGATATGGCCCCGAACTCTGATTACATTTTAAGCGGTTGATGGACTTTTTAGCACCTTGGTCTCCAGCCGCAGGGGATCCCTTCCAGACTAATGAGCAGTCGCTCGGCAAATGGCCAACTGGTGGATTGTGCAGGCCCAGTTATCTCGGGCCAGATTGCATTTTATGTTTGTGCCGGCTGTTATCTGTTTTCTCCCCGGGATTCTGCCCGTCAGTCAGTTGTTAACGCTTAATTGAAGCTAATCTAATGGTCGTTGGCTTTGTGTATATGCTTATACCTCGGCATTCTGGCCGAGGAACGACCCTTGACCCCAGGCAACCAGTGAAAACTCACAGACTTCTTTTCCAACACAAGTATATGTATTTCCAATGTTTCCCTTTGATTTGAAATCAATCGAACGAATGAAAAGCATCACACGAAAATTCTTAAATACTTAAGCACTACCGAACATCGATTTCGAGATAAATATTTCATTGAATTTTCAAATAGTGTTGTTTGTCGGATTACGGGCTAAATAAACCGATTGTATTTCGTTTTGGTTGCAACTCGAATAACATTCATATATGAATATGAAATTGGCACAATTTGTTTTTCATTGTTTTTGCATATGTGGTTTATATTTACTGATAATCGTCTCTGATTTTCGCAATTGAATTTCCGCTTTCTCGCCGGCTCCCAATTGAAATTGCAATTCGCAATTAATTTATTTATTTTATATATTTTGTTCACGCTCACTATTTGAGTTTTGTCCATAATAATGTCCACTCTATACACGGCATATATTGCGTATTTATGTAGGATATATGGCAGCGAAAGCTTCCTGTTAACCAGAAAAACATTTTTATCATTCCTCTCTCCGGGTTCTCGGCTATCGTGCTCTATTTGCCTCCGAACTTAATTGAAATCAAAATAGGAAAATAAGAAAATAAATGAAACGCAAACACCCGGGGTGAGTGTGTGTGTCCGTGTCCGCATACAATTGGCAGCCGCTGTAGAAGGTGTCAGTTGCAATTAATGGGCTCTGACCATTGTTAAACATTAAACTTTAATTAGCTGCAGTGTCCGAATCGGGGGAGTCCTGATTGGGCGACTACGCCATCCTGCCGTCCGCCTGTGTAAATAGAAATGCGGAAAGGTAAATAAGAGAGATGTTTATGCATGCCCACTCTCGCATAAAAATCACACACGAAATTTATTTTAATTTTTATGCACGGTCTGTGCTCATAAAAAATTCATAGACCCCTTGGCTTTTCCTAGCTTAAAATATTCCTTAAAGGCACATTTTTCATTCCTAAGAAAGCTACACCTTTTGTCAAGTTTCGTACACACCGAAATTGGTTTCGAAAGATAAGTTCACGTTGACATTTTAATTAATTTATCCCCCACTATGTCTTGTTAATAGTTTTGTGTTGCCTCCGAGTTTACAATGTAAACTCAAAATGCCAGCCATACAAGACCTTAATCAAATAAATACATATGAATACAAGGCCCACGCACAAGGTGAGGCTGGGTGGAAATTGTAGCAGGAACACACGACACAAATCAATTTGCATAAGGATAGAACTTTCCAACTTTTAGCATCGAGAGAAAACTTTGCTTTGTGGCGGGCGCCATAATCAAAAGCGACGATGGGTATGCACGTCTTGTATCAGGGATATCTTAAAAAAAACATCTAAAACTTGAAAATGTTTAAGGTGGTCTTATTGAATATTATTTCCGAATTTTGGTTTAGTTTTTAGTATTTGTTTTAGATTTTTATGTCTAGCCGTTTCGACTGCAGAAGAGTCTTCCGGTTTTCTGAGGACTGTTCTATTACTATATATCTTATTATTATTTGTTTTGTTTAATAATGAAGGCATATTTATCCTATGGATGTTAAACAAAATTAATATCTTAGAACTTTAGTGTAAAATAAGTTACTTCATAAATTTTTACCTTTTCATCTTTCTAAAATATCATTTTAATTCAAGTGCTAATCTCTTGGTTTGCATAATTAAGAATGGCAATCTCTCCATCACTATTTTTCTGTTCAGCTGGATGTCAGCAACAGGCCGAAGATATCAGTCCACCTGTCAGGCTGTCAGCACGTATATCATGATTTGTGGAACCCGGAGACATGGGCGTACCTCCCCCAATCTCCAAAGTCTTTGGCCTGTGTTTGAAATTAAATTGAAGGTATCTGAGAGTCGAATCTGTGGCATTTTCAACCTCTCACCCGCCCGTTTCCCCTGGCATGTGTGTATTAAATTTAAAATTCAAATTTATGAAACTGCAGCAGGAGAGATTCTCATCTCAGCAGAGCAATTCGTTGAAACTTCAAATCTGAGGCATTTGCTCGATGCTTTAACAATTAGATAGCATACATTTTGGGGCAGCCCCGAAAAAGAAGGGGAAACTTTCGTCCTTTCGGCACTTTTATGTGGTGTAAGCTGTCGAGTGTGGAAAGTTGCTCAGCTGGAATCAAGTTGTTAGCACAATTAGTGGGGGGCGTGATGCGATGCGATGGGAAGTGGGCAGTGAGTGAGGGGGCGTGGCCGCTGGCGGCTTTCATTATCGAAACGTGCTTTCACTTTGTCCATGAATGCTGAGCGAAATTAATTGCCGGCGGGCGGGAAAATGTGAAAATGCCGCCCCGGCGATTGCACAAAACTTTTGTTTGAATAATTTCATTAAGATTAATTTTCGGCAACAAAGGATCTGGAAAATTATAATTTATAATTAGCAGCCAGCGAAAGCGGTTCTGTTTGTTTTTCGCCCAGCCAAACGGAGATTTTATTGAAATTTTTAATTATGATTTTGTGTGCGTTTTGGGTTTTCTGTTGTTTTTTTACATTTGCCAAAAAGTTTTGTGTACATGGGCCATAAATGAGGTTTTCCTGCCGCAGAAACAAATTAAACTGGAGTCGAACTTAAAAGCGAGGTCAGTGGCAAAACGAAAACGAAACGCTGGACAATAAAGTTTAATGAATTACATTTTACGCGAAAAGGACGAGGACGAGGGCTCCAGCTGCTGGTAATCCTTGGACAAACAGCCGGGGAAACGAGGGCGGGCAAAAAGTCGAAAGGAAATGAAAATATGTCGACGGAAATGAGCATTGACGCCGTTGTCGTGACCCAGACATCCCTGTTTCGGAGTCCTTCGTCCTTTCTGCTCCTTTCCTTTGGTCAAGTCACATGCGCTGATTTCCCGACTGGTCGGTTGGGCCCAAGTTGCCATTTCATCATTGTCAACGGCCGCAGAACATCGAACAAACAATAAATATTGTAAACAATTTGTTTGGCCTGGCTGGGGAAATAGAAAGCCATGGCAAATATTTGCCCACGCCCGAGGCAGGCCGAAGCGGAAATCGTTTCCTCCAAGGAGCGGAGCAGGATCCCGGGGTTCCGGGGGGAAGTAGGGAGCTCTGTAAGCCCTTCGGGGCAATAAATTATCATCATCAGCAAATGGCAATGTGGTTCTTCCTGTCGCCGCTCCACCATCTCCTCCAGCCGCTCACAATTTCCAATTGCCATCCGGTTGCTGCGATTCCCAATCCCCCAATCCCCACTCTCCACTCCCCAGTTAAAACCCCTGGAAAACCCGGCCACGTAGGTAATGCGGCATTAATTAAATCAAGCATCATTAAGCGGGGGCGTGGCCTGTGGGCGTGCTGCGGTCGGGCTCTAATGGCAATTGCATTCGGTTTTGGATTTGGCTTTGGATTTGCACTGCACCGTGGTTAGGAGCACTTTAGCCAGGCCAGACTGTCAATAGCAGACCGCGGGGAACTTAAAAGTTTGATTTGGCGGGGCTGAGCTTCATTAATTTGGGAAACTACTTAAGGGAGACCACAGAAAAAAGTAACTATTTTTATCAGGATTCTGTATCAGACAGCTCAAATTTTATACGAAGATTGCTCTACATTTCTGTATAAATAAACGAATTAGTTTATTTTGTATTTATTTCTTAGTTTTTTATAAATGGGTGACCCAGAGGAGATTCGAAATATATTTATGGATTTTTTAGGAGGGTTACATCATGATATTTTGCAAAAAAGAAGAAATTTTCTGAAGTGTTCTTAATTGTAACTTGGTCAAAAATGGTCCCAAATAAAAAAACACATACTTGGGAAAAAAAAACAAAAACTTGGGCTTTTAATTGTTCCACTGAACAAAGTGTAGGTTTAATTGATCTATTTTCTGATGAAATAGCGACCACTGTCCAAATGGTAAATTGAAAATAAAAGCTAGCACACAAAATGTTTTAGCTTCTGTGGCCATTGCGTAAAATTTCATTTGCTGAGCACGGTTTTATGGCTGGCGCTTCTGTCTAACTGCCTTTCAGTGTGTGTGTGTGTGTGGAGTGGGTGCCCAATTGGCCATGTCGGGGAATCTAAGGTAAAATGATTTTTCAATGAAGCACAGTCGCCGTGGGCAGAAATTGCATAAGTAGCTCACTCGGGCGGGGCTTGGGTTTCTGTGTTGGCTTGGGATGGGTGATGGAGGGCCATGTTTTTTCGGCTAGCACCCTCTTTAGTGCATTGTCTTTTGGCCAAGCGGAATTCCACTGGGCGCCTGGCAAACGGCCAACAGCTGGCGGAGCTCTCGGGTGCCGCTCCTTGTGGGAGGAGGTTAAACAACACCAAATGCACTTGGCCAACACCCACATAGTCGAGCACACACATTGGCAACATGCTACACGCAGCGTTTCTACACGGGGAAAAATTATGCTGTTCTGTTGGGTGAATTTCATATTTTTTATTTCCATTATTTAAAGGGAATTTTTTCGTTCCTTGCAAATATAAGTGTTTTAATAGTATTTTGCAAGAGGAACAACAAGGAATCATTTTCAAATGTGATGTGTGATATTCTCTCCTTACATTTTGTACCTCTTTTGGTGATTTTCTAAAATAGTAAGCATCTTTTTCTCAGTGCATCATTGTAGACACTAAGCCTCCTGGGCTTAGACGGTAGGCTTTGGACGCTTTGGCTGCCAGGAAGCAGCGGAGCATGGCCAAAGGGGAGGGGGCGGGGTAAGGAGGTTAGAGGATTCCCAGCCGAGGAGCATCCTATTTATTGCCACCGCTTGTAGCAGTCATTACTCACTCGGCACAAGGACTACTGGCTCTTTAAATTTCATTTGGTAAATGTAATTCGATTTAAGTTCCGCTCTCGATTTGCCATTTTTGCCGCTTGCCATTCTGATGGCAATGAATTTTTCATAGTTTCAGCTTGGCTTTTGTGCTCTTTGTTGGACTGCATTTCAATTGAATGGGTGAGCAAACAAAAAATCCTGAAAAATAAAACCGAGAGCATGGAAAGCACGGAAAGTTTAATACGGAAAAGGAGGAAGGGGTAAAAACAAACGGAAGTGCATGTTTTGCATATTGCTTTGAGCCCTCAACAAATATGGAAAATTTCCTGCTGTGTGTGTGTATGTGCGAAAGTCAAATTTGCTGGCCCACAGCTTCTGAAACCCCCTCGCCCCGAAAACCCCCCTGCTTTTTCCAGCATCCAACCTCCAAACACCGCATTTCATTTGTTGCCAGCAATCGTCCATGCAAACAGCGAAACTTGACTAAATGCAATAAACTGACCAAGTGCCAGGCCATTTTGCCACTGTTGCGGTCCCGAAAACCCCGAAACCCCAGAAACCTAGAAACCCATCCATCCACCCACCCAATCCCCCAGAATTTCACTGGCCAAGCTTTGGGCTAAGCTTTGCCAACTCAGCGGCATTTTTGTACCCGACACTCATTGAGTTAAGGGGTGTAACAGATACCACAGCGTTTACGGTCCCGAAAACTATTCATGATTTGTGAGCAATAAGAGCAAGGGATCTCTAGCATTTAAGAGGTAAGATAAAACCATATGTAGAGTAGCAGTCAAATTCTACATAACTTTCGAATCTAACCTAATTGGTTTCTGAGGGGTTTTCCTGCTTTAACCATATTCCTGATTTAATAACTGAAGGATCTCTGAACCTTTAAGAGTAAGGATCATACAATTTGGGATATAAACTTCTATTAATTTAAGATTAGGAATAACAAAGTGCGACATTATTTAATGGATTAATTAGATCAATATTAATTAAGATATGAACTAAAGCTAATATCAGGGGTATCTGTTAGTCAAATCACACCCAACTCACCTTCGTTCCGTTTCCCTAGAATAAAATGCAATTTGCTCATTTTTGCATAAACCCCAATTTCAGTTTCGCTGCCAGGAAACGAATGAGAAATTGCTATTGCAATCTGCGAACTCGAGTCCGCAGTGGATTTTGGCCAGTATCCGGGATACTGGAAATCCTCGTTAGAGAGGACGGAATATACAAAGCGCTTTGACCGGCGACAGGTGAAATCAAATCCCCTTGCCAGCGGACATTGGCCAAAGGATACGGTTGTCCTGCAGCGCTCCGGAATTCACAACACACGTAATGCTCGCATGCCGACGACTAACACCTACCTGGATTTACGTGAAGGGACGCTGCTCCACTCCGGATCCTGCGGATCCTCCGGCATCCAGCAGACTCAAATCGTTGAATGTTTCACAATTTTCCAGCACTTGGCTGCAAGTGGCGTTAATTAAATCAAAATCGATGGCCAGCCGATGTCCCAGGGATTCCACATTTGTCAGCGCCGGGGAATCCCCTTTGGGCGGCAGGTGGGAGCTCGCATCCAGTTGGCAGCAGGGGGGGACTGGGACTACTCCTCCTCCTCCTCCTGTCAGCACCGCCTGCAGCTCCTCCGCACTGCAGTCAAACTCATCGTACTCATCGTCCATCAGCGATTGCTCCGAGTAGCTCTCATCGTCGTCATCGCAGTCAAAGTAACCGCTCTGTGGATGAGCCAGTGAAGTGGGATGAGATAAGGTTGGTGGGGGCTCAAGATTGAGCTCTTGATTGGTAAGGGTAAGGGTAGAGGAAGCTATCATTCCTGGGATGCAGACCGAGCCAAACCGAATTTAAGAAAACCTCAAAGGAAAATGTTACGGTTTTGCTTTCGACGCTTTGTACATACATATACTGCGTTGTTTTCCAATTATCTCCCTTAAGATTTTACTTCCACCAAATTGATTTGGGTAAGTAAAACTTAAACTATTATACTACAATATTATATTAACACATTAAAAGGAACGGAAAGTGTAGTTTAAATGATTTAATGTGAACATTTTATAAATAATTAAGCTGATTTTATCATTTTGCATTAACTAACTGATTTGTTTGGTAAAAAAGCTAATAAAGGGTTAAATATATATAAAATCGAAATCCAGAAATCAACAGCATAGAGAAAAAATATACATTTATATGTTTAATCGAAGTGCACAAATGTGGATTAAAATTTGCCACTAATTAATAAACTCACCGAAAGTGAAAAAAGGAAAGTAACCTTTATTTTTAATAACCATTTTTTTCTTAAATTCCTTGTTATATCAAAATGTTTAAAATATATATTTTTTTAAATTTTAAAACGAATAAATCAAAGCCTAGTTGCTATGTAAAACTGGCACCTAAAATCCACTTACTTAAAATTCGGTAACCATCCATTTGGCATCCCGGACCCTTTGATAGCCTCCACTCGGCATTATTCCCATTGTCACTCACCTGGCAGTCGAGGCATCGGCAATTATCACAGAGGCTGCAACTCAGGCCCAAAATGTCGGCTGCCTCCTGGTAAAGCTCGTAACTCGATTTCGCCTGCTGTTGTAGTTGTAGCTGTTGGCTGGTCAGTGCTGTTGCTGTTGTTGTTGCCGTGTTGTTGTCCTCATTATGCATGCTCCAGTTGGTCAATTTATTCAGCTGCCCTCCAGTGCCGCCAGCTCCACCAGTTCCACCATTTCCAGCCTCCCGACTGTTGCTCTGATTTTTCAAGTTGCCTCCATTGTTGTTGCCCCCGAAGTTGGGTGGCGGTGGCTGCCCCGCCTCATTGCTGTCGAGCATGTTAAATGAAAGTTTATTTAGCTTTTGGTTGACTAAACTAAACGCGTATCAAATGGCTGCAAGTGGCGCGGAAGGACTCGCAGCGATTAGCAAGGACGAGGGGAGGTGGTGGGTGGTACGGTTGCCCCATGCAAATTGATATATAAAGTGGGAAGAGGATGCTGAGCCAAGTGATGCGTATAGTACACGGAAATTATACCTCTATTGTACTACAAAATAAGGGGAAAAAAAAATTCAAAATAAAGCCTAAACTAAAATTGTTCACATCATACAAAGCCTTTGCATTTTCAATTCCCACCCACACATGAACTTTAATATCGAACGGACAAAAATTACATGTACAAGAGGGACTTAAGTAAACCTATTTAATTTCTGATGACTTTAACAATTTAGATATTTTTTTTTTAATATAAATTTAAACTTTGACCTATAACTCGAGTGAGTTTCCCAACTTAAGTTAAAAATTTTAAAAAAACATAGAACCACAAATAGGTAGAAACACAAAAGCGCTTGATAACGAGCGATAACATAGGCAAATCGATCGATAAAAACGATAAATCATCGTGTCTGCAGCCTTGCAACTTTTCGCTTTGCACCAGGTACCGGCAAAAAAATTGAAAATGAAAACAAAGCGACCAATTTAATTTGCGGCGACAATCAGACATTGTCGCAGCAGCATTTCCAGCTAGTGGCCACAATAAATTAAGCCACCTTTATTAAGGACTTTTTGCATTAAATGCGAGCTTCGGATGGGGAGCATTTAAATCGCATCAGCGGAAAAGCAGACTGCACACAAGGCCGTGGAAAGCGGGAAAAATGCAAAAGTGAGTAACTTTGCACAACAAATTTCCGCAGTTATTTTGCGACACAAGTCGAGGGAGTCATTCTTGTCAGTTTCGCTGGTGTCGCCATCCAGAAAGTTGATGAATGTGCGCCGGAGAATTTCCGCCGTGGAAATGCCTAAGAAAGCAGGGGAAAACCCCTCTCCCCTTCACTTTGCATTTTCCCCAGGCTGACGTTTACTAATTAAATGCGCACAGGGCACTAATAAATCAAAGGGAAAACCCGCCCTTTTTTTCCTGTTGCAATTAATGAAATTTTCCCAGCCGCCTTTGCCAGCGAAAATTTTCAGTGAGCGAACTTTTGACATCATTATTGCAAAGAGGATATAGAGTGGGGATACAAAGGGGTGTGCTGTACTTTATAGATAGGGAGTGGGTCTCGAAAACTTTGCGTATGTAACTTGAAAGTGCAACTTGGGCATTAAGTTCCCCGGAATATGATTATTGCACTTCAATATGTACATTTATGGCCGGGCTTTAATCAACTTTTAAGCCCTCTTTAAGCCCCCAATGCTTTCGCCTCACTTTATGTTTATGCCGAGCTGAGCGCGTTAATTTTTCAATTTCGCAAATGACTGCTGGGCGGAAAAGCGGGCGGAAAATGGGGTGAACAACTTTGCTAAGCGATGATGATCAAAACTTATGACTTTATGAACAACGCGGAAAGTTTCGCCGCTGCAACAAAGTGTCCGCTGACAGATAATTGAATGCGCTTAAAAGCCGCAGCAAAAACAAGAAAAGCGCATTTGGCCATAAAGACGAAGGAGAAGCCACTAACGGTAGATAAAGGAAATGAATTGACCAATCGATACAAGGAAAAATACCCTCAATGATTTAGACGCCAATTGCTGCACTTCAATAATTAATTAAGAAATAATCGAATGCCGGGGACGTTGGAATTTGCCCGGCTCTCGCAGTCAACTTAATGAGAAACCACTCCGGCATGGCAACTAAGACCGCAAACCACCCAACCACCACCACTTGTCCCCTCAGATTGCCATCATAAAAACTTGCCACAGTTTGCAGCGCGTTGCAAGATGCCTTATAACATTTATGGGAATTTATAAGTTTTTGCGGCGCCGGGAAGATTGGTCCGCTGACACAAACCCACATACTGGAGTGAGTGCACTCGAAAAAAAAAATTATTTGGAAAATGTATCTTATAATTAAAAATACAACTGCATTTTTCAGGAGTTTTCCAAATAAATGACTATTTTATCTAAAAACTTCATAATGATGATTATGTTTTTATACACATCACTCATAAGACACATATACCAGTTTCAATATAACAAAAATAATTTTCTTATTGCTAGCCTTGCCAATTTAATGTATATTTTTTATAAAAGAAACATATAATATCTTTAAATAAAGTAAGAAAAATAAAATTGTTCATCTATATATTTTATGTGGTATCTATATATTTTTTCGAGTGCTTTTTGGGTGTTACATACCTGATGGCACCAGCAGCATCTTCCGGCACCGCTGCGGTGCTGCGCCATTTTTCTTCTTCGAGATATTTGAGAAACTTTGTCTTCTTGGCAATAAGCGCTGATTTGACATTGGTGCATTTCTTCTTTGGCATCAGTGGGAGGTTGCCTCCTGCTCCTGCTCCTCCTCCTGGACCTCCTCCTCCTGCTCCTCCTCCTCCTGTTGAGGTAGCCACTCCCGCTGTGCCATCGAGCGATTCGCCACTCCGGCTACGATTCCGGCCGTTTTGGGTTACTCCGCCTGCCGCTGACAGGCACCTATTGTTATGGTTGCTCGCGGCGGCATTGTTGTTGCTGCTGTTGGTGTTGCTGCTGTTGGTGTTGCTGCTGCTGATGTTGCTGCTGCTGCTGTGGTTGCTGTGGGCGTGGGTGACATTTTGGCAGGCGACGCCGACGCTGCAATTGAACAATTTTTGCAGGGCCGCCGTTGCCGGTGAACACATTGCGGTTGACATTGATGTAGCGACAGGATTTACGTAGTTTGATGCGCTTCCCGCTGCAGCCGCATCCATGGCCATTGTAGTTGCTGTTGTTGCTGCTGCTGCTGCTGCGGCACTGCCAAAAGTTTTGAATTTATGCTGCAGGACGCCACTCGAGCAAGTTGCCTCAATTGGATTTGCCGCTCTGCTCCGGCTGCCATTTATTTCACGCTTTGTTGCCGCATATGTGCCATAGTCCTGCCAAGATGGTAGATAAATTTGGAATTTCGGGGAGCAGACAGGAAGAGGGTGCCGAAAAAACGGAGAAATAAGTAGAATCTCTGATAGTTGCCGAGCTGCGGAGTAGTGGACTCCCCAAGGACTCACCCCATATGCACCGTAGCTGGCATTAAGCACATAAATCGAATTCTGATTGCTGCACTGGAAGACCATGTCGTCCATCGTTTGGGCTGCTCGGAGAACGAGAAGAGGATTTTGATTTTATTTGTTATCAATTGTGCAGCCAATCAAATCAATTTAACATATTTCATTCTAAGTATCACTATTTATTTGTCTTGAAATCGTATTAAAAACAGAAAGAGTTTTAGAAAATATAGATATTTAATAGCAGAGAAAATATTTGTATTACTTTACAGTCTAAAATAGGTAGTTTGTAAAACTGTGATGTGATATGATATGACATTTTCTATTTTTGTTTATTAAATATTTAAATATTTTACTGTTTTTTTTTATTCCAGTTTGTTAAATTTATTCAGCTTGAAAAAAGTTAAGGAACTTTTGAGTATGATAAGAAACCCGATGGTCTGACCCATTGAAATCCTTCCCCCAGTGTACAAATTTTGGGTTACTGGCTTTCTGGGTTCGAGTCGAAAAATGTTGCTTAACAAAATTATGCAAATGTAACATTGAAATCAAACAGCAGACGGCGTCTCTGTTTCAACTTTTCGCATTTGTGAAATGGAAAGGGAAAATCCCAGGGAAAAGCCAACGAAGGGTGGGGAAAAAAAGGCGAAAATTTAATTTAAATTCTTATTGCTGCCTGCTGATTGTGATTGTTTTGTGGGAGGGCTGATGTTTCTGGCTTACCCATTGAACTCTCAATAAATTTGGTTTCGTAGATTTCCTCGGCCGGCGCCGAGGAAGGTGTGTGTGGCTGCTGACGGATCCTGTCCAGCTCCTGGTGGCAATCAAAGCTGCAATTACCAGCGTCCAATTGAAGCGGAAACTTGTGCGGCTGCTGGAGCGTGTAAACGTTGACTGAGCGCCTCTCGTGGCCACCGGTTCCGCCGGTTCCTCCGATTCCCAATCCGATGCTCCGCTTGGTCCTCCCGCTGAGCCAGCTCGTTAGCCACAGGGATTGGATATCTGAGGGGGAAAAACATGAGAGGCACAGGCATAAGCAAATTTCCATTCAGATTTGTTCAGTTCACGCACTCGGTTTATTGTTGCGTTATTTTTTTCTCTTTTCCAGGGGAAATGCGAAATGGTTAACTCGGCCTGGCCAAGCATGATAAAATTTCGTTTGAAAGGCAAGTTCATTGAAATAAACAGGCCTTCCAGCCCACTCACTTTCACTCTCGCTTTCTCTTTCTACTCATCCTTTCCCTGCCAGCAAACACGCAGAATAATCAAAATAATCCTTTTTTTGTTGGCCTGTCTCTGGGCTTAGTTGCGCCGTATTCCCGAAGACCCTTCTATTGTTGGCTTACGCTCGGAGATTCCGACAATTACGCATCGCATACGCAATATAATCGCCGTTCCCAGGACAATTGGAAGTGGAAAGTGCGAGGTCCTTAAATCCTTCGGACTGAGTGCGAGCAATAACTGATGTGGAAATATGATTTCCCTGCGATTTGCACTCAAACAATTGCAGAAACAACCACGTAATTCTACTCGAATTAATGATATAGATTTATTTTGCCCACATTTTGCCACTTGCGATTTAATTGCTATCCAATTACTATAGTAATGCATTTATTTAAGAGCTCTTATTCGTAATTAAAATGTGCTCCTATGGAAATCATATGATCTCCTTATATATATTTGAATATTAATTGAAATTATTTATACCGCTACGGCATTATGTTCTTCACTTCTAGCTGAAGGCTAATTGTGTATTATGTGATCCCAATGGAGCAGCACTTTACCTACACTTTGGTGTCATTACTCAGGATTTAATCATTATTTATTCAGAACAACTTCTATGCATGCACTGGGGGGAAAGAAGAAAGCTCAAATCAAACAATAAAATTGTCACTAATTTAAAAACTTGAGACATATATTTAAGTAGACTTTTAAAATAAAAAAATTTGAAACATATTTAATTAATTTACGATTTTTTTAATTGTATGGTTTAAAAAAAAAATTTTCCAACCAAAATCGGTTTTTTATCATATGTGTATAAAAAGGTCCTTGTAAAATTGATTGAAAAACATTTAAGTAATATTAATATGTCACTAAAAATAGAGCACCAAATTGCAGGCATTTTTTGCAGATGAACTTGAATCGGTGGGGGCGTTTAACATTTGTATCCCTATATGGCAGGGCCGTAAATCCCGGGGAGCCGCAACTTGGTGACCCCATTCATCAAAGTGTCGTAGTCGCAGCAGCAGAAGCAGCAGCAGCTGGCGAGCAGAAATCTTTTGTCATTTGCTGTCAAATCGCTGGGATTTGATGAGGATGGGTAGGGTTGGGAAAAACTAATACGTGCTGGAAGTCAACAGAGCAACATGTAAAACATCGGGGAGCGATAAAAGTTGAAAGGGTGGAAAGGTGCAACGTCGAGCATCTCTAATGAGCGGCAATAAAGCAAATGTGGCAGGTGACACACACACACATCAAACAATTTGCACATTATAATTGTTGACACACCTCCCTGATCCCTGATATATAAAATATATATATTATATATGTGGGTATACCTATGCGTGTCATTAGTGGGCCACTGAATGGGGCCAGAAATCCCTCCTTGATTCCATTTTATTCTCTGCTATTTGCTGGGATTCCCCCAGCACCATCGAGCTAATAATAAAACTTTTATTTATTTTGGGATTTTCGTCAACTGACCGAAGGCAAACAAAGCGCCGGCAAACAAACAGAGGCCTACAGAAATAATAAGCCTGCATAGAAACAAGGGGGTGGTGGGAGGTAATAGGGGGTGGTAACAGGGGTGGGGGCATGTCCAGTGGAGCGTGGCATATTTGTCATAATCAGCGTTTAGGCATAAGCATAAATTTGAATGAGTGCGCACAGGGGTGGCGAAGGAAAGGGGGTCAGGGCCCATATTGTATGGACATCCTTATCATATATTAGGCAGTGCTACATTTTACCCATTTCCTCTTTTGGCCAGAGATGAGCCATGCAGGATTCACTGTGACAGGCAATGGGTTCTTATAAAAAATGAAATATTAAAATTAAATGGAGATAAACTTTTAAATGCTAGATCATTTTTAAACAGATCAAATTAAGTTAGTTATTTATTTAATAGTGTTTAAAATAAATAATAAAATATAAAAAAATTAAAGTTACAGATATGAAGTTTTGAAATTTTGTGACTAAATAATTTTTAACTTTTATTCCTTATGATAGAAAATTTAATGTATAAGTTGTCAAAGATATTTCAAATTTTAAGCATGCATTAAAAATAGTATTTCATATAATTTTTTAAGAATATTTATATTAAATAATATGAAATCTTAGAATAATATTTTTAGTAATAATAATATCGTTTTTTAGTGGCTGCAACACCTTTTCTTAGACGGCATCTCTTGCAGCCTAAAAAAAAAGAGTACTAGTAAAATGGCTTTGAAGTCGTGGAATCCGGGGTTCTATCGACGAGCGGAGAGTTCGGAATACCCCGAACAAAGCAGGACTCATCTCATCTATGCAGGGACATGACTGACCCGCACCCCGGGATCAGATGAGGAATTTGCGATTGACAGGAGTCGCGTTGCCGGCGGAGGACTCTGTGCTCTGTGAGCAAATATTTGACGGAGAAATTCCGGGGACAGGGACATGGCAGGAGGTCGCGAAACTCAAAAGGGGAGTTGGGCTATCTGGCCATGTCCATGAATTCGGGGCCAGATCGTTCCTTGTTTGGCCATAAATTTGATGTGTGCATAAAAAATGTTTTTCGATTTCCTTCGGCACACATACAGAAATTCTTGGCCCCGGTCACGTGCGAGCAGGTGTTGGCCACCAGGATACCAAGGCATTGTCTTTGGGCCACTTTGCCCGCGGCTCTGACGAAAATCGAATGGAATCAATACGTTGTGGGGTGCCAGAAGGCCGAAACATGGCCATTGCTTATATATTTTGTTGTCCAAATATTTATTGCATTTTGTTGATTTTCGGCCGAAAAATCTAGCCAAAACGTTTTCCGTTTGTCATAAATTTTGGTAGCACCACACACAGCTCATGGAAATACATTTAAACTGAAATTTAGCCGATTTTCTTTGTATGTTTTGGGCATTTTTCCGGGCGTGTTTTGCCAGCGATTGCATAATAACATCGTTTGTGGAATTGGCCCACAATGGCAATAAATTAACATTTTATATGGAATGTGTGCTGTGTGTTTGTTGTGTGTGTCCTTTTCCACTATGCAGTTGGCTAAGCCTTTTATGGCGCGATTATCGGGCAGGAACATTTTTGGCATTCCAATAAGCAGTTATTCAAAGTGGATTTGACCGGGAACGAAGGATGCGGCCTGGGCGGCTTTCTCTTGAAGGACTCCTTGAGAGACTCCTCGAAGACACCTCAATCCAAGTTGCATACTTATATGAGCCTCTCAATATCTCTCTCAATCTCTCCTGGGATAATAAATTCATAGCTTATAAAACAATAATTAAACATTTTTTAAGGAACTACATCGAGCACTCAAAAACTCTGAATATCAGTGATGCTAAAAAAAACTGACGCAAATTCGGCGGTCATCTGGCGACCTTTCACAATCAACAAAAGTCCACTGCGATCAATAAAAAGCTTTTTTTCACATATAAATTTAAATTAATTGCTAAGGCATTCATATACGACACGCGACTAAATAGTTTCCAAGAACCATTAATGTCTAGCGAATTCAATTTTTAAATTCTTCCGCCTGTCCGTCTTCTTCTAATTTAACGTCACCAGAATATGAAAAACCCATCTTTAAATAAATTCGATCGAGATTCTGCGTATAAATATAAGTTCAGTTTATCAACATCGTTCGTGTTCAGTGGTTGTAGACTTTCATTATGATGAAGTTCGCAAAATATTTCTTGTTCGTCGCTATCGCCCTCAATCAGTATGGATTTCTGAATTGTTCGCAGTCCGTGTGTGTGCTAGAAGATGCCCCAAGTCAGTGCGGATCCTACTGCGTCTCAGCATTGGCTCCGTTCTTTGAATACAATGACAAGATTCTGGAACAATGGAATACACACGGTGTTAAACTAAACGAAACACTGGACAAAGTGTACGAAATAGAAGTTCAGCAGACTAAGATAGGAAGCCAACTGGAAAACGAATTGCAGAATTGCCAGTTAGAACAGTCAAATGTGGAAAAAAAATTACAAATGCTACAAGCCAATATTGAAAGCCAACAAGAATACCTTCAGAAGATTTTAGCTCCGCTCTTTGATTACAATGACAAGATTCTGGAACAATGGAATACACACGGTGTTAAACTAAACGAAACACTGGACAAAGTGTACGAAATAGAAGTTCAGCAGACTAAGATAGGAAGCCAACTGGAAAACAAATTGCAGAATTGCCAGTTAGAACAGTCAAATGTGGAAAAAAAATTACAAATGCTACAAGCCAATATTGAAAGCCAACAAGAATACCTTCAGAAGATTTTAGCACAAGTACATTTATTGAGCTTTTACATTGAAGACAGAAAAACTGCAAGTTATAACGATGCAAAAAATGCCTGTCGTGACATAGGCGGTCAACTCGCGACCGTTACAAGTGAACAAGAACTTGTTGCTCTCGAAGGGAAGCTTAAAACAAATGCGTTATACTGGTTAGGCATCAACGATCTGGCCAAAAACGGAGAGTACGTGTTTTTAGATTCCGGAAAGAAACAAACATTTTTCAAATGGGACGATTCCCAACCAGACGGCATACGTAAAAATGAGCACTGCGTGGGACTTTACAATTACAAAATGCACGATTTTCCGTGCTCAGATGACTACCATTTCATTTGTCAGACTAAAATTTGGTAGTTCTTTATTTAATTGAAAAGGAAAATAAAATGATTTATTTAACATTTCTATTATTTCTTTATTGGTTGATGTGTGATTGTGGATTTTAAAGATGTTTTTCAGAATAGTTCTGTATTGCTTTCTTGGCAAAGAGCTCTACAAATGTATCTTATTAGCTCATTTTTATCCAGTTTTCTTATCTCTTTATGCTTTCTTTGCGGTCGGCTGCCCACTTGAGTGAAAGTGGGTGGCAAAGTTATGAGGAATGCAGGAAAAATGCCAAGTGGAGAGCCACTTCTCCCCCTTCCCATGCTTCTCCTTATACCCACACCACCACATGCACACCGCTCTGGGCCCTCAAAATTACACTCACACAGACACACACACTTAGTGGCTGGGCAAATGTTTGCGCTTGTGTGCACGGCCGCGAGAACTGGCTACCGTTATTATCCATTTGATTAGAGAAAACACAACATTTTGGCCTAATTAGAGTCGGAATGTCAAAACATTGACTTTGGCTATTTGGCCGGACATCAAAGAGGAGCAGCACTTGAGTTCCGATGGCCAAGGGGAAGGAATGGGAAAGAAGGGGCAGCGAAAACAGACTCGAGAACAGCCAAGTCAACAGCAACAAAGCCAAGGACGAGGTCGAGTGCGAGGACAAACCATTCAAATGGCCCAAAGCCCAATGCCCAACCCACACCCGAACCCATGGCTTTCCCAATGAAGTGCACAAAAAACGACTTCAAGTACTTGGCCATTTTGGTTGTTTCCACTCCACATCCCACTACTTTCGCCGTTTCCTCCCCTCTCCATTTTTGCCAATGTAAACACATTTGATATCCAGCAAAAACAAGAAAAAGATGGAGCAGGCCAGGGGCGTAGGAGAAATGTATACTTAGGGGGTTACATAAATTACTCTTAAAATAAGTTTCATAAAAAATTGAATGTAAGTAAAGACCCAAAACCTCTCTTCATATATTTGTTTTAAAACTGTCCAACTGTCTCGAAAACTTATTTTAATCTACTAAATAATAAATAATGTCTTTAAAAAAATAAGTTATTGCTAGAAATATCCCCTTTTCTACGCCACTGCCACAAAATGGCAGTTAGAAAGGAAGAAAGATTTAATTCGCAACAACAATGCGGGTGAGCAGTCAGCAGTGAGCAGTGGAGCCTTAAAAGGACGAGCGAGAGATTGATTTTGCACTCATTTGATATTCCTTGCTGACCGCTGAATCAAACGGGATTTTTGCCTGCCATCCGATTTGTTGGCTTCTTGTCTCCATCGTCCTTTTTGTTCTCTCTTGGTCCTTCGGCAAGCAGTGCAATAATTTCCCGTTAGCCGCTCACTAAATGCAAGCAAATTTTGTCATTTGGCCGGGACGTGAGTTGGTTGCCCAAGGACCTCTTCGCACAGGACCTCTCGCATTAGAGCGAGCTAGACGTTGGCTGTTAGTCGGCAGACTAAACTTTTCCAACCTGCAAACTCCAAGCAATTTCATTATGCTTACACCACTCAAACGCACAAAATTATACCAGTGTGTTCACCTCAGCCAGTTTCGTAGGCACTTTAAGAAATGACGGATCTTTTCATAAACATTTCTGATAATTAAAAATAAGAAATATCTGAACTTTTAAACGACATTTGGAAAATATCTTTAAAATGAAGGAAGATTTGTATAACATATTTTATCAAAATCCGTTGAAGGCAAATAATATATTTTTAATGTAAACATTAAATAATTTATATTTCTGGTACGAACGAATTTCCAGTGTAAGATGCAGTAAGTGACAGAAGTTCCTTTTCGGTTTCAGTTTGAGTTTGGGCTTGAGGTCGCCACTGGTGGAAGATCCCAGGCACGTAGCTCCCTGAGCATCCCCAAACTCTACAACCTCCCCACGCTGTCGTCGCTAAGTCCTTTATAATAAATAGTTGAGTCACTTAAGGGGATTAATGTTGAAATTAGTTTATGCCAATGAGATTAGGCATGACATGCCGAATGCCAAGTTCATGTCGGTTGAGAACTGAATCTAGTCGCAGATGTAAATGGAATTTTCTTCATATGTGCCAGATTCAAAAAACCAAAAAGTAATTTTCCCCGATATCATCGTCTACTATCAGCTTTTCATTATCTCTTTGGGTTTAATCCAGTTTGTGAGTGCACAAAAATGTTTGCTAATAGAGTGGTCAAATCTGCATACTATCTAATGGTTTTTTCGATTACGATCTATAAATAGATCGTTAGTGACGTCATTGGTTTACGCTCTCATTTCATAATAAAGTGCAAAGTTGCAAAGCTGATGTGGTTCTTAAATGTTTTTTAGCCATAGCCTTTGCAATAATACAATGTTTATAGTTCTTATAGATAGAACTCTTTTTTTATATGCATGTGACTTGAAATGCTAATTGATAAGCAAACGAGCTCTCTTAATGCTTTCGCTTTTTCTCCCTTTATCAGGTAGACCCATGCACACATCTACGAATTTTGCCGGTTCTTGTTCTCCCGCTTTATATGTATCTCTCTGTAGATAAATATGGTATATATAAGCAAAGAGAGCGCTTTTTGTTTATTTCAGTTGCGTTTCGGCTGTTGACTGGCGAAGACGCTCTCTGAATTTTTGGAAGCTCCCCCCCTGATTGTAGAACCCTCGGAACCCCCTACTCCCAAACTAAATCCAAGAGATTCCGTCATGGTTTTCGTGGAGTTCCTGATATTCGTGGCCTTCATCGGCTTGCTGCTGTACAAGTGGTCTGTCCATAGCTTTGGCTACTTCTTGAAAAGGGGCGTGGCCCACGAGAAGCCCATTCCCCTGTTGGGTAATATTCCCTGGTCGGTGATGATGGGCAAGGAGTCGTACATAAGGCACAGGTAAGTTGAGAGAGCACACAAAACTCCATCGGTTATATAATGCTATAATGTTCTATAGCGTTGAAATGCATTCGCGGCTGAAGCAGAACAAGGTCTATGGAGTCTACAACCTGCGCGATCCTCTGTACTATCTCGCCGATCCGGAACTCATCCGTCAGGTGGGCATCAAGAGCTTCGATACCTTCGCCAACCATCGCAAGGGTATCACCGACGGACCCAACGATACCAGTGTGATGTCCAAGAGTTTGCTCAGTCTGCGGGATCGTCGCTGGAAGCAGATGCGCAGCACCTTGACGCCCACCTTCACGAGTCTCAAGATCCGCCAGATGTTCGAGCTGATCCACTACTGCAACGTGGAGGCAGTGGACTTTTTGCAGCGCCAACTGGATGAGGGCAGTTCGGAACTGGAGCTGAAGGACTTCTTCACGCGTTACACCAACGACGTGATTGCCACGGCCGCCTTTGGCATCCAGGTGAATTCCTTCAAGGATCCCAACAACGAGTTCTTCTCCATCGGGCAGCGCATCTCGGAGTTCAGTTTCTGGGGCGGACTCAAAGTTATGTTCTACATTCTGATGCCCAAGTTGATGAAGGTAAGATATGTTATACTAACTATTATTTTATCAAATAATTATTAATTTTGGATTTGCTTAGTAGTTGTATGATATTTTTCTGAAAATAATCATTATTTCTAGGCACTATTTTTTTTTAACGCTACAAATAATGATCTTTTACATCAATAAGTACACAGAGAGAATTCTGACGTTCTCATCTGAGTTGAAAATGTTCTTAAAAATATAAATGCCTTTTTTAAGTTAAAAATGTTCTAAATGTGCTTCAATTAAGTTAAATTGGTTCTTAAAATCTAGTTGAGCTTAGAATGTTCTTTAAATAAGAACGAAATGTTATTATTTTACCACAGGGTTCTTAAATCAAATCGATTTTGTTCTCAAAAACCACAATCCCTCAAAATGTTCTCAGTTTGAGAACGAAAAGGACTAAAGAATGAACAAAAATTAAGTTGCATTTCAACTTAAAGTGATTCAAAACTCTATTCTCTAATTTTTATGGATTTCCTAGAAAGCGTTAGGATGTTTTCGTTTGACACCTAGCACGCATTAGGCCATTGTATTATAATACAATTATTATTATTCTTCACTAACTTTCAGGCCCTGCGAGTTCCCGTGATGGACATGAACAACGTGGACTACTTCAAGAAACTGGTCTTCGATGCCATGAAGTATCGCAAGGAGCAGAGCATCGTGCGCCCCGACATGATCCACCTGCTGATGGAGGCCCAGCGGCAGTTCAGGAAGGATCAAGAGGGAGCCAAGGAATCGCAGGAGGAGCAAGGAGCCGAGTTCAACGACGAGGACCTGCTGGCCCAGTGCCTTCTGTTCTTCTCGGCGGGCTTCGAAACGGTGTCCACCTGCCTGAGCTTCACCAGCTACGAACTGCTGATGAATCCCGCGGTGCAGGACAAGCTCTACGAGGAGATCCTGGCCGTGAAGGAGGAGCTGGGCGATAGGCCTCTGGACTACGACACCCTGATGGGCATGAAGTATCTGGATTGCGTGGTCTCCGAGTCGCTGAGGAAGTGGCCACCGGCCTGGGTTCTGGACAGGATGTGTGCGGCTGACTTCGAACTGAAGGACGAGGAGGGACAGCTGGTGCTGCAATTGCGCAAGGACGACCTGGTGCACATTCCCGTGGTGGCACTGCATCACGATCCGGACAACTTCCCGCAGCCCGAGGAATTCCGACCAGAGCGCTTCGACGAGGAGCACAAGCACGAGATCCGGCAGTTCACCTACCTGCCCTTTGGCGTGGGCCAGCGCAGCTGCATCGGCAACCGGATGGCCCTCATGGAGGTCAAGTCGCTGATCTTCCAGTTGCTCCTAAGGTATAGACTGAAGCCCACGGACCGCACTTCCAAGGACATGATGGCCAGCATTGCCGGCTTTCGAATGATGCCGCGGGAATTGTTCTGGTGCAAACTGGAGTCCCGTGGCTCCGCTTAATTAATATTACTTCCCCAGACACATGCATCCTTATAAATATTAATAAAAAGAATGGTAGATGGTGGAGAAAAAACGAAACAAAAAGCGTGGCAATTTATTTCATCTGGACACCCTTGTGTTGACAAATTTGTCGCGGCCATGTTTCATTTTCCATTCGCTTTGTTTTCCCCGGGCTTTCACATTTCCCTGCTTCCCATTTTCCCCACTTTCCCAGCTTTAAAGCCGATGTCAGGGGCAGAGATTCCCAGTTAGGAGCAGGCGACAAGCCACGTCATAATACTGTCAGGACATGATGGCCTCGTCCAACCACCCAGGTTGTATGTGGTGCGGTTACACCGCATAAAACAACATGGTGGGTGGGTGATGGCATACGCCACACACTCACATTCACCCACCCACTCACGCCCTCACACACACACACACATAGGACATTAAGGATTATTTATTGGGAGTTATTTTTCAGGCGGCATTAAAATTTTTCGGTACAATATGAATTATATTACACTCGTGTCATAAACTCGCTGTCGCAGAGCAGCAAATTTCGGTGTGTGGGCCAGGAAAATCTTTCCCACCCCCCATAAATTGACTGCCAAAAAGTATGCAGTAAAGAAAAAGGCAGATAATTAACACCAATCTGTGCTCCAAGGATCCCTGCCAAGGATCCAATCGACATTGATATTGATGGACACCGAGAAGACAAAGCTGGTAAACGGAAAAAATATGCTGTTTGTCTTTGGGTCATTGAAATGCAGGAACCAAAGAGAAAACCTCTGTTTCAATTGTAATACTCAGCATTTCTGTTTTCTTTCTACATTTCTCCCCTTTTCGATATCTCCAGGGATCTTAAAGCATTGGAAAAAGTGAATCACAATAAACGTTTGGTGTTTTGATTGTTTCTTTAAGATTCAAGAATATTTAAAAATATATTTTATTGTGTTTTGTTTACTTTTTCTATCTACTATACTTTTCCCCATTTAAATAATAAGCTAAACTTCTAGGCTCTTCGTAATATCCTATCTTTTTTATTACCCTCTAGTTCCAGCAATATTGCTAACCTGCTTAGTTTTATCTTCACTTTTATGCGTACTTTTAATGTCAAATTTGTTTCGCACAATCCTCATACCCATAAAAAAGATTAGTTTGAAGAACTTGGCCCCAAGTTTCTGCATCTTTTGACGGCCATGTTGGGAAGGTGGTCAAATCCGGAGCACGCCTATGGTCATTAGGCTGGGCAACCCAGGGCAATAAAAAAGCAAAGGCAATTACCAGATATGGTACATGTACACATACACTCACTCGTACAACCATTATTCGCACAATGTAACGCACGTAATTAGTTGCATATAACTTGGGGCCCCGAGCTTCGTAAAACTTTCAACGCGCTTCAAATTAGTTGAATGTTTTTTTATTGGCAGGGCAGCCTTGTTGTTGTTGACGTCCTCGCTGCAACAATGTTGTTGGCCAGCCCATCAGGCCATGCAAAAACGAGTCTGGTTGGATTGAGTCACATGCGGAGGAGCAAATAAGCCGGCGGCAATCCCAAAACATATATGCCATATGGATGCGGATGGCTGTGTGTAAGTCTGCCACAATATTTGCTTAAAAATGAGGCGAAGGCAAAGGCAAAGGGAAAGGCAATGGCAAAGTGGAATTAAAGCGAAAAGTTTGCGAGATGCTGGCGGGGATAACTAAGCAAACGCTTTGCGGTTCTGCCCGTTCGTTTTATGGCCAAAGTTTTCCCAGTTACCCGGTTTTCCGCCGCCGGCAGCTTCAAGTTTCCAGAATCTCCTTCGGTTTTGTGGGTGGACTCGGGTGCATTTGAATCTCGCCCCTCGCCTTGTCAACGCTGCGTATGCGTAATCTTCAGATGCCAACGCTGCGTATGCGTAATCTGGAAAACGTCATAAGCTGTGGCGACACCAGCAGAGCTATTTCCACTCTTCTGTCTTCTATTTTCTGCTTTCCTCTCCTGCTGCTTTTTTTGTTGTTTTGTTCACAGCAACCTTATCAATCAATTCACCCACACAAATGTGTGTTCGTAGGTTGGCTAACCTATATATGGTATGTGGAATACATAGATGGTTCTGAGCAGAGCAGAGGTCATAAAGAAACTTTGGCGCCGCGACCGCCAGACGCCACCAGGAGCATTAAATTTTCTCCCCGCAGACGGAAAATAAGTATAAAAAAAGAAGAGAGGAAAAACAGAACAGAAATAAAATAAAAATGTGGGAAAGCAGGAGAATAGGAGAATGAGAATGGCTGAATAACAGCGATGACGACGATACAATGATAATGCCAAGAACAATAAGACGAGGCGGCAGCCAAAAGAAGGAGAAGGCGAGTCGAGAATGCTGAGCATTAACAATTTGGCAAAATACAATGGCAAACTGTCGCACACGAATTTTCCCCCTTATCTGCTTTTCCCCCTTTTTTCTAGATTTTCGACGCTTTTCCTACGCTTTTCTCAGCTCCAGCTGAGATGCGTTTTGCGATAAGCACGAAGCGGTGGCGTTTGGTTGGCTGTGTGTGTGTCAAGTGTTTTCCCTCGTGTATGTGTACTTTTCGGTGGAAACTCCAAGTCCTGGTGTTCAATCATCGAACCCCAAAGGCCGTGACAAATGGATAATTATAAACGCTGAACGGTAATGCCTATTATTTGGAAAATTGTACTAATTGTGTGCAATTCTTATTTGGGTATTTATTTTTTAGAACTCAAACTAAGGAGAATATTTTGAAAAAAGTTACATAACAAATAATTCCATGTTGTAAGTTTGAATACTAATATAAAAGCTTTTTGGGTCAAATAAAATTACGCCATGCACTCTAACTAATAAGCATAGCAGCCCCAGCCCCTTAGTAAAATTCCAACTTTATATGCTTTAATGGCCTTCAATGTCACAATATGCAGGGACAATAACGATGCTAAAGTCCCCATATTCAGAAACTATGTAATTGAATCGCCCGACATTGTTTGTTCCCTCATAGTCAAATATCTTTGTCCCATCTGAATCCGAATCTGCTCTCCTTTCGCTTATCGCAGCTTGTATAGCTTGTATATAAATACGAGCAACCCGCTTTCCCCCGCTTTTCCAAGCCCTCTGCTCTGGGAAAACGTTGTTAACGTCTCTTGAATTCGGTGTAAGCAAGTTTTCCCCATAAGGAAAACAAGAAGGAAAAGCATAATTTGGAGAGTGCTTCAAGGGAAAGTTTCTTGTGTCGTTGGCAAGTTTTTGAAGACCTCCTCCAGAAGCCACATACATTGTGAGAAGGGAAGAGAGGGGGGAAGATGGGGAAAAATAAACATAATTTTATTTTCGGTTTTTATTTAATGCTCCTCCGCATTACAGCAATTTCTGCAACATTTTTGTTTATGCGCTGTCAAATCGAGTTGGTCCTTGGATCCTCACATTATATATACGTGGGTAGTTTGTGAATGCGGGTTCCAAACCCCCAGTACAAAATTATTGTCTAATGCACATTGGGCCCAAGCGTGAATTTGCATGGCTGGCATTGTCATAACTGAGCTGGTGCTGCACATAAATCGCTTTGGTCCATATTTGTGTGACATTTTTCGGTTTGGTTGCCCCACCAACAACCCAGTGAGGATGTGGATGTGGCATGTGGCAGCTGCAGGAAGCAGGAAGCCGTAGGTAAAAACTTTTAATATTTCTACGCCGCCAGCTGTTGCCATTCCCCCCTTTCACTTCCCACTTTCCTCTTGCCACATGCCACATGCAGTGCCTGCCAGTTGCATCCGGAATCGGGACTCGGGATTTCCAACCTCCATCCGCCCGCAGATGCAACACAAACAAATGGAGTAGGCCAGAAAGAATTGTTGGAACTGGAGCTTATTTATGCCCACGCTGTGAAATTTAATTAGCCGCCCTCGACAATTGTAAATATCCAGTTTCTCCGGGAGAAGCAGGAAAAGCGGAAGAAAACGGCTTGGAATGCGGGAACTTGGCTCAGATGAGCGGAATGCGAGTGGCAGGAGCAAAAGCAGGAGCAGTAGCACATCCGCAGTTGAAACAATGCCAACTGGCCAAAAGCACAAGTCGTCTTTGACTTCCTTTCTTATTTTGGCCCTTTGGCCACGGGCATTCGTACTTAGAGAAAAGAATATGGGGAGTTTCGGTATCAAAACAACTTTAGTCTGTGACATATCAACTTTATACTTTCACTGGCACACGGAGATTGGCATTATTTCAAGCTTGAAACCAGTACATAAATCCTATCATTAAATTAGGTTGAGTTCAACAGGAGATATCTTCTGGATTTAATTGCTCAATGAGTCTATAAATTATTGTGTTATCTTCATTTTTTGCAGGCTAACAATTAATGCCAATTAAAACAATAATAATCCGAATTTCGAATAAATATTTTTTAAGATATATAAATGGGTAAACTATGAATAAAGATATTTATAGAAGTATTTTGATTAATTTGGCTGCTGTTTAGTTTTCTATACTAAAATGCTTAAACTGGTAAAAATGGGTTTGACTTTCTTTTATTAAAAACTGTGAATATTGTGATTAAATTCAACATTTTTTTTTTATTATTCTGATAAATTTATTATTAATTCTATTTTTATTCTTAATCCTATTCTTATTTTTTTTTGATAATAAATTTTCAATTGATAATATTTTGTTCCATTTTAAGAATTTATAATTTTAAGACAAGTTCAATCGTTTTATCGCATTAGACAATTGTCATAGTGGAAAGTGTTATTTTATTGCCATTTTATTCCCCGTGTACTTTCTTCGCTAACTTTCCCATCTTTCCCCTCTAGCCAACTTTAATGAGCTGCGTCGGCAGGTGAAGGAATGCCGAAAGCGGATGCAGGATTGGCAAGGAAGTGGGTGGATTCCAGTGGGCGGTGGGCGCTGGATGAGACTGACAGGTGGTGGCATAGGCTTAACTTAACTTACTTTTTAGGAAATCCGCCAGTGTCGTGAAGTCGTTTATTTCAACTGCGTTTCAGACGTAAATGAAGTTGGCTCCTCGGACCGCCCGCTGGCGATGTCTGTTACTCTCACTCGCTCTTCAGCTCGGCTTAATTCTTTTTCTGTTTTTTTCCTGTCCTCAGGCTGTGCTTTCACTTCTGCTTTCTCTCACCTGCCGCCGAAAAGATACGCATTTAAATTAAAAGGAAAGCAAAGGAATCTGGCCACGGCGAGTTTTTCCGCGGAATTCCTTTGTTGTACCGCGGGAAGGGGTAATGCCTGTGAAGATTCCCCATTCGAGATAACCCAATGCAGGTTCTACACCCTATACCCTAAGGTATATGAAAATCTCAATTTCTGGGGCTAATTCGGGCCAGGATAATTCTGCGAGTGATAATAAGTGCGCATAATGGCTCGAGAGTCTAGAGCAGGGTGCTCTTAATCTCTGGAAACGGGCTTTAATGCACATACAGATAATGTGGCTGGCTGGCTGGCTAACTGACATGGCCATATTAAATCTAATATCCGCTTGGCCCTCCTCGGATGGTAAATAACAGGCGAAGAAGAGCCCGGGGAGCGCTTAATAGTTGCCTGGCGTATCCATTAAGTAAACATGACTCGCTAAGCCCGCTGGGCGAATCTGTGGATGTGGATTCAGAGTCAAAGCTGCTTCTTCGACCACACTGTCAATGTACATTAGGATTGTTTTGCCTCTCAGCTTGAGATATCCCAAAAAAAAGCAGAAAAATGGGAGCAAAGGGCGAAAACAAGAGCAACGACTTTTGTGTTGTTGCGTATAAACGCTGAATATTTAATAAATGCAAAGGGGGAAGGGAAGGGGATGGATGTGTGAGCTCCCCGAGATACGAAACATAAAATCAACTTAAGCATCGGCACACGGGAGAATTGCCTTTGCTCATTCGCTGATGATAACAGCAGTCAGCCAGGGGCCCAAAATGCTTTTGATATTTTATTCATGCCGCCAACGCTGCGCTGTCAATTGGTATTAGGTTTTAGGCATTAGGTATTAGGACATTATAATTTATTGACGAGCGCGGAGGACAACAGCATCGGCCGGCGGCCCTTGAAAGCGGTTTGTAATTTCGCACGGCCAAAGCCAGAACGTCAAGCGCACAATTAACGGGCCTCTCCAGTCAGCTCACTTCACAAGCACCACAACACAACAGCCGAAGGCTCGAATCGAACCGCACACACGACGTATACGCAATGTTCAGGGCATCAATCATCCGCCAGCGCGTCCACTCGCCTCGACGCTCCAATTCCAACTGGCACAGGCTGGATGCTGGTGCCTCCGATTTCTGCTCGGTTTCGGATTCGGAATCGGATTGTTTCGGAGTGGCATGCAACTCGTGGCACTGAGCCACTGGCACAAGGGCGAAGGACGCAGGCGCCGGGAGAGAATCGCATCCTTTGGCTGCCTTTGGCCAACAAAGACGGCGTGAAAATGGCCCACAATTAATATGCACAGGCGTCGCCGATGACGAGCCAGTCATTGATAGATTGTCGTAATGAAATGCAAATTACTTGTCAATAATTGGCCCACAACTAGAAAGGCAAAGCCTGTGCGATTAATTTGGCAGCAAAGGATTGAAAACAGGGCTGCTATTTTAGTAATATTTAAAAATATTAATAAACAATTGGATAAAGAGTATTTCTGTGAAGCAACTTGTGTTGTAAACAATTCAGAATTAATATAGAATTAAATCAGATATATCCAGGCATTTATAAATTTAATACATTCCCAAATTTTCAGATCCCCCATTAATTAATTCATAAGGCGAGCGGAATGTCTCTTCCTTCTTTTCGACCATTTTGTGCACACTAATTGCCAGTCAGATATCGAAATTAATAATTTGCACCATACTGGTCGCTGGTGTCCGGGCGAAGGAAACGCGATACAAAAAAATATTTATTTATGCGAATTCCATTCCAGGGGGCTCGTAAATCTCTCGCCACCCGCGCAGCCGAAGCTGTTGGTCCGAGTATTTATGGCGGCGACTATTACATACTTTATTATTATTATAAATGACGCGCACAATAGAGTGGAGCCAGTTGGCCAGAGATATAAATTCTGTTCACCCCCTCAAGTGAAGCGTTCGGTAAAGTGGCATATTGACAGATTTTAATTCAATTGGGCTTAACTAGGAGGGGGGAAATAAATAAATAAATAAATAGAAAAGATACCTTAACAAGTTTATGAACGAAAGTATGCTTGTTGTACTCTTATATTATTGAAGTTCCAATTTTACCACAGAAAAGAAAGATTATATAATTCCCAAAAAAATAAAAATATTTGTTTCGCGTTTTTCAGCGACAAAATCAACAACAATGCCAAAATTGGTCCAAATATAGACTATCATACCTTGTTAGACTCGTAATTCAATTTCCAATCGATTTGCATTTAAATCTGATGATTTTAATTTTTAACCATTTTTTCGAAAAATTTGTGATGTAACCCCTGATAAAAAATGCGAAAAATAACCAAAATTTAATATTTAAAAAACTAGTTGGAGAGTGATGTAGATTGTTAGCATAAGTTTTTAGCTTTACAAATCAGTTGGTCTTTTAGGCTTGGCACCATTTTCAGTCAAGTTACATCGAAAAAACCACACAAAAAACTGTATCATTTCTAATTTTCAAGGAAAACAATGAAAATATCTCGTATAGCTCATTATTGACTATTCACTTTATACGGTGTAGCTTAAACAAGGTACTCAATTTCAGGCGAATCTCTGAATTTAAAAATTTGATCCCATTCGTCACGGCAACAATGTAAATTGTTCGATTTCTGCCGCATTCTTATTCCCCTTAAACCATATAAATTAGAATTATGCGGGTTAAAACCTACAGACCGGCTAACTATTGGATGTAATCCATCTTACAGTCAACAATGTTCCGAATTAGAGTGTGGTACGTTTGCGTAGTGATCCTCTTTTTGTCCCCATTCCCCGCCAGCAGCTGGGACTACTGCCAGGAGCACTGGTGTCCACGTTCCAACAATCATGTGGCATGCAACAACAATGGGGTAAGTTGCCTGACTTTCAAAGAAATTTAAATTATATCCAATGGTATCACTGGAATATTTTCAATACGTTAGTATAAGAAGTTAACGACGCAGTAAAGTAACACATCCGAGTTAAATATGTAATATTAAATATTTATACACAGTAGATTTAACCATTTTTACATGGTTCTTTAACATTTTAAAAGGTTTGGAATCATTCGTTATTTTTTTCTAGACCTTTGGACCCGAGTGCCGTAGCGAGGCAAAGTTAGTACCGCTGAGCAGACAGCAACGCAGTTTTATTGTCAACCAGGTCAACTTCTACCGCAACCAGGTGGCTTCGGGCGGATTTTCCGGCTTTGGAGCCGCACACCGAATGGCCAGTGTGCGCTGGGATCCCGAGATGGCTCAGTTGGCCGAGTTGGCGGCCCGAAGGTGCAGCCTTTCGGGGGACGAGTGCCGAAACACCAGACGATTCAAGCACGTGGGTCAACTGACAGGTCATGTGATCTTCAGTGCGGGCAAGCACAGCGACTTGGAGCTGCTGGGCCACAAGATCGCCAACTGGTTTGGCCAGTATAAGCGGGCCACCAAGGAGCTGGGAGCCGCGGATCCGGCCAGTGACATCACTAGCTTCCGCCAGCTGATCCAGGAAAGGGCCACCCACATGGGATGCGGAGTCCTGCGGCAGAGGAGCCACAAGCGGTGGCATCAGCAGTTCATTGTCTGCAACTTTGCCCGCGAGAACTTGGCCCACGAACCGGCCTACGAGGTGGGTCCTCTGCCAGCCTCAGGTTGCCGAGCGGGAAGGAATCCGCGCTACCCGAATCTCTGTGCCCTCCAGGAGCACTACGATGTGAATGCCGTCGATCGGTTCCAAAACAAGCCACCGCTGAGGATCAGGGTCAAGTACAGTGGAGCCAAGGCATCGAAGGCTTTGGCTCCTCTTCCTGGCTTGGCCTTTCATCCCAAGCCACCGCTGATGTTTAGGATCAAGTACAGTGGAGCCAAGGCATCGAATGCTTTGGCTCCTGTTCCTGGCTTGGCCTTTCATCCCAACATCGTGTTGGAAACTCTTTAATTTGCATGAAGATGGAGGAAATTCGTATCTTTATTCTCTTTTCCCATTTTCATATTTACTTATATACAGCAAATATAATTTCTATCGTATTAAAATGTAATACATTTATAATGCTGTCTCTTAGTCTGTCGTAAAAGTCTCAATGCCATTTTGTTTTGTTTATTATTACCTACAGACATGTAAAAAATGTTTGAAATAGGTCCATTCATTAAAAAGTTATGAGCAAATAATGGAGTAGCCACTAAGTTGCGTGCAAGCAGTCGCTTTTCTTTTCTCCCTCTCCCTCGCCCTTCCATTACCTGAGTAAGGGGTAATACTTGGGAACATTAGTTGACTTATTTAATAGGAATTTCAAATTAAATAAAAGTAAAAGTTTGTGTGTTTATTCTCGACTAATTGGCTGTAAAACTGTGCATCAATGTTTTTAACTACAAGAACTTAGGCAGTAAGTTTATTAAATCAACGTTTAGTGGGGGTTCTCCTGGCGATTGGGTTCGATGGTGACCCGCGCATAGGGACTTCCGGCTCCCACCTTCCTTCGCATGGTGACCCCCCGATGTGGACGCAGTCCCATGACGATCAGGTAAATGCCCACGGCGCTGAGGGCGATCAGCGAGAGCACCACCAGTCCGTAGGCCCATCTCGGCCAGGTGTCGCAGCTGAAGGCGTCTCCCCGAGCGGATGTCACCAGCATGCCGCGGATCCTCGACGGCTTGTAGCACCTGCCGTTGGTCTGGTAGGGCAGCTGCTTCAGCCAGACCAACTCGCAGTCACACTGCAGCGGGAGACCGTTGAGATCCATTTCGGTAAGCTGGTTAAAAAGCGGCGCCAGCGAGGAATTAAAGGTGCGCAGCATAGTGCCACGAAAGCTCAGCGAACGCAGCGCTTTCTTCTTGATGGAGTTGGTAGTGATGACTCCAAAGGCCTCTGCATCCAGGTGATTCAGTTGACGGCTGTTCTGGAAGCTCAAGGTCTCGAGGAGATCAATGGGAGCCAAGGCCTGGGCCACCACTCTTTGGAGCACAGACATGTCCTCGATGAACAGCTGGCGCACCTGGGTGAGATTGGCCGTATCCTCGGGCAGCAGCTCTTCCAGCAGATTGTCACTGATGTCTAGGCGGAGGAGGGATTCCGGGAGCTCACTAGGAATCCGCTTCAACTGGTTTCTCCTAAGGGAAAGCTCCTTCAGAGGAGCACTTACAGGCAATCGGAGCTCCGTTAAACTGCAGGCATCCAGCCGCAAAGTAGATAGTTTCCAATTGACACCTAGTCCAGTGTACAAATCCCCGCCAGACTCGTTGAACTGCCGATTCCAGGAGATATCCAGGGTGCCCAGAACCAAGAGCGGAGCAAACAACTGACTCGGAAGCGAATGAAGATTGTTGTCGGCCAAATCCAGAACTTGGAGATGGGGTAATCCCTCAAAGACCCCCGCCTCCAGTTGGCCAATGCTGTTCCAGCCCAGATAGAGCTCTTTCAAACTGGTCAACTGCTTGAAGTTACCCGCTGATAGCTTTGAGATATTATTGTGCCTGAGGTTCAGCTGATGCAGACTGTCGCTGGCAAAGATCGGCACCGAGTCCAGGGCGTTCCAGGAGAGGTCCAGCGAGTCAATGTAGAGGGGGAGAACCAGGGAGAGATCCTTCACCCCGAAGTTCTTGTAGCTGCAGTCGATGCGCAAGGCACGCATTCCCCATGGCGAGGCACTCACATTGCTGCACTCGCAGGAGCGACGCGAGTTCTTCGAGGACTCCGGGTAGCAAAAGCGGTCCGTTTCCTCCCCATCGATAATCTCCGCCTGGCTGGAGTGGAGGGCCAGCAGCAGGAGGAGCAGCAGGCCAAAGGTCGCACCACTCATAACTCTAAAACTCGACATGGTAAAGGTTTTCAGTGCACTGAATGGATTCTAGAGTGGTGAGTGGTTGGAGGTTCACTATCTTATCGAAAAGGCGGAAAAGCTCCCACCACCACACACATTCTGAGTCGATTTTTCCAATAAATTTATCAGCAAAATACTTTGGTCTTGCACACTGGTCGGGTTAGTCATTGAAAGCCGTTTGGGCAGCAGCGATGTGGTAAACAAAAAGTGCCAGGAGAGAGCCAAAAGCCCCGGGGCATTTGAATGCTGATAAGATAGCGCACGGCAGAGCTTTACCTTTTTATCTCCCGCCTCTCTCTTCTTATCGCCTTTGCAGCTTTCCTTATCAGCCAATATATATATTTTCCATTAATCATTTCCCCGTTCTCCGGCCAGCGGGTTAAGTCGATGGCATGGATTCGCCATATTTATGGATCTGCAAATCTATAAAGCCCTAATTTCACACTCCGAGAAAGCAAGAGACTTTCGCTTCGTTCGGTTTCGTCTCAAAAGTCATGTCTAATCCCATGTGGATGGGGGGATTTATCTAGCTCATTGCATCTGAAAGTCGGGTCTTAAGTTCAAATTGTAATTACGCTTAATGCTTTTGGCTGGGGATTTATGTTGATTGCTGGATATGTCGAGAGGATGTTTGCCGACTCCAAGGATTACATTTGCGGTTCTCATGTCGCCTAATTGCTGAGTTGTAGACTGAGTTTTTGAACTAAATTTTAAGGTGATTTGAAAATCACTTTAAAAGGTGTCTAAAAGTATGCAGCAAAAAGTTACTTACCACTCGAAATACTATGTTGCATTAAATGGCGAAATATATAATACATAACTAGATAGCCAAAGAGCCAGAAAAGTATCTGCAAGTCGAGTTTCATCTTTTTTTTCTTCAGAGCTCCCTAACGAACTTTATGGTGCCCTCTTTACATTTGCAATTGCTGTGACTACTCAGTTCTCAGTTCCCATTTCCTAGCTCCCAGTTCCTTCGGGTGATAGAACTCTTCTTTGTGTCAATGGAAAATTGATGAGGCTTACATAAGTGCACAGGCGCCCACCCCACCCACAGTCGCCCACTTTGGCATAGGCATTTGCATAAATTAAGGACTTCCAAAAACTCCCCGCTGCCAGCGCTTTTCCTTCTTGACTTTTCCACAATTGGGCTTTGGGTTTGGGTTTGGGTGTTCAGGGGGCAAAGCCAACACATGTAAAGCATTTAATGAGCTGTGTGTGCTTAAATTTATTGAAAATGCCAGGCACATGCTGTATGTATGTATGTACTCGCCCCCCAAGTCATTATTACAAGCAGAAATGTATTTTTAACTAAAAACCCATTAATTACGGTGAAAAGTGTGTGTGTGCGAAATAATTACGGCATTACGAGCAATTTAATTAAAGCCCAATTTTCGCACATCTGCAATAATGGAATTGTTAATTAATAGGCCGAATCAGAGACGGCCAGCTGTCGAGTTTAGAAGGCTCCTGTTTGCTGGTCAGAGATCGGGAAATAAAATCCCCTGCAAACGTGCCAAAAATGGCAATCGCCTGAAACTCGCCGTCTGAATATTTATGAAAATTTTAATATTAAATTGTTTTCTGATGCCGCAGCCCCAGGCGAGGAGCGAAAAGCGAAAGGGCGGCAGATGGGAAATGGCGGGAAACTAAAGCTGGCAATCAATGGCAGAAATGCAATTTCCCCGTGGACAGAGACAGAATGTGCAATCATTAAAAGCGCTTGATTATCCGCAGGCTGGCGGCATTGTCCCTCGTCATCCGGCCAAAGCGGCCATAATGATGGCCCAGTCCAGTCTATATATGGACTATATATATAGGTGGCTGCCTGTTTATGGCGCCCTAATTGAATCGCTTGTCATGCATTTGTCTAATAATGGCGCATTAATTTGCCATAATGCAGCTTCCGTTTGCCGGAAATCATCAGCTGGCTGGTTGGTTGGTTGGTTGGCTAACACGTGACCTAGTATTCGCACTCTCTCACCCAAGGATATATGCTAAATATCTCTGTCATGGCCTTTTAACTCGGGGCCAAGTATGCTGCAAAATGCGCAAAAAGCCTGCACACTCGCTCGCTTTCTAATTGCCTTTGAAAGCGTTTCTGTCACGCAATTTAAAACTCGTAATTCCGACGGGCTCGGGCTAAATTCATTAGTCGGGCCTTGAGAGCTCCCATTAACCCGCATTCGGGTTTATATGGCATGGTATAGTACACACACACATTGCTCTCTTGCGGTTATCATTCGCTTTCGCTGCGCTCAATTTAATCGACAAATTTAAAGAAAATTATTGTCTCTAATGGGCAGACGTGCCCACAGAATGCGACCTTTGACCGCAGCAGCAGCAGGAAAAGCCCGGGGATATAATACTGTGTATATATCAGATCCAGCTGATAACAGTTGAGTAATGAACAAATAATGGCCGGCAACCTTCTTGTCTGCTCAAATATTAAGTATACGCTGGGGAGTCCGGGGAAAGGGAGGCAATGTTCGAGGAAGCCAGTCGTAATAATAGATGAAGAATGGATGTAATGCTAAAATGTACAAGCCCAATAATCCGTAACATAATTTAAGCGCTGGCTGGGGAGGTGATTTTAATGTTAATTTGGTAAAGATGTGCTGCCTGTGGAAGTTTCTCTTAGTATGGAAAAGATGAAAATGTGATTTGGTGATTTTCTACTTAATATTATTAGGTATTAACTAATGAGATACTTTGAAGATGGGCCAAAATTGAAGATTCCCGCAGGAAGGAATGTTTTGAATAATTATTCTCCATTTGTTATCCTTTGGCTTGCGGTGCCTGCATCCTCCTGGTATCCTTATCCTTGCCAAAGCGCTTCTAGCCTCTCAACATTTTTATTGCAGGCTCCATGGAAAAGGCAATTTGCTAGCTGCAACATTTGTTGCTCCAGTGCCAACATGGCTGGACTTTCCATTCCGAAAGTGTTGGTTTGTTGGTCTGTTGGTCCTTGCGGAGCAGGAAAAGGGAGTCCTCCTGCTGCTCCTCTGTAATTTGATTTGTTTTGGCCGATTGCTGCTGCGGCTACATTGTTTCTCGTCGGGCACTGCAAACTGGATACTCTGGCCTGCACTAATTAATTTTGACTCGCAAAACAAAAGAGCCGAGATGCCCTGGGAGATACGTAGTTAGATACTTGGCTGCATTGTTCTCGGCTTTGTTGCCGGGCCATAAATGTCAGCTGAGGCTGCATTTCCATTTCCCAATTCAATCCAGCTGTCAATGTGCGTCCATATTGGCCCCCCACTGATATAGATACCCGCTTAGTTGCGAAAGGAAAGCCGAAGATTTATTGCCAGTTGCCAAAAGCCCACAAAATTAATGTACTTCACTGTTGAGTTTAGCAGCTGTGTGTTTGCTATGGCCATATGACACTGGCTTTTTAGGCTACTTAAACTAACTGGATTCATTTAAAAAAGTCAAGGCAACATTTAGAATATCTGTATTATTACCACCTGGAGAATATCTCTACATAAATTCAAAAAAATCTTTATTTTATGTCCTTATGACACTGTCTTTTATTTTAACCAACTTATTGTATTTTCTTAAAAAAGTGGATCTTTAAAACGTTTATTTTTTAGCATGTAGCCATATGACACTTGTTCATATTACTAGATTGGATTTTTGGAAATCTGTATTTTAATAATAATAATATACAAAATAAATTCTACAGCTTTAAAAGGTTTTTTCCCAAGGTCACCATCATCTCTTTTAAAAATACCCAATTGTTTCCAATTTAAGCCAGTGTCATTTGGCCATGAGCGTGTGTGTTGGCCGGAGTCAGTCAGTCTCTCTCCCTCTGTGTGTGTGTGTGTCTGTGTGTGTTTGGGCCCTAATGAAGTTGTTAATGCGAGTGCTGTCCTGCCAATTCCTGCGTCGCCGTGGTTTCCCTGCACTCGAGTCCTTTCGCAAAGTACACACGAAAATCTAATAAGACGCTTACGTCTGTTGCTATTTGGGACTTGGGTTTGGGCTGAGGCTGGGGCTTGTACTTGTGTTTGTATTTGTATTTGCACTTGCTCCGGGGAGGCTTTCACACCCTTTCGAGGTCCTTCGAGGTCCTGGCTCTTACATAAGCCATTAGCCAGAGGAAAACGGCAGACCGTGACAGTCGTCGTCCTCCGGCTTGTTTCTTTCAAATTTTATTGCTTAGCTTTTTACGGTCAGCGTCTCCAATATACTACATTATATATATATCGTATATCGTGCGAGTATATATCGAAGTCCTGGCTAGTTCTTCATCTTTCGCTTGGCCAGCATTTATTTTTATGTCCTGCCCTTGATTGGATCGTAAACTTAAGTTTCAGAGCGCCAAGTCCTCGGTATTAATCAGCCGGCGGAAAGAGTTGCTCGGCAAGAGATTCCACTTATTGTCCTGCTCAGGCAAATTAAATTACTGTCAGCTGGCTAAAGTGACTCCTTGGCTCCTCTTCTTGGTACACTCCCAAAAGGGTGTTTAAGCTTTAATTATTTAAATACAGATTAACTTTTGGCATGCGCTCTTAATTACCTGCCAGCTTTTATCTCTTGAATTATCCGATGCTTAAGATTTTTGAATATTTTCGAAAAGAGACAAAAAATGTAATTTTCAGTTTAATACATTCAACACATATTTTTAATAAATATATTCTTAGCTTTTATATTAAATTTAAATATATCAAATTTATCTTATACTTTCTTTCTTTGCCTGTAGTGCATTTAACATTCATAATTATTAATGGAATCTTTTACTTTCTGTGTATCCTCTGCAGTTTGCCCTCTTGCCTCTTGAATTTCTTTGTTTGCCAAGAAGGACGCGAAATGAATGCCAGACGACAAAACTGCTGCAGTCGGGGCAAATAAATTAATTTTTCATTTATGGGCCACGGGGATTGTGATTGTGTCACGCATTGAGAGGTCGCTTAATTAGATGAAGTGAAAGTGGGCGACCGGGGCACCGAGATCCCAGTTGCGAGTTCCGAGATCTGAGAGCCGAGAGCCGAGACAATTGCAACTGACACCGGGCTAGTT